CCTTTAGCAATATTCCAGCAATATCATGGCGGGGGACACCAGAAATGGGCTTCACACATTGTACCCATGTCTTGAATCAAACCTGTGTCTTCGGCGAGATGAGCGAACGGTTTAACCACTAGGTTACCCAACCACCCCGGGTCTGCTAGAAGTAGGATTTATTGGATATAAAGGGACCACTCCGCACAATGTTTTTCTCTGACATGGGGAAATGTTACTGACATGACAAGGATTTACGGTGATTTTCGTAACCAGTCTTGAATAGACGTGTATTCAGTCAGTGTGACATGCTGTACAAATACCTTTTTAGAAATTGAGGTTTTCTTCAACATGAGAGATGCCATTGTTTTTTATTCATGTATCTGGTGTACTCAGCAACCTAGTTTGATGCACAATTATAGAAAACTTTCATAGATATCAGCAGGCCACAAACCCATAAGCGCTTCCAATTGTTACTTGTATTGAGGTATTCGGTGTGGACACATATTTAGTCTCTTTTAAACATCGGAGATTAATGGGGTTCTCTAATCTAGGAGTTTTCTGTGAATCCTTGAGATAATACTTAGACATAGACAGCAGCAATGTACCCTAGAAGCAACGTAGGAATCTAGAGAAGTGATAGTGTAGCATAGGAGTGATGGACATTTTGTGATGTCTGCAGTAGGTGCTTTGTTGGATTAATGGGCACAGTGTGATGCCTACAGTAGGTGCCACACAGGAGGGATGGGCACTCTGTGATGCCTTCAGTAGGTGCCACACAGGAACGATGGGCACTCTCTGATGCCTTCAGTAGGTGCTGTACAGGAGCGATCGGCATTCTGTGATGCCCACAGTAGGAGCAGTATAAGAGTAAGGGAGTTGGGTTTAACACTTTCCATAGTATTAATGCTATATCACACCAGGTCAGCCTAATGTGGAAGGAAGACCTGATGTGATGCAGGTCTTAGACATTCACAAATATCGATACCCACAAGCATGGAGGATATGCCTACAACTCAAAGCATTGGACCAAACTTACAAACATGTCCTCCTTTTCAATGAGTAGGCAATCCAATTGTATACCATGTATTTATGAATCTAATTTCATATATCAAACCCCTAATCGATAAAAGTTATAACACCAGCTGACGTTAACAGCATCTGATTAAGAGGCTGACCATCAACCATGAAACTTCACTGATCTATCAACACGCCCACCTGGTCTTTCACAGATGAATAGTTCATTACTTGCAGGAACACTAATTACCACAGCTTGGGATCATAATTGGTATTGATTATACCAATAGTTAATTCATTTTTCATCATTTTACTGTCTGGATACCGCTGTATATAGCAGACTTTTTGGTGCATCTTCTTCAAATTCAGGGTTGACTGCATTTGAAAACATGCGTCTTGTCTAAAAGAGCAGTTTTCTTGTCAGGCTGTGTACAAGGAAGACACTGCCCCAGAGCCCAAGGTCATGGTTAAAGTGGAACTCTACTCAACATTCGGGATCCTATTTCCTGTCTATATCTTGTCTGATATGTATAATATACCTGAGTCTGCTGCAAATGTTGATGTGAATGGCTTGAATCAAACTTACATGGACAGCCAACTGACCAAGGTACCTTTCCACAAAGTGATCTGAGCATTAAGATTACAGTATTCGACGTAATAAGCGCCCAGGGCACTCTCAAAATAAGAAAAAGGGGGCTCTTATTAGAATAAAATTTTGGTGAAAAAAAAAAGAGTTGAAAGATCGTAAATTTCTAAGTTTGAAGACCTCAAATGATACAAAAGAGAAGTCTGTGTGTATTATACACGACATATATTTTTCCAGAATTTAATTGCCCATAATTAAGGATGCATATAACACAGGAGTGCGTATTATACACGAATAACAAAGTCTTTTGTACATTGATCAATCGGAATGAGGTGCTAATTGGAATTGTTCACTAGCCAATATATTAGCAAATATCACCATGGGCGCTTATTACATCGAATAAGGTATCTTATACTTCAACATGGACTGAGGACAATCATAGGGCTGAGATTACTTTGTGGAACAGGGCCCAGAGTCATCTCCCTTTAAGGGCGACTTAAAATTGCAGTCAAATTATGCAAGGGTAACATTAGTGCAAGCACTATGACCACTAATGAACAGGGCTCTGGGTGCCTACAGTGGATTGCATACTGGTACAGATAGAACTGGCTGTTGTGTCATCACTCAAAGACTGACTGCAGTTTGACAGGTCCTTTGCAGGTGGATCCATTTAAGGTTAACAAACCCTGACAAAGATTCAAGATTTTCTCCCAAAATATTGTCACTTTGACAAAATTCGCACAAGTATTTTTTTATTCTATAGTTTTCAGATGAACAGAAACTGCTTGGCGCACAATTTCAGGAGAACATACTTATCTGTTCCCTCCTGGTAACAAGAGGTCAACAACAACACTCTGGAGCTTTAATACCTAACTTGGTCAAATAGTTTTTTCATGCAGTACATTTTTGAAGGCCAATATATGACAATTGATGATTGGCAAAATAGACCATGCCCTAAACGTAAAATTTGGCTGGAAACATAATGTCACATCTGAAATAGAATTGTTTCACAAATTCTGACAAATGAATTTTGATACAGTTTCAAAATTCAGAGTACACCATGTTTCTAGGCAAACTCTATAATGCCAGATATTTCTCCTAGTGCTCACATTTCTTCATTACAAGGAATGTATTTTTGTACCACCTCAACCGAATTCCTTGTGGGGTAAAGACAAGTTTCAATAAACCCTGTTTCATGTCATGAAAAATTCACGTGAAGTTACACAAAGTCCTTCATCTCTCAGGAGAGTGAAAAAATTCAAGCCAAAGAAATTCATCATTTGAAGATCTAGGGAAAATATCTGACTTTCTTTTGACGGCATCATGTTCAAGTTTGTACACAATATCCTCGCAGCAGTTGAATACGTCTTTCTTAAAAAAAACATGTACTAAATATATAATAACGTGCCAAAGATGTGACTCTTGTTGAGAACAGATGCTATTGACAGTGACTAGTTTTTAGCAAGCTTTTGATCGACAAAATTGTCCTTTGGATCGACAAAAATTGTCCTTTTGTTCAATTTAATCAATTTAGATTTGAGATTTGAAAAAAGTCTGCTTTAAGTATCAACATCATCACCCTACCTAATAGCACTGATCTCCACCCTTTTATAAAACTATTAACTGAAATTCTTTTTACACTTTCTAAAAATAAAATATGATCAAATTTTAGGATGCTGAAAAAACAGCATACATATGTATAAACTTTTAATCGATTGAGGCTCAAATTAGAAAACGAATTTTGTAAATCTTTCACTTAATACAATATTGTAAACTAATTCCCTCAACCAAACTGTGACTCTTGTATGAAATGGAATCTCAGACCAGCAGGGAAACAGATGTATATTCTGTATGACAACTGACTTAATCAACTGTGGCTAGAAAGTGAACTTTCATCTTCTGCGAGGAATGTTATTTTCCCCAACTTTCACAATGTGACTTGTAACTATCTGTGTGACAGTATTTTTTCTACTTGGATGTGTCACTATTTTCATACACTTGTTAAAGTTCTCGCCACAACACAATGCATGTCTTTAATACTTCATTAATCTTCAAGAAATAAAACTTCTAATGAAACATGGTGTGATTTGTTTGATCATGTTTGACATGTTCTTGGAACAGTTTGATTGTTTGTTGTTTATGCCACATTTCACAATATTCCAGCTACATGATGGCGGTCTGTAAATAATCCAGTCTGGACCACACAATCCAGTGATTGATATCATGAGCATCGATCCACGCAATTGGGATATATCATGCACGAACCAAGTCAGCGAGCCTGACCACCCAATCCCGTTAGTTGCCTCTTACGACAAAGACAGTCGCCTCTTATGGCAAGCATGGGTTGCTATTCTACCCCCCATTTTCACGAGTCCCAGCTGTATTAAAAAGGACTTGTGAGCAATCAAATCAGAGAAACCAGGGATCGACATTATGAGTAACATCCAACCAAGTCACCAAGCCCGGCCACCCGATCCATTTACTCACTTCGTAAAAGAAACACAAATCCTTTCCATGGCCAAAGTGTATGAAAATGTAATGATTTTTCAGGTTTCAAAATGATGGTGTTTTTTGGGGAGAATAACCAATCTGGGATAAAACTTAATGACATATGAGCTCTCAAAATGCCAGATCTTTTCTTCTGAGGAGCGCCGGATATTTATGAACATTTAGTCATTTAGTAATGTTTATAGTATCCAATTGTTACACATGTAAACTTTATCGGGGCGAACCCACAAGGATAGGTTTCCGGCGTCCCCTGTCTGTAAACAAACAGTCGGACAGGCAATGCATTGGTTATGAAAACTTCAAGCCAGGTGACAGATTGCAACAAATCAATAAGTTGATGGGGTGCTTGCACACAGCATTGATGGTTGTTCATGCTATCAACCACAGTGGCGACTGTACCCAAACAGCAATGATGGTTGTTCAGGCTTTCAACCACAGTGGCGACTGTACCCAAACAGCAATGATGGTTGTTCATGCTATTAACCACAGTGGCGACTGTACCCAAACAGCAATGATGGTTGTTCATGCTATCAACCACAGTGGCGACTGTACCCAAACAGCAATGATGGTTGTTCATGCTATCAACCACAGTGGCGACTGTACCCAAACAGCAATGATGGTTGTTCATGCTATCAACCACAGTGGCGACTGTACCCAAACAGCAATGATGGTTGTTCATGCTATCAACCACAGTGGCGACTGTACCCAAACAGCAATGATGGTTGTTCATGCTATCAACCACAGTGGCAACTGTACCCAAACAGCAATGATGGTTGTTCATGCTATCAACCACAGTGGCAACTGTACCCAAACAGCATTGACGGTTGTTCAGGCTATCCACCACAGGTTCAGACTGAAAGAAGACACTTAACGCCAATATTGCGGTAACAAAGTGAAAATCAAGATGATATAGAATGATGATATTTTATTTATTATGATAAATAAATGACAACAATGTGATGGATGTTCTTAATCAACAATTAGTACACTTTGATGCAACAATCATTTACCCAGATGCTAACATAAGAGACATACTCTTCCAGTACCTGAACACTGTGTCCAACTGCCATTCCTACACACAACTGAAAAAATATGATAATTTTGATATTCCAGTTGTGAATGATCAAATTTGAATATTTAACTGAAAGATGCAATGATGTATCCCAATACTGTTATATAACAATACATTCTGCTTCCTTGCTCGCGATACTACAGTCAGGCCACATTCCCCGAACAAGGTTATCCAGCACTTCTTCGTAAAAAGGCCTTTTTCACATTCAGTACACATTCAAAATTGTTCAAGCCCATAAACAGAATGACCAAACCGCATTTCCTGCTATTTTAAATCAGCGATAGGATTTTAATCAATTGTCAGAGCTATGGAAATCATGGTTATGTACAATGCCATAATGAACACGGTGGACGCCTATGCGATGATCTCAGCATAACAGCTATATCATTGTCATACACTCATTGTATCCGTGTTGTAAAATCGCATTCATATTTTTCACTAACTACTCTCATATCTTCCCAGTGTATTGTCCAATTACTCACAGGAACTTGACACACCTTACACCTCCTGTCATCACTGGCTATGATACAAGTCTTGTCATCACTGGGCAGTGATATTAGTCTGTCATCACTGGGCAATGATACAAGTCTGTCATCACTGGGCAATGATACAAGTCTGTCATCACTGGGCAGTGATACAAGTCTGTCATCACTGGGCAGTGATACAAGTCTCATCACTTGGCAGTGATACAAGTCTGTCATCACTTGACAATGATACAAGGCTGTCATCACTGGGCAAGGATACAAGTCTGTTATCACTGGGCAATGATACGAGTCTCATCACTGGGCAATGATACAAGGCTGTCATCACTTGACAATGATACAAGGCTGTCATCACTGGGCAAGGATACAAATCTGTCATCACTTGACAATGATACAAGGCTGTCATCACTGGGCAATGATACAAGTCTGTCATCACTGGGCAGTGATACAAGTCTCTCATCACTGGGCAATGATACAAGTCTGTCATCACTTGACAATGATACAAGGCTGTCATCACTGGGCAATGATACAAGTCTGTCATCACTGGGCAGTGATACAAGTCTGTTATCACTGGGCAATGATACGAGTCTCATTACTTGGCAATGATACAAGGCTGTCATCACTTGACAATGATACAAGGCTGTCATCACTGGGCAAGGATACAAGTCTGTCATCACTGGGCAATGATACGAGTCTGTCATCACTTGGTAATGATACATGTCTGTCAGTCACCTAGCAAGGATGCAAGTCTGTCAGTGATCACTGGGCAATGATACAAGTCTGTCATCACTGGGCAATGATACGAGTTTGTCATCACTTGGTAATGATACAAGTCTGTCATCACTTGGTAATGAAACACGTCTGTCAGTCACCTAGCAAGGATACAAGTCTGTCAGTGATCACTGGGCAATGATACAAGTCTGTCATTACTTGGCAATGATACAAGTCACTAGACATCATAGTCCTGGCATGACATAGGCAATGTTATCCAGTGTTTTGCCATGTGTGGGACGTGAACAGCCGTTGATTTCCGGTACCTGCTGCGTGAGACACATAAGGGGTCCGAACGAGCACAGAAGCGAGTCTAGAAGCACGGACATACTACCCTGCACTGCTATCAGACCCTGCAAGACAAGAGGAGAATAATGTTACCTAAACTCACATGAACACTGAAACTAGATATAATTGTAATCCTCAACTATATCAGAACATCAAAAGGAACTACATGTATGTTGGGGTAAAAAACTGCCCCTACTTGCAAAAATCGAAAAACTTTAGTCTTTAATCTCTTCTGAGGTTTTACTTGGTCCCATAAAACAAAGACAACCACCTTTGTTTGTTTGTTTTTTTTGTTTGTTATTTAACGCCACACTCAGCATGTACAACTACATGACAGAGGTCTGTAAATAATGAAGTCTGGACCAGACAATGCAGTGATTGACATTCTGATCTATGCAATTGGGATACGATTACATGCATCCACCAAGTCAGCGCCCTCACCACCAATTAGTTGCCTCTAACAACAAGCACAGGTTTCTGAAGACCAATTTCAACCTGGATCTTCAGGCTATGAGATATTTGCATTTCTTGTGCTTATCATGCTCAGGTCATACATGTAACAGATCACATTATGTGGAGAGTTCCCTATCTGCTTCTATCATGAAGTATTCCACTTACCACAAATTTGATCTGACTTTCTCAAAATTGAAGAGCATTTTACAGTAATTCATGTTAAGCCAACGCAGATAGTGAGGATACACATATACTTGAATCAAGTTGTATCATGTGTTGTAAACATGGTAAAGATACACATTTGACCAGGAACTAAGTGAGGGACTGTTTCTATAGTTTAATGTTTGTTTGTTGTTTAATGCCACACTCAGCAATATTCCAGCTATATGACGGCAGACTGTAAATTATTGAGTCTGGACCAGACAATCCAGTGATTGACATTATGAGCATAGATCTATACAATTGGTACACGATGACATGCATCAACCAAGTCAGCGAGCCAGGCCACCCGATCCAGTTAGTCGTCTCTTACGACAAGCATAGTCGCCCTTGACAGCAAGCATGGGTTGCTGAAGACCTATTCTACCCCGGATCTTCACGTGGCTCTACACTTTAATACTAGCCTTGTGTTCCTGCAGCCGCATCCCGATGATGCTGAGAGACTCCCCCAGCAGCTTCAGATGGGCAGCCACATCAACAGGCTCCGTTCCAAACCCCTGAAACAGAGACACCTTTCACTGTTTCCATACTGTTACTGATGTTACAAGCATACTGTATGTGAACAAACTGCTTAAAGGGCAAGTTCACACGGAAATTAACCTATTTTTCTTGTACTTTTTCCACATTAAAAGTGTTAACCTAGAAGTGTCATAGACAAAAATATAAAAATATCACAATTAAATAACATATTTTTCGCATTAAAACGATTTATATTTTTCACATTTACCAAGTGTTCTATTTCCACAACAAAAACACCATGGCTTATGCCCCTTGCAATATGACGTCATTGGTGCCAATTGATAAACATTATGACGTCATCATGCTTTGTTAGAGCCGCTTCACGTGGTGTAGGTCTAGGTGTGTGATTCTAGCGTCTCAGATGCCAGCCAGCATAGTGTTATGCTGAGTCACCACTGCGCCGGAGTGTGTCGTAGGCCATGTTGTTTTACCGCAAACTGGTACTTGATATCTTTTGCGAATAGACAGGGACCCAGTTGAATTGGCACCAATTACGTCATAATCTAAGGGGGATAACTCAGGCCTGTTTAGCTCGAAAAACGAAGGCCTCATAACGGCATATCATTTTCACACTATTGTGAGCTTCCTACTTTCACTGTGAAAAAAATGAGTGTATATTTTCAAACACAGATACTAATTAATTCTAAAATTGCGTTTTGTTAAGAAAAAGAAAGAAAGTGATTTTTGCGTGTAAACTTCCCCTTTAAACACGATAATGACATTTCATCAAACTCCTGTACTACTGGGTACTCAAAACTTTTTTTGAAAAGTAATACATTTTCAAGCATGCCACAAATGACAAAGGGAGACAACTTTTGACAGCTCCACGTCATTTCTACAACACAAGATATTTAAATCACCCAAGTTGACCTTAAAACATAGCAATTAGTTCTCCAAGAATTGAAAACTTTACTTTAAATTCTATATTCAATATGGTTGAGTCTGCTTGACAGGGTATACATACCTTGATGGGACTTAGTGCAGACTCCTCCCCTGATGCCTTGGCTATCCTGGCCCCCTGGTGTGGCACCATGGGCTTAGCAACAGGCAGGGTGGGTGCAGTGGGTGTGGCTGGGGCAGGGGGCGTGGACACAGCAGGTTTAGGCTTGTTACCCTTCCCTGTGCTGATGAGGGTGGAGCCCTTCCCCGCCATCTTCTTAGCTTTCCTTTTCCAACACTTAAGGAAAGAGACATACAGACATCTTGTCAAGTTGAAACCCAGTAACTAAAAAAACAGAGACCGTATTCGACGTAATAAGCGCCCCACTCTAATAAGTTGTTAACTAGAGAAGAGTAAAAACAAAAGTTGGAAAAGAGGCAAACTTAGAATATATTTTTGGCTCAAGTCACTTGATTTGGAACATTATGAGAGTGTATTGTGTACATAATGTGACTATTAATTTCTAAAGTTTGTTTGTTTGCTTGTTTGTTGTTGCCTCACTCAGCAATATTTCAGCTATATGACGACAGTCTGTAAACAATCGAGTCTGAACCAGACAATCCTGTGATTGACATCATGAGCATCGATCCACACAATTGGGATATGATGACAAGCATCAACCAAATCAGCGTGCCTGACCACCAGATCATAGTTGCCTCTTATGACAAGCATGAGTTGCTGAAGACCAATTCTAATCCAGATCTTCACAGGGTCATATCTTGGTGTAATGCACAGTATAATACTTTACCCATTTTTCTTTCTTTGTTAATGTCTGCCACATCTCTCCAAGACGCCTGCTAATCTGAGCAAAATCTGAAACGTCAAATTAACAAGAATAAGAGTGAGTGAGTGAGTGAGTATGGTTTTACGCCGCTTTTAGCAATATTCTAGCAACATCACGGCGGGGGACACCAGAAATGGGCTTCACACATTGTACCCATGTCTGGAATCAAACCCGGGTCTTCAGCGAACGCTTTAACCACTAGGCCACCCGATCGCCCCACCTTGGAAGAGAACCAACAGAAGTGACTACAGTGGGCTACAACTCACCAATGCCTGGGTTTTCGGCTACTAGTTTCGCCCGATGAGCATTGCAGTACAGCGTGTAGGCTGTGGGTGGACGTTTCCGCTTCTGGAATAAGCAAGATAGGTCGGCTTGAGATTCCTTGTCTCTGACTTTTGGATATTGCAATGCATGAATAATATTACCTCAAAGCCACTCAGCATATATTCTTTCTACATGACGGTAGCCTGTAAAAAAGGTCTCTAAATTTTTTTGACTTTGCAACAGACAATCCAGTGATTGATGTTATGAGCAACAAACCACATTGGGCCTTTTAAGTCATTGAGTCTGACCTTTCAATCCAATAAGTCGCCACATACAACAAACATAGGTTGCTTGGAACCAATTTTAACGACTCCCCCATCCTTGCTTGACAACGGTATAAGGATCTATACTGAAACGTCGCTTTTTAAAGTATCAAAGAAGTTGTTTTCCAAAAATCTTGTCTACCTTGTCCCCATGGGGGATGCATATAATAGCTCACAAGGATTCCCCCCTTACAAGAATTCACTGTTACAATATTAGTGAGGATTAAGCTTCTCTCCTCCAAATTCTTGCCCCTCGTCAAGTGATATTCCGCAAAAAATGTTCAGCGGTAGAATTCTTGCATGTGTGGGTAACAAGCAGTTTTAACAGTATTCTAGTTGTATCATGGCAAGTCAGCTTCATGTGTCAGAAAGTGGTGCGGGTCTCAGACATTTACCACTTTGGTGAAACCCATGAGCACGGGTATGGTGCTGACAAACCAAGAAACATAATCAGGGCGAACCGTCATTTGAACCCTGAAACACATGTTTCCAGTATGACCAAGGGACACTACTCTGCGGCCATCATTATCCCTGTACATTTTAGGTTCTTGCTTTCCATTTTCATCATTGGTATAATAAACACCCTTCGCCGAGTGAGTGAGTGAGTGAGTGAGTGAGTGAGTGAGTGAGTGAGTGAGTGAGTGAGTGAGTGAGTGAGTGAGTGAGTGAGTGAGTGAGTGAGTGAGTGAGTGAGTGAGTGAGTGTGAGTGAGTGAGTGAGTGAGTGAGTGAGTGAGTGAGTGAGTGAGTGAGTGTTTAGCAATATTCCAGCAATATCACAGCAGGGGACACTAGAAATGAGCTTCACATATTGTACCCATGTCAGAAATCGAACCCGGGCCTATTGCGTGATCTCACCTTACTAAGCAGGTCGGATTCTTCCTTCTCTTTCTCTTTTTCTTTCTTCTTCCCACTTTTCTTGTCTCCAACCTTCACCTTGGCAGCAAGTGCAGCAATGTCTCCTTCTGGTGGAGCCGGATTGGAACCTTCTGCATCACATGACAGGCAATAAATACCACACAAGCTTTTCATTTCCAACACTTTCATGTTTGTTTGTTGTTTAATGCCGCACGCAGCAATATTACAGCTTTATGATCATGATGATGGCAGTCTGTAAATAATCAGGTCTGGATAGGGACATGCCTCATCAAATCAGGTTTACAATATCAGATTACTGGTACACAAATTCAAAGACTTATGACATGTATGATGTCGATCAGAAAACCATGCTGCATCCCCATGATCACTGTAGCAAATAAAAATAACTACTTTGGTTTGTTTGTCGTTTAATGCTGCACTCAGCAATATTCCAGCTATATGATGGTACTATGTAAATAATCTAGACCAGACAATCCAGTGATTTGACATCATGAGCATCGAAGACATGCATCAACCAAATCAGCAAGCATGATCACCTAATCCTGTCAGTTGCCTCTTACGACAAGCATGGGTTGCTGAAGATCCATTCTAACACATTCAACACTTTCACGAATCACCAACAAGGACACGTATCTGTCACAGAGATAACTGTGGTAATTCTACCACCCAGCTGAAAATATTTGATGTCATTTTTCTGTTGTACTGAAAGCTCAGTCAATTCAATTATTAATAACAGATTTTTATGAAGGAATATTCTACTCTTGCTGATTTTTTTCCCTCTTGTGTTTTCTCCACACATTGTACTGGCATTATTTGTACCTTCAATACCAACATACCACAAACAGCATGCCAATGAAGAGGTCCTTTGTCATTTGTATGACTTAAGAATGTTTATGGTATCCCCTGATTAATAAACTGTAGCAGCAAGACTCCCAGGACCTCCCTTAATTTCTAATGGTGTGTGTACTATGATGGCAGCCAGAAATTAATAGACTCTAGTGATTGATATTGTGAGCAACGATCAACGCCGTCAGAATACGATGACAAGCAATCAACCAAGTCTCCGAGTCTGACCACCAAATTCCCCTCTTACGCCAAGCATTGCTGGGACCAATTATAACCAGGAATCCCCACAGGGTTGCAATCTGACATTTTAAAAGCCATGCAAGTTCAAACAACAAAGACCCTACCGTTACCCGTTTCTTGACCATGCTTCTTCTTGGCCTTGCTACCACTTCCAGTAAGCTTCTTCTTGGATTTCACTTTATCTCCGTCATCGGCAATGACCAGGTTTGGTTCATACTCAACATCTATGGGACTGTCACTCAGTTTGCTGGAGTTAAATGCAGCGGCCAGAGTCGGGTCCATGCTGGGGGTGGACGGTCCAGGAGTCGGAGCAGGCTTGATCTTCTTCTTGATTGAGTGCTTCTTCTTGCCGGATGTCACCAGCGCAGCCAGGTTGGGCATGGCCTCCGATGCACTCGGACTCTCAGCTGGAGCTACAGGTTTAGGAGTAGCTGGTTCTTTAGGAACAGCACTAGCATCAACTGTCTTCTTTTTCTTCTTCTTAACAGACTTTGCTAAAGCTAATGCTGTGGCCTGATTACCCGATTCCAACATTTGTTCAAATGATGCCTTTGGTTTTTTATCCCTGGGTGATAGAAGCAGCTTCATTTTTAAACTGTCCATACTCCCTGCGGCATCTATAGGCTTGGATGATGCAGTAGGGGGAGTAACAATAGGAATAGCAGTTGAAATTTGTGGTTTGGGTGTCAGAAGTAATTTAGGTTTAATCTCCACCTCCTGTTTAATAGGCTCTGGCACTGGTTCAGAGAGGATCATATCTTCCTCGTCATCTTCCAACAAAATTCCACCCGGTTCCAGTTTTACTTTGGCTTTCAATGTTTTTTTCACATTTGGACTTACCTGCCCAGGGCTGAGTTCTGAATTGGGCGAAGTCTTTGTGACAGCTTTCGTGCTGACAGAGGGAGTGGTGGGAATAGCTGGCGAGCTCAGCAGGAATTTGATGACACTGCTGGGTGTCTGACCTGTCTTCGCAGCCTGCGGACTGCTCTTCGTCTGAGGTGGCGTTACAGGCAATGGTTTAGCTACGGGAGACACCTCTACTTTCTCTATCTTGACTTTCTGCTTCTTTGCGGGTGGTGGGGCAGTTGGACTGGGTGTAGACGGTGCTGGTGGCACTGTTGATACTGTTGGAGCTGTTGGTGGCTTTACTGCCTTGGAAGCGTCCACAGCTCCCTTCTTGGTGAACTGTTTCTTCTCAGCTTCCTCAAATTCCTCCATCTCCAGAACTTTAGCAGACTTCTTCCTCACCTGTAGATCAGGTACCACATGTGAATCAACATGCCAGCGATTGGACCTACATTAAGTCTAAAAACAGTGACCCTAGAACACATAACAGTCAAATGAGAGGCAGCATTAGAAATTGGCACTTGTCCTATAAGTCCTTGCAAACTGCCCAATAGTTAAGGTGTATAAAGGATGAGTAGAAATTTGCCATTTATAAGGGTTTTGCCATATGTTATCCTTATAACGACTAGAAGACTAATATGTTAGTTTCTATCACTGAGAGACCAGTAATTCTATATTATACCAGACCAGCTGCCCAAGCAGTAAATACAATGCACGTCTTCTTATTGTTTGACAATGTCCATACTCACTTCAGCCATGTTAACTCAAATGTCCTGAAGCTATTGTATTGTTCAAATGGTTTACCATGTGCTTACAGGGGTTTTACACCAGCTTACAGGCCACAGTCAGCAGTATTCCAGCCAAATCATTGCAGCTTGTAACGAACTGAGTCTGGGCCAGGCAACCAGCAGACAGCAGTCCATGTCTTGAGGACACACAAGAATCCAAGTAACCATGGTAACAGAGTCGGACCACCCCATCAAATGTTTTCACCACTCTCTCCACATGGCTGCCACAATGATGTAACCTTGTTTCAATATTCCAAAATCGTTCACAAACAATTTTGCCCCCTTTGTCACTTCCTGAGTCAGTTTTGTTTCCTTAGAACGTTTAGAACTACTTACTACTTACTACTTTGAGAAAAAAGTGACAAAGAGTGAGGCCAGTGTCGTGTTTCATATAAAGAGCTGATATAAGAATATGCGTTTCTTTTTGTTAGGTACCATCTAGTTTTACGGAACTTAACATTGACACATAGACAAATACCGAATAATTCTGCTCATTGATCAGTTGGGATGATCCAATAATCAATCATGATTTTACAATCCATTCCAAACACTAATGCTATACATAATCATATGATTGGCATTACGTGAGGGGAAATAGGGTTTAATATTGCGTCCAATATTATTGCAATTATATGGCGACGTGGATGCACGTGTGTATGTGTGTGGCTGCTTGTACTAGTTCGGACTGATGCTGATTAATAGTGCTAGCGCACTGAGATACCATACTGACTCGGAGCCAACCAGTCCTTGTTTTAGCCCCTTAATGCCAGACGCCAGACAGGGTAACAACAAGTACCATCTTTTGGTATGACGCGGCCGGGGATTGAACACCGGACCTTCCGTTTTCTGGGCTGACGCTCTACCATTAGACCACGGAGTTGGGTCTGATTGGCATAAGGGGGATCCTTGAGGTCTTCTTTGGTATTTCAATCTAGGAAGCTGATTGACCATAATGCTTAATTTCAAACAAGATTTTATGGTTATATGAGTGGATTTGGGAGGAAACCACACATTCCTTGCAGTCTCGTGATTGGTCCTGGGTTACACATGAACACTCACCCTGCCTTGTCTGTCACCGGAGTCGGACATCTTGCTGGGGGTCTTCTTGTCTTCCCTGAAATGCAAGACTTGTCATGAGCATGATGATAGATGTAACAATAATCAACATAATATATTATTTATTGATGCTTTGGTTAACCACAGTACATTTTGTCAAATTGTATTAATATGACCTGGCTGAACCATTTACATAGATCACCATACAAAATATAATATTAGTAAAATCTAAATATTTTTTACATTTGTATACTTATCCTGCATTACTCCTTAATGCATTCACTGCTTACTTACGACAACTAGAAGGACAGCGCTGCGAAGGTCCTGGGTGAAGAAATAAAGTTGTTGTTCTCAAGTCCCAATCAGTGGCCTTCCGTCGCTGTCCTGTGACCTTGATGACACTTAAGGTCATCTTCACATCACTGCCTGTCGCCCAAGCTCTTAGAAAAACATACTTTTGAGGTTTCTGAAGCCAAAGTGGGGAGGCAAGTCTAACGACGGGTGGGCCTTAAGCGTAGTAATGCAGGATAAGTATACAAATGTAAAAAATATTTAGATTTTACTAAATTTTTTACTTATCCTGCATTACTCCTTAATGCATCTGTATCGGACGGTTTGGAGGTGGGTAAACCTTCAGAATACAGAAACCTCAATAATTCACACCCTGCAATACGACCCCATTTGGTCGATAAACCGTGAAGCGGAAAAGTTCAGACAAAAACGCCATTACGGTAGGGTTGTTCAAAAATCAAAAACATTGAACATAGGAATTAAAGAGAAATTCCCTATACACGCTTAGTAATAAAGAAAATAATAGCTATTCAGCTAATTCTTTACTTACTGCGTCATAGAGCCGTCGCTGACAAACAAGATTGTCTAATATTCTTCCACTGGTGGCGACTGAGTGACTGCACATGGAAGTTGACTGGCTCTGTATAGGGCGAATTCATTATTTGCGTCAGGAGTTGGCAATCTGCAGGATAACAACCAGAGGGCCAAACTTCGAACGTCTTCGACATCCTCGAGAGTCACAACGCGAAGGTTATGACTAACGAAAATATGTGTCGAATCTCCAGAAATATCCTTCCGTGATTGTTCCAAAACCACAATTGCCGTGTTGAGCCCTGGTAAGGCTGACACCTTGAGATCTTGAGGGTAATTCGCTCTCGGCGAGTTCCGTTTGATGATCTCGTAGGCCTGAAGGATTACTGCGCGTAACCATATAGATATGGTGTTTGCGATTATGCGACTAACTTCTGTCGTGGACGAACCACGCCTTGTCTTGGAGCGTCGAATGAAAACTCCAACTGCTCGCACCGAGCCCAGGAGAACTTCACCATGTACGATTCCCACAATAGTCGATATCGGTGGGATGGTGAAGAACGGTCGGGTTGGCCTGGTAGTAGATTTTAGCAATAAAATCCCAGCATAACCCTAGATGTCCCGTTCCGTGCGTCCCATGCTCAAAACGGATCCGGGTTGAGTCGATCACATGTAGTTCGCTCACCCGTACCGCCATTGCTAATGCCAAGAGAAACCATTGTTTCCTTGGTGATGTCCAAGCTCCTCACAGCGATAGCCCGTTCGCGGAGCTCTCTATACTATACCGAGAGTGTAACGAAGGTGTCACGCGCTGGGAAGGAGCTTGAAAATGAGGATGCAATGAGGGGCTCGAAGGGGGCCCTCGCAAACCTCGAAGTACCACGTTCAAGTCCCAATCAGGTGGCTGGAACTTGGCCTTCTGATCCTCAAACCTGAATGAGCATAATATGGCCTGTAGTTCCGTGACCTTAATCACACTGTGATTTTCCAGAAACGGCTAACACTAAGATAATTGCAGCCAATTACGTAGTAATGGTGCTACCTTCCAAGTGTTTTTGGGTACGCAATGTAGGAGGTATTCCTCTAGGAATTGTGACGCAATCGTAGGGTCTTGATTCTTTTCTTCCCTGTAAAAAGTCTCAAGTGATCCCCACTTGTCATCGTCGTCTCTGGGAGAGTAACGATGAACTAAAGCTATAGCTTTGCTGCCCGTGTCGAAATAACCCTTCGCACTTAAACGCCTTTTAAAGACGAACCATGCGTGCAGACGTTGGGTGAGGCAATTTTCTGTTGAGGGTGGATGAGTAGGTTGGACCACTGTGAGAGGGGAAGTGAATCGTTTTAGATTTTTCCGAGCTTGACGAACTACCCTCTCGCCGGTTACCATGGTGCGACCAAAGGAGAGATCGAGATACCTTGTCTCCTTGATCCCCTGTAGCACCTTGGGAAGTAAAAGTGGTGGCAGAAGAGTTTTAGTTCTTTGCCCTTCCCAAGTGATACTGAACTCGTCCACCGCCCAAGTCTGCGGATCCGGCAACGGGGAGATATACGTCATGAGTTGGTGGCCTAGGCAAGTAATAAACAAGTCAATGTTTGGTTGCCTGAATTCCTGAAGCAGTAACTGGAATGCTTCTGTGAGAAATTTCCACTCGGTGGGAGCAACCCTGTCTGGACGTGATAACGTATCGGCCAGTATGTTTCTACATCCGGGGATGTGCTGAACTATGAACCTTAGTCACAGCCGATCCACTAGATGGAAGAAATCTGAATGTCCTTAGAAGTGGAGAGTGGGAGTGTGTTGTTCCCCGATTGCACAGGCACCACACCGCAGTGCTGTTGTCTGTGGATATAGCGAGTCGGGCTAACTGTAGTTGATTCTGCCAATGTGATATAGCCAGAATTAAAGCTTCCAACTCCAAGTTGTTTATGTGCCACTTCCATTGTGCGCCGGGCCATAGCCCTGAGCTAATCTGGTCTTGTAAGTGAAGACTCCACCCCTGAAAGGGGACGTCCACAAACAGGTGTGTATTCGGGGAAAACCCAAATAAACAGACTCCGCAGGCATTCAGCGCCACAAATTGAGGCAAGGCTCTAGCTTAGTTGGTAGAGTGATGGCCTTGAGTGGATCCTGACTCCTGATGTAAGGGTTCAGGAAAAAATTGAATTGGTCGCTGTTGTAAGCGGCCCATGCTAGTTAACTCCTGTGCCGAGGTGATTAACCCTAGCAACACTTGCCACTGGCGAAGTGTGTGTGGTTGGTGTAGAGTAGATGACAAAAGAAGTAGAAACTTGTGCCATCTGTCCCCTTGGTACAGATAGGATATCCTGGTCTGTCTTAAACAGGTCTCCTATGAAGTGAAGTCAATAGGAAAGAGAATACTCCCGACTTCGCCTCGTTGATTGTCTATCCCAGTTATTGACATGTGTTGATGATACAGTAGATCGCCCTCCATCTACGACTCGAACCAAGTGTTCGTCACGTGTAGATAGTTATTGGCTTCATTACTCCTGTAAATAGCCATAAGTGTCACTGACATGTCAAATGGGAAATACTACCATTGGTAGTGAACCCCAATGAACTGGACCTGAAAAGTCTACGGTTGGGATGGATAGTCGAGACTGATGAAGAATCAAACGTTCGTTGAACACAGAGATTGTGGATCATTCTCATCTTGTCTGGGTCCTTCATGAGTACCAGGTAGGTGCGAGGATAAAACCTCGGAGTAAAGACTGGGTTGTGAACCCACTCTACAGCTCTTCTTACCAACAGTATGTCTATGTTGGATTTTCCCAATCAAACTGTGGTCAACGGTGGGGTTAACTCTACCCTTATACGGACACCATGATATAGTGCGATAAGTACGAAATCGTCCTTGAGACTTGTCTCTGCCACTCCCTTTCTCAGTAAGGGAATGCTGGTCTTCCCTGAGAAACGCGCGTCTAGGCTTATAATTCCCTGACTTGGACTTTCCAAGCTTTTTGGGAACTTGATGTGCGTGTCTGCGATCTGTTCGTTGAACAGGGGAGTAGATGATCAAGGTTGACGTAATAGACTGCCCTTGAAACCAGCATCTCAGTTGGAAACGCTATAAAGTCTTGGGTGTAACGGTAATCACCGTCAGAACGGTCTCAAGATGAATTTTCCTGTGGTCAAACTGACGCTGTAGGAAAAACACCAAAATTTGGAAGTGATCTAATCAGATAGGGTTATCCTCTAATAGATTCTGATCCACTGCAAACATTGACGATATTGGTCGCTTAAATCACGGAGCAAATGTGAGTTTTGGAGAAGGCTTCCTCCAATGACCTCGTGGTGTCCCTCTTATTTACCCTGTTATCAGGGGAGGGCGTTACTGACACGAGATGGTCTGCTTCCCAATCGGGTACATGTGCTAAGCTGATCATGTGCCGGTTACGTAACCGAGTACACTGTAAGCCTTGGGCTAACGTCATTGTAGAGACCTTGATTGATACGCAGACGCTGCGCTCAGCGCAGGTCTGGAATGTTGGAACAGCGCTAAGCTGATCGTGCGACGTTTGCGTAATAGGAGCGCTTTGGGTAGCAGTCAGACGCTGCGCTCGGCGCAGGTCTATGCTGGATATGTTGGAACAGCGCTAAGCTGATCGTGCGTCACTGGCGTAATAGAATCGCTTGGGTATCAGTCAGACGCTGCGCTCGGCGCAGGTCTATGCTGGATATGTTGGAACAGCGCTAAGCTGATCGTGCGCCGCTTGCGTAATAGAAGTGCTTGCGTCTAATCTACCCCCATCATAGCATCTCGATACGCTGGTGCTGGTGCTGTCGCCGACGTCACAGATTATCATACATGTATCTGGAAGTGTCCGGCGGCTGAAAAAATAGGAGCAGTTACGATACTCACAAAATCCTCCGGTATTGTTGATTTCGGTGGATGGTGTACTTCTGCAATCACAGTCGTCACAATACCTGCCGATAATAACGGTTGGGTGGTAATGACAGAACCATATGTCATTCGCTATTCTGCGATAGTGACATTCCTCTCGTCTCACGACGGAATAACTGCAAAATATGATTGTGAGTAATCTGCTTTTATATAGTAAACTCGTTGGATTAGAGATTTACATAAAAATTACATTTTGAATTTTGGCGAGCACATCTACGTGCATGCCTATGACCGTGGATAAAGAGCTTTGGGCGATTATTCCACGACAATATGTACACCGAGCAAACATAATTATGTTACGCAATTAAACCATTGAAGAAATGGTACTGGAAGAATGCCGTAGAATTGAACAGTAATCTATCGGCAAAAATACGAATTGCAAGGGTATACAATATTTTTATATACGCAATTCAATGTAAACTAAGGCTATTTACATTTAGAGATTGGAGAGCACATCCGCGCGCAAACCAACCAATCGTGGATGATAATCTTGTAAGGTTTTTTCCACGACAATTAGTAAAATGCTCAAAGGTATGTTACGCAATGAAACCCTTGTTGATGAGATAATACTGGAAGAGTGCCGAAGAATTTGAACACTAATCTATCGGCAAATTTATGAGTTGCAAGGATATACAATATTTTTGTATGCGCAACCCAATGTAAACCAAGGGTATTTATATTTTCATTTAGGGTTTGGGGAGCACATCTGCGCGCAAACCAAACAACGTGGATGATAATCTTTGTAAGATTTTTCCCACGACAATTAATACCACGCTCAATCATAAGTTACACAATTACATATATATATGTATAATGTATAATCAATATATATATATATGTATAATCAATGTCTGTACATATAGAGTAGGGAAAGGGCCACCTAAGTTGGATAACTTTTGCCCAATCCCGTTGACCATATATGTCAATAAAATATGTTTAAAACAAACACAATTACGCCATTGTTGATGAGGCGGTACTGGAAGAATGCCATAGAATTGAACAATAATCTATCGGCAAAAACTACGAGTTGCAAGAGTATACAATAGTTCATATACGCAACTCAATGTAAAACCAAAAATACCAACAAAAAACTATTTAATCGCATAAACATAGGTACGCAATAAAAGAATTGTTGATGAAGCGGGACTGGAAGAAAGCCGTAGATTTGATATTAATCTATCGGCAACCATATTTTTAACGAGTTGAAAAAGTATACAATAATTTTAGTATACGCAACTCACTGTTACGCCAAAGCTAGTAATATTTAAGAACATAAGAATATGTTATACATACGTAGCTGAGAATTGTAAACAATATGACTACCTTGGCAGGCAAACGATTGTAACACAATTCAAAATGGCGGCGAACAACAATATTTTGGCGGGAAAAAAGACAAGCGTCTTTTCACGCCTAATTAATTCACATAAAACTACACAACATGGTGAAAGTAATATGAAAAGAATACATCACCCATCGCAGATCAATTTTTAAGATTGTAGACAAACTGAAGGTCTAAAATTAATCCAAAAGGAGAGCTCCGCTTGGACACGTCCTAGCTGTGCTGCGACAAGCAGTGATGAGAAGATGACCTTAGGTGTCATCAAGGTCACAGGACAGCGACGGAAGGCCACTGATTGGGACTTGAGAACAACAACTTTATTTCTTCACCCAGGACCTTCGCAGCGCTGTCCTTCTAGTTGTCGTAAGTAAGCAGTGAATGCATTAAGGAGTAATGCAGGATAAGTAAAAAATCACATCTTTGTCAGTGAATGTAGAAAATGCTGTGAGGGGTGAGTAAAAAAACTCCCTCTGTTAACAGAGCTTTGAATTGATGTGAATACTCAAGAGCCAGGTTCTTTAAAAGTGAAAATGTTTTTTGAGGGGAAAGAAATCCTTTTTTATTGGGCAAGAAGAACCAGAAAAATAACGCGGTTTCTGTTTAGGCAATGTTCTCACTTTCAAGGGCTCTGTGCACAAAACTCCACTGTCACACTCAGGATTATCATCCATATGCCTCTTTCAGTCTGTGACAAAGGAGTACTGCACTTTACCGGGGACACATTTTTGGAGGATTGAACTCACGTTGCCAGCTTGAAGATAAGCTAGACTAATTAGTCAGTCTAACACTTACAGGAGTCATCACAAATAATTAGTGCTCATGCATCTACCAAGTGATCAGCACCCGATTGTTTACCATTATGCATATGTGCAGTTGCCATGTTGTCTTGAAAACTCGAAACTTGATATTGTAAAGATTTTCCTCAAATAACATTGAATTAATTAAGATAGCCAACCCATACCCTAAGTCACAACAAACTCTAAGGATCGTAAAGGGGTGCTACCCTTAACATGCCTAAGGATCATAACTGTTTGGTGCCAAAGTGGTGCCCAGCACTAAGGATCATGATAAAATAATAGTTTCGGGTACAATTTATCCGAACATCGCATCAAAATTTTTGATGTTATATTATTGGGTATTGTTTAACTAAATCACAGTAGATTGGTAGAAAATCATCTTCCCGAGGGAAGGGAGTTGTTGACGGACAGTAAAAGTCCAGTTTCCACTCATGCCGAACTAGGATGGAATTTCTTGGTTGATCCAGGGGCTATTACAAGTTATGTCCCTTCTATGTTCCTCCAATTGACCAATCAGATTCCAACTCTAAAATCACTAGCATTTGCTTCAAACAAAATGGCAGCGGCAAATGAAGATGATCTCATCGATAATCAAGATCTATATTCTAATAAAATAAGTCTTACTTCACGAAGTGAATCAAATCACGTGAGTACCTTGATCAAAAACATGAAAAGATTTGGACAATATCTGTTGACACTAAGTTGACAGCACACATGCTTTGCAAATACTGCAATTGAACAAAATCTGCTGCACGGCAGTTTACAAACCGGATGTTGATTTCATTACGTGGATTTGATTGGACTATGCATAGACATCTTAAATTTCTATTTTTATTGAGCAAGTTTGTTATCACCTGTTTGTTTACCTGAATTCTCAGAAGGGATTCTAATTCAATGTGCATAATATGATGTTGAGCGATAGCTTCACCCTTTCAAGTCATGTATGCATTAATCAACAACAAAAACACATGTAAGTTTGGCTGCAGCTCTTTAGAGGGTAGGGAATACCTATGACCAATAACTGTTCACAAGTAATTCAGAGCACCTTTTCACAGATCACAGGTAATTTTTCCACTCATTTCAAATCATGGATAATTACTGTGTAAATAGAAATAATAATTAATTTTTACTTATCAATCTGATAGTGACTAAACCATGTAAACCACGTCATTATCAAGTTTATGTTTTTGCATGTATAAACTTGGATTGCATCTCATATTATTGTAACCATGGTAACAGATAAACTTGATGAAAACACCATATTGGGTGTTTCTTGATATTTTTAGGCAAAGTCCCCCAAAGTTACTACATGGTATTCCCAGTTTTGACATAAAACGAATGACGAATGACAAATGATAACATTTCACAAGAGAGAAAGTAAGACATTGCACAGAAAACATGTAATTTATAGGCAAATTAACAACAACAGGACTGTTGAGAAATAACGTATCACAGCTAATTACTATTGAATCACAGCAAAACAAAAGAGTCAATAATGTATCGCTCTTTATTGTACCAGTATATCCTTTTTTTATATAGCATTCTTTTATCCTCTCTCTGATGGATGTCGCTTCTCTGCAGCGCACCGAGAATAGCACCATACACAATCAAAATTATAGTCCATAAATTTGATTCCGACATTAATATACCTATAATAATATATGATCCATAATTATCCGTCAGGATACTAGCATCTTAGACTATCAGCATTGTACATCTATACGCATGTGCTGCGTGTGTCCCAGGAAGCCGTCAGCCTGTACAGACGTCTCTTAGTATATCAGTAAACAGTGATTAACCAAACCCAGCATTCGTTATGCAGTTCTCAGCTGATATGACAACCCAAGAATATTACACCGCAAAGAAAACGCTGATCCTTATTTCAATACTTTCAAAGTTGGAGCAGTAATTCCTTATAAATACAAGCTGCAAAGGGGTAGAATAAGGGATAATACTGAGTGACATTTTTCTCATATAGAACATAATCATAGCAAACACAGAAGAATTAAAATTCCCTCCCAATGTCAGCTGTCAGTCATTCACTACGACCAAAGACGTCTATAGATCTGTATACATCATCTTTGCACTGACACTATTCTGTACATTCGTTAAACATAAGAAATCGAAGCATTCATAAAAGCGTTCATAAATAGGCTAAAACATTGTAAAGGAAAACACAACCATTCAGTACACATGCGATAGCTTACAGCAATAAATCGCAGACGATTGCAAAATGAACAGCGTCTGTACTTTGGAAATAGCTCGCGTTTGAAATCTTGCTTTAAAGATTAAACAAAACAGAAGATTCAATTGTGTGACTTACAAAGCCTTCTCGATTCCCCCCAAAGCCGCCAACATTAACTACTTCCTGTTGACATGCTCCGCAGTGAATAAACTGGTTTCACTGTTGGTACGCGCCGCAAGCTTAGCGCGATTTACTCATTTAGGTAGACAGGAACCCAGTCTATAAGCGACATCGACCTGACAACATATATACCTATTATATGTTTCGTTTATTCCGTATATTTGTTATCCGGACAATTTCACTGGGAATAATGTATAGTCCGGGTAAACGGCATTTCAAACGGATTTGTTTAACTACAACAAATTGTATGAATTATATAAGTACATGTAATTCACATTTAAAAACTCAGCTTAAGAAAATGTAACATACAGCGAGTCTTTACAGTAGGTTTAAAATGCGAGTCATATACAAACTACTGACAACGTTCATTTTGCACACGACTGCTCTAAAAAATAACCTATTCCCTACATAACGAAAGTTTGTGTGTTTATGAACATTTATGAATATACATCAATATCAAGGCCGAAGTTAACTTTTTTTGACGGGGGGGGATCACTTGTCCCCAACTTGTATTTTTTTCATGATTCAAATAAAACTGTTTGCTATAAAAAAAAATCATATTCGGAATACACATTTTGGTATGTTCTATCTAAACACCTATAATTAGAGACATGAAAAAAAGCTATCGTGTCACACCCTAAACATGACCTAAACACAACATCCTATAATCTAACCATGTTTAGAATTTAAACACGTTTAAAAATGTGTAAAATTCAAACTTGTTGAAATAAAGTGCATATTATTAGGCAATAAGTCAAATATGGATAAGGTGTGTAGTATAATTTTTATTGAAATTAGATGTGCAAATCAGATTCACATTTTTGCATGATACATAATTATACAATGTATACCACCAGGACCACCACCCTAACTATATATAGCCCGCAAGGTGGCGGTGTTTCAGTTTCGTACAGTGACTGACAATGTAAACACAACCGAGTGTCGGGAGAAGCTTTTTGAAAACCATACGGGAACAAGATCACCATTGACCGTCAAACTTCGTATCAATTTGAATGACAAACCCTGGATACCACAAATGGCTCAATATCTAGATATAAGTCAATAAATTGTCAGTAGGTTTATCATAAAAAATAGAATTGATCGTGTATGGCGTCTGCATCAATCACAGTAGTAAAATAAAAAATGGACAAATAAACCAAGATAGATCAATGTTGACTAGGACAAATGATTTTTATGACGACAGCAGTCTCCGTAGCACAAGTAGAAGCGTGATAAAATGAAGACGTTGCATGTTCGTATACCGCCGAGGTTTGAAAATCTAAGTGTTGTGGTTGGTTGGTTTGTTATTTAACGCCGCACTCAGCAATGTTCCAGCTATATGACGGCGGTCTGTAAATAATCGAGTCTGGACCAGGCAAACCAGTCATTAATATCGCGAGCATCGATCCACGCAATTGGGATCGATGACATGCATCAACAAAGTCAGCGACCCTGACCGATCCCATTAGTTGCCTTACGGCAAACAGTCACCTCTTACGGTGGGCATGGGTTGCTGAAGACCGATCCTCACCCGGAATCTTCACGGGTCTTAAGTGTTGTGATATTTGTCGTTGCTCCATCATGACTAAAGGTAGTTGTACTATTTTCTCACACAGGAAGCTTACAATGAATGTACATGCATATCTGATGACTAAGATAGAGCTTTAACGTTTTTTACACTACATTTTACGGTAACTTCTCACCGAGACGACCGCCTCCGTGGTCTAGTGGTAGAGTGTCCGCCTGGAGAGCGGAATGTTCAGGGTTCAATTCCCGGCCGCGTCATACCAAAAGACGTTAAAAAATGGTACTTGTTGTTACCCTGTCTGGCGCTGGGCATTAAGGGGCTTAAACAAGGACTGGTCGGCTCGGAGTCAGCATACTGTGTTCATGTTAAGCTGCGGCATGGTATCTCAGTTGGCTAGCACTTTAAAATCTGCGTCAGTCCAGATTAGTACAAGCAGACACATCTCACATACACGTATACCCACAACGGTATATAAATGCAATAATCTTGGATACGTTAAACCCCCATTTCACCTCACCCACCTCACGGTGACACTGTTCAACTTTAAATCAGCCAGGTGTAGAGTACCCGCAGCTGGTTTTTTAATTGACATTCTATTTCTTTCATCCTTGAGTTCCGCTCCGGAAACTGATAGCACAGATAAAGGCCATTCACTGCTCGTCCTCCAGGCTTGAAGTTGTCAAAGGTTCACGGTTATTCAACTCACCATGAAAAGGGACCCCTCGTTTACCTTCTCTTTCAAGGACAATGATATGCCTGGGATTTAGTTCATGTACAGTCGTCATGGTTGGGCCATGGCGTCTAGCTCTGTTGTTGACCTTCTGCTCTTGTCAAGGTAAGCAATTGGTGTGTGTGTGAGAGAGAGAGAGAGAGAGAGAGAGAGAGAGAGAGAGAGAGAGAGAAAGAAAGAACGAACGAGAGAGAGAGAAAGGAAGAGAGAGAGAGAGAGCGAGAGAGAGAGAAAGAAAGAGAGAGCGAGAGAGATGCTCCTTCTGGGGATGCCCCGCCCTCTTGACAAACGTTAGATCCAAGCATCCCATGCTTGTCACAAGTGACTGTGTAGGATCGGGTGTGACAGTTATAACCTGGTTGATTGTGTGTGTCATCATGTCCCCAATATTAGGACCCCCTGCTCAACGTAACATCCGCTTGTCTGATTAGTCCTGGCAGACTTCTAGGGGCTTGCGTTTTAAAGTGAGGTGTGTTGTGTTGTGCATGATGTGATGTGTTGTGCATGATGTGGTGTGGTGTGGTGTAGCGTAGCTTTACGACCCTGTTAGCAATGTTCCAGCAATATCACGGCGGGGGACATTGTACACACACTGTACCCATGTCGGGAATCGAGCCCGTGTCTTCGGCGTGACGAGCCAAAGCTTTAACTACTAGGCTACCCCACTGCCCCTGGTGTGGTGTGGTGTGGTGTGGTGTGGTGTGGTGTGGTGTGGTTTGGTATTGTGTGGTATACAGTGTTTCAGATTGGTTTTTTTTCAAAGACATTTACTTATTGTCATCTAACAGGTCATGACGATATTGTATGATGGTATAGCAGATCGAATGTCGTTTCAAAATTGGTAAAAATCATGAAAATGTCCTAATGTCATTTGTCCCAAGCAAAATCACTGGAACAGTATAGTGAGAGAGTGAGTATGGTTTTACACCGCTTTTAGCCATGTGCCGGCAATATCACGCAGTGTAATACCAGAAAATGGGCTTCACACATTGCACGCATGTTGGGAAACGAACCCGACCACGTATAAACCACTAAGCTACCCCATCGCCAACTGGAAAAGTCTTATACATATAGAATATTCTATGTATAGAATATTAATATATAATAGTACATTTGGATGCGGCATACAACAATATTCACCGAGTGATTTGGTTACACTGTAATAAATATGTTTAGACTGTAAACACAGACAAGACATGCTTAGATCTAAACAAGGTTAGGAATGTTTAGATCCTAAACGAAATACACATTTAACGTGTTCTACCTAAACGCATTTAGGTCTAAATACAGGAAATGACCCATCGTCCCATTATACTCTCACAGCCTACATACCACCTAAGCACCACATAGAAAACACTCCTTTTTTTAATTACAGACAATGACTCTCAAGGGGGTATACACATTTAGACCCTAAACACGTTTAGCTGTTAAACACAATCCTAAACATGTTTGGACCTAAACATGTCAAAGTTATGGGACAACGAACGCGTTTAAGTTTGTGTTTAGGATCTTGTGCAGATCTTATATCTGGAGCTTGTATATATATATAGTGTACTAGTCACGATATACTAGCCTAAAATACTGCCGATGTGACTAAAAAATGTCACTCACTCACTCACTCCTTGAAGGTTAATTATGACCGTGTAAATATACATACAGCTGTTGTTTGATAAAGCTAGATAACTGGAAAACCTATCCATTCACTTACTTTTGTCATACGCAGCAATCCTTTCTTGAGAGGCTAGCTGATAGCAACCCAGAAAGTTCAAACGGTCAACGCTATAAGATGTTGAGTGTCATTCTTCATTGCTCCCTCTGTTCCACGCGGTCAGTGATGGGTCAGGCGGTTGACACGAACGTCTATTTCTAGTGTCAGTCGTCAGTCATAGTTTTCTTCCCGATTGCGTCGACCCGTGAAGATTCCGGGGTAGAATAGGTCTTCGGCAACCCATGCTTGCCGTAAAAGGCGACAATGCTTGTCGTAAAACGCGACTAACGGGATCGGGTGGTCAGGCTCGCTGTCTTGGTTGATGCATGTCATCGATCCCAATTGCGTGGATCGATGCTCATGACGTCAGTCACTGGATTGTCTGGTCCAGACTCGATTATTTACAGACCGCAGTCATATAGCTGGAATATTGCTGAGTGCAGCTTTAAACAACAAACCAAACCAAACCAGATTGCGTCACCTTTACATAATTTTCATAATTCCAACAGCACACGTGACGATGCGTCCTCCGCACCTGCCTATCCATCTGTCATGACAAGTACTTATGAATCATATCATAGATATATTTTATATGAAATAAGTGATTGAATGAGTAAATTTTGCTTTGAACGCATCAGCAATCTTGCAGATATCACGCCAACTTATATCAGGTAATGAGTTGGCCTGTTTTACGCCGGTTTGCGACATACACGGCCATATTGATTCCCTCACCCTTACGAGTGAGTGAGTATGATTTTACGCCGCTTTAGCAAAATTCCATCTGGGGCCACTAGAAATAGGCTTCATGCATTGTTCCCACATGGGGAATCGAACATGGGCCTCGGCATGACGAGCGAACTGCTATTATAACTGCTATGCCACCCAAACCGCCATCATCCTACGAATGAATGAGTGAGTCGGGTTTAACGCCGCTTTTAACAGTATTCCAGTTATATCACGGCGTGTCAGCTTAATGTGGGAGGTAAGCCCGAAGCGATGCAGGTCTCAGACGTTTACCACTTCGGTGAAACCCACGAGCGCGGGTATGGTGCTGACAAACCTAGAAACATGATCAGGGCGAACCGGGATTCGAACACACAATCATAGGTTTCTGGTGTGCCCAAGGGACGCAACTCTGCACAGCGAATCGCGGCGCTTTAGACGACTGGGCCACCCGTGCCCCCTGTCTGCGAATGATATTTATAATTTGGGTTTACCCTAGAACAATTCTTCATGTAAAAACAAGTCATTTAACATAAACATAAAGTTAGAGAATCAGACAAAAGATATGCTGTGTGGCTTCTATTTAGCCACACATAAATGTTTGGTGATTACTTGGATGAACAGAGTAGTTTGTTTGTTTTAAATAAATATGATAATGATGTAGTTGTGAACACACAATGCCATTTAGAAAGTGATCAAATACAACAAATGTTATATTTAGGATAACACTTTCTAAGTAAAGTACAGATTCTCGTACTTTTTAGGGTCGAGTGCCGTCCGGGACTTTGTGTGCTGGCGATAAGGTGTTGGTTCGAATCCCGGACAAGACTCAACCCCAAAAAGTACGAGAGTCTGTACTTTACTGAGAAAGTGTTATCCCAAATACATCATTTGTTACAATGATGTAGCTTGTTTATCAAACAGGTGGGTTTCATGTGTATGTCTAAATAATGTAAATTGTTTTGTTAATTGCCAATTTACTGACTTAAGAAATGGTTTGGTTCCTTACAAAAGGTATACCGCCAGTGTTCCTGGAACCAGAGGAAAGCAAAACACTTTCTGTGGCAGAAAACAGCAATGTGACACTGAAATGCCGGGCCACTGGACATCCCATACCAAGGTAGGGTGATTTGTAGTGTTTCGACACAATACTGACTGTATAATCTTCAATAAACAACATCTTTTTTCACAAACGTTATAAGAAGACCCTTCTCAATCAATCCGTCCCAACATTCACGGAATAAACAACATGAGAACATTCTATTCTCCCAGTCAAGGGTATTTTTAGAGAAGTAAACTCGGACGGTAAACCTCCCGGAAGTTTCTCTTATATTTGTCTTTATTGATGCTGGCCATCAATTCTTATTAAGATAACTTATAATCATATTTTTTTTAAAAGATGTCCAATATTGTTATTCGATGACCGACACTACACGTTTGGAGAGAAACTTCGAGAGAATTTGAGAGAAGATCCTTGAAATCAAGTCATGTGAAGAATGTGCACTGCTCCGAAGCTATGTGTGCGTGTACGTGTGTGTGTGCATGCACGTCTCATGGAGTGTACGTGTGTGTGTATGCATGTCTCTTGGAGTGTACGTGTGTGTGTGCATGCACGTCTCATGGAGTGTACGTGTACGTGTGTTGTGCCTTGTAGACTTAAGACCATTGTAGGTTTAAGGGCACAACATACGTGTATTGTACGCGTATGTGCTTTTCGCAATGAGGATCGGGTAATCAAAAATGTCTGACTTGATATGATGTCATTCGAAAACCACACATTTGACCAAAACCTCCTTGTCCTTCCTACACTTGTCTTCAAAATACAACTATGATACCTTATATCAAATATACATCACCATCGAAAAACCATTTCTTGTTTGTTTCATTTTTAGCCACCATCAGACATGGGGGTATATTTTTTTGTCCGGCAGTATGGTTGTCACACGACGAAGAACGCCATTCACTCACCCTCACAGTTAAAACGGATTGAGCTTTGAAATCAATTCATTTTAACCAGAAACATTTTCTGTGGGTTGATACGATAACCATGGCTACCGCTAGCAACTTGACATAAAGAACCATCCATGGATCACAAGTCATACCGCTTGTTCTGTGATTGTGTGTTTTGTAAAACCTTGAAGAATAATTGCTAGTTTGAATGACGAAACTCCGCCGGAGTGAATAACGGAGTCTGTGCTCAATAGGGCAGCTGCATTGTGCGTCAAGCACTGCCAACGAATAGGCCAAGTCCTGGAAAGAATTCTATGTCTTTAAATACTTTAAAGGAGGAATGTCTTTTCTATCTGAATGTTATTTTTGACACGTTATTGCTGAATGTGGCTACCTTGTTTACTAGATCCCGCACTAGATTTACTAGATCCCGCCCTAGATTAACGTTTTGGACAAGTGATATCACTGTTATATTTTACGTCTCATCATTTCAAGAGCATCGTCCTTGCCGTCGTGGTACGATGACAAGCAATCATCCGAGTCACCTGACCATCCCGTGAAGATTCGAGCTTAGAATAATATCATTATTGGTCTTCATCCACCCATGCTTGTCGTTAGAGGCCATTAACGGGATTGGGCGGTCAGGCTCGCTGACTTGATTGATGTATGTCATCGTATCCAATACCGTAGATCGATGCTCATCATGTCAATCACCGGATTGTCTGGTCCAGTCTCGATTATTTACAGACCGCCGTCATGTAGCTGGAATATTGCTGAGTGAGGCGTTAAACAACAAATAAACAAAACTATAAAACTGGCATTAGTCCGGACGAGTACAAGCAGCCACATACATTGTGTACGTCGCTATATAAGTGCACTAATCACCTGAACGCGGCGATAAAACCATTTCACCTCAACCAACCTCACCTCGCATCGCCTCACCCTTTACACTTTCAGTTCAATGTTCTATATAACTATTATGATTCGCCTGTTAAAGCGTTCATTAGATTTCACTTGTTAACACAAATATATTTAATATTTCAGCTGTTTGACAAAGCGGTTTGTGAAAAATGGATGCTTTATTTATTCACATAAATCGCCCTTGACAAATTCCGCAATTTGCACGTGCAGATCGTGTTTCATTTGCCCGCTATTGCTAACACAAATCAATATTATCCCTATAAACGTCATCCCAGGCAACAATCTGGAATGACGAGTGAGTGAGTTGGGTTAACGCCTCTTTTAACAGTATTCCAGTTATATCGCGGCGTGTCAGCTTAATGTGGGAGGAAAGCCCGAAGTGATGCATGTCTCAGACGTTTACCACTTCGGTGAAACCCACGAGCACGGGTATGGTGCTGACAAACCTAGAAACATAATCGGGTCGAACCGAGATTCGAACCCACAATCATAGGTTTCTGGCGTGCCCAAGGGACGCAACTCTGCACAGCGAATCGCAGCGCCTTAGACGACTGGGCCACGCGTGCCCCCTTCTGGAGTGACGAAGATCTTGTCTTGATTACACAATCGCAATATGCATTGGAAATCCTTACCATATCTATCTACCACACAAAATTACTCTTCAACACAGGATACTCCACCTACATGTATGCGTTTTTTGGGGGGGTGAGTATATAGGTAAATAATTATCGCTTACTTAATAAAATTAGTCGACACTATCTATTACGTCACAGTTACTGGTGGAAGAAGAATGGAAAAAGAATACCTGCGTATTCGAGCAATGGCCAACTCAGTCTGACCGACGTGTCTGCTCAACACAAGGGCGAGTATCAGTGTATGGCGGAGAATGGAGATACCCACAGCGTCACCGCAGTAGCTGCATCCCAACCCATCACCCTGGACATTTACAGTAAGTGGTAAGAACCTGTGGAAAATATATTTCACCGGAACGCTATTACACTCAAGTATATCTATAGATTTTGTTTGTTTGTTGTTTAACGCCGCACTCAGCAATATTCCAGCTATATGACGGCGGTCTGTAAATAACCGAGTCTGAACCAGACAATCCAGTGACTGATATCATGAACATCGATCCACGCAATTGGGAAACGATGACATGCATCAACCAAGTCAGCGAGACTGACCACCCGATCCCGTCAGTCGCCTCTTACGGCGGTCCAGACTCGATTATTTACAGACCGCCGTCATATAGATGGAATATTTGCTGAGTGTGGCGTTAAACAACAAACAAATAAACTCGAATTGCAAGTACTTTTTACATATAGCTGTCCTTTAAGTTTTTATGATATGTGCTTACATTCTTTAGCAGGTTGATAATAACTTCATCATTTTTCGAGTCCATTGTAAAATATGGATCAAACTTAATTTGATAATAACTTCATTTTTTTCCAGGCCATTGTGAGACATGGGAAAAAACTAACAACTCTCGGTTTGTGCGCACAGAATTCGACTATCTGGCTTTAGAATGTGATTGTCCACCAGAATGCATGAGGTTCAAGATAGCCTGGTATAGGAGGGAGCCTGCTCTCACAAAGATAAACATCTCCCGATTTGGAGGAAGACTGCATATTGACAAGAAAGGTTAAAGTCATTATATTTAATCATATATTTAATAACAGCACGTACAAACAATATCCAACTTGATCCTGCAAGCTAACCACCAGTGTAACATAAACGTCAGATTTTTATGCTTGGAGTATTGCATCTGCATTAAACTTACACGATCTTGTACTGTCAGACATGGGTACAATGTGTGAAGCCCATTTTCAGTGCCCCCTGCCGAATATTGCTGGAATATTGCGAAAAGCGGCGTGTAAACCTGTGTTGAGCAAATCAAATTAGAAATGTTTTTTTCGTTAAATGTTAGGTATTCCTTGTGATTGTTATTCGGATTAGCATTCTTGTAGTTGGTGAGTAAATAAGAAAACAATCAACTTTATAGATTACAATTTCTGGTTTATTGCATTTAGCAACGTTTCAGTGTAGATTCTTACACCGCTATGAAGCTGGTGATTATAGAAATTACAGTTAAAGATGTGCAGATGACAAACTTACAATGCCAAGTGAGGTAGCCACACAGGTTTAAGGACTGCTAGTTGTTAGGCAGCCTTCTTGCACAAGGGTTCCATGTCCTCCTCAATGTTCTACATTTCTTTGCGATATTCTAAACTCTTGGCAATAGTCCGAGTTTCTTCGCAACATTCTACGTTCCTAACAATGTTCCACGTTTCTGCTCTATATTCTCCGTTTCTTCGTAATGGTCTGCGTTTCTCACTGTGTTCTACATTATTCACAGTGTTCTGCTTTTCTCACAGTGTTCTACGTTTCTCACAGTGTTCTACGTATCCTCGCAATGTTCTACGTTTCTCACAGTTTTCTACGTATCCTCGCAATGTTCTACGTGTCTTCACAATATTCTACATTTCTTCAAAATTTTCTACGTTTTATCATAATGTTCAAGGTTTCATCACAGTGTTCTACATTCCTCATCTGTTCTATGTTCCTCACAATGTACAGTGACTACTTTTCTTCACAAAGTTCTACTTTTCCTCAACCGTGTTCTACCTTTCTTCACAGAATTCCACGTTTCTTCGAAATGTTCTACGTTTCGTCACAATGTTCTACGTTTCATCGCAATGGTCTACGTTTCTTTGCAATATTCTACATTCCTCAAAATGTTATACGTTTCGTCACAATGTTCTACGTTTCATCGCAATGGTCTACGTTTCTTTGCAATATTCTACATTCCTCAAAATGTTCTACGTTCCTCACAATACTCTACGTTTCTTCACAAGTTCTACGGTCCTCGCAATACTCTTCGTTTCTTCGCCATGTGCTTCTATTATTCGCAATGTTCCTCCTTTCTTCTCCGCGTTCTATATTCCTTCTAAGTTTCTACTCCATAATCCGCATCTACAATTTTTCCAAGTTTTCATTTTTCCTTCTCTATATTCTTAGTTTCTTCGGATGAGTTATTTCGATACTTTCAGTCTTATAAACCCACCGTGGAAGTAATCTGTGGCAATCAACGGCATTTGGAGAAAAGGCAGTGGGATAAAAAAACGATATTGCTTTTGATCTACAGACGTATAAACAGTTGTACTGAAACGTGTTATATAATTGTTCCACTACAAGCTTCATGTATTTTTCAACTTAATTAAACAGGTACCTTACACTTCATATACACAACCAGCTCAGATGGCCCAAGTAATGTCTCTACAATATACCAGTGTGGAGTGACCACACCAAACCGACTCTTGCTTGGGAGGAAATATGAGGTATCGATCAAGAAAGTCACCAGTAAGTATAATAGCTTCTGATGTGTGTTTAAAGAGCACGCCGGCTAAGAACAACACATGGAAACAATTTTACTTGCCTCGCGAATATCTTCCAAAATAAATTAGGATCGGTTTTAGAAATATTTTTTAAAACCTCTTTTTGAGTGAACGAGAGACTGAATTTTATTTTACACAGCGTTTAAATAACGTTCTTCCAACTTTATAAGGGTGATATATAAATACTCATTTTTGGCCAAGGCAATTTAAAATCCCCCAAAGCATGAGTAGTGAGTGAGTGAGTGAGTATGGTTTTACGCCGCTTTTAGCAATATTCCAGCAATATCACGGCGGGGGACACCACAAATGGGCTTCACACATTGTACCCATGTCGGGAATCGAACCCGGGTCTTCGGCGTGACGAGCGAACGCTTTAACCACTAGGCTACCCGACCGTCCCCCCAAAGCATGAGTACCATGCATGATAAGAAGACAATACATTTGTTGGTTTGTTGTTTAACGCCACACAAAGCAATATTCCAGCTACATGACGGCGGTCTGTAAATAATTGATTCTGAACTAGACAATCCAGTGATTGACATAATGAGCATCGATCTACACAATTGGGATACGAATTGACGAAGTAGTAGTAGTAGTAGTAGTAGTAGTAGTAGTAGTAGTAGTAGTAGTAGTAGTAGTAGAAATCAGTTTTATGCTTTGTTCTTGGTCTTACCCGCAGGTCCACCCTCACACCCTTCCCGCATCAAATTCCAGACAGTACTGCCCAAGTTTCTTCTCCACCAAACAGCAGAACTGGAGTGTGTGTTCAGTGGATAGTACGTAACCATGTGTGTGTTCAGTGGATAGTACGTAACCATGTGTGTATCAGTGGATAGTACGTAACCATGTGTGTATCAGTGGATAGTACGTAACCATGTGTGTATCAGTGGATAGTACGTAACAATGGAACAAGACCTGAGCGAACCAGTGACACACCTTGGTGGTGTGTGTGGCAGATACCTCAGTGTCTTTGTGTGTGACAGATATGTGTGTAACGTATATCTGTGTATCAATGTGTGTGACAGATATCTCTGTATCAATGTGTGTGACAGATATCTGTGTATCAGTGTGTGTAACATAGATCTCTGTATCAATGTGTGTGACAGATATCTCTGTATCAATGTGTGTGACAGATAACTCTGTATCAATGTGTGTGACAGATATCTGTGTATCAATGTGTGTAACATAGATCTCTGTATCAATGTGTGACAGATATCTGTGTATCAATGTGTGTGACAGATATCTGTGTATCAATGTGTGTCACAGATATATCTGTATCAATGTGTGTGACAGATATCTCTGTATCAATGTGTTTGACAGATATCTGTGTATCAATGTGTGTGACAGGTATGTGTGTATCAATGTGTGTAACGTATATCTGTGTATCAATGTGTGTGACAGATATCTGTGTATCAGTGTGTGTGACAGATATCTCTGTATCAATGTGTGTGACAGATATCTCTGTATCAGTGTGTGTAACATAGATCTTTGTATCAATGTGTGTGACAGATATCTGTGTATCAATGTGTGTGACAGATATCTGTGTATCAATGTGTGTGACAGATATCTCTGTATCAATGTGTGTAACGTATATCTGTGTATCAATGTGTGTGACAGATATCTCTGTATCAATGTGTGTGACATATATCTGTGTATCAGTGTGTGTAACATAGATCTCTGTATCAATGTGTGTGACAGATATCTCTGTATCAATGTGTGTGACAGATATCTGTGTATCAATGTGTGTGACAGATATGTGTGTATCAATGTGTGTAACGTATATCTGTGTATCAATGTGTGTGACAGATATCTCTGTATCAATGTGTGTGACAGATATCTCTGTATCAATGTGTGTGACAGATATCTCTGTATCAGTGTGTGTAACATCGATCTCTGTATCAATGTGTGTGACAGATATCTCTGTATCAATGTGTGTGACAGATATCTGTGTATCAATGTGTGTGACAGATATCTCTGTATCAATGTGTGTGACAGATATCTGTGTATCAATGTGTGTGACAGATATCTCTGTATCAATGTGTGTGACAGATATCTGTGTATCAATGTGTGTGACAGATATCTCTGTATCAATGTGTGTGACAGATATCTCTGTATCAATGTGTGTAACGTATATCTGTGTATCAATGTGTGTGACAGATATCTCAGTATCAATGTGTGTGACAGATATCTCTGTATCAATGTGTGTGACTGATATCTGTGTATCAATGTGTGTGACAGACATCTCTGTATCAATGTGTGTGACAATATCTGTGTATCAATGTGTGTGACAGATATGTGTGTATCAATGTGTGTGACAGATATCTGTGTATCAGTGTGTGTGACAGATATCTCTGAATCAATGTGTGTGACAGATATCTGTGTATCAATGTGTGTCACAGATATGTGTGTATCAATGTGTGTGACAGATATCTGTGTATCAATGTGTGTGACAGATATCTGTGTATCAATGTGTGTGACAGATATCTGTGTATCAATGTGTGTGACAGATATGTGTGTATCAATGTGTGTGACAGATATCTCTGTATCAATGTGTGTGACAGATATCTCTGTATCAATGTGTGTGACATATCTCTGTATCAATGTGTGTGATAGATATCTGTGTATCAATGTGTGTGACAGATATCTCTGTATCAATATGTGTGACAGATATCTCTGTATCAATGTGTGTGACATATCTCTGTATCAATGTGTGTGACAGATATCTGTGTATCAATGTGTGTGACAGATATCTCTGTATCAATGTGTGACAGATATCTGTGTATCAATGTGTGTGACAGATATCTCTGTATCAATGTGTGTGACAGATATCTGTGTATCAATGTGTGTGACAGATATCTCTGTATCAGTGTGTGTGACAGATATCTGTGTATCAATGTGTGTGACAGATATCTCTGTATCAATGTGTGTGACAGATATCTCTGTATCAATGTGTGTGACATATATCTGTGTATCAATGTGTGTGACATATCTGTGTATCAGTGTGTGTAACATATATCTGTGTATCAATGTGTGTGACAGATATCTCTGTGCAATGCTATGTTGGTTGTTTATATGTTTGTTTGTAGTTTATCGCCGCACTCAGCAATATTCCAGCTATTTGACTGCGGTCTGTAAATAATCGAGTCTTGACCAGACAATCTGGTGATTGACACCTGGAACATCGATCCATGCAATTCGGATACGATGACATGCCAACCAAGTCGGCGAGCCTGACCACCCGATCCCGTTAGTTGCCTCTTACGGTAGGCATGGGTTGCTGAAGACCTATTCTACCCCGGATCTTCACGGGTCTGTGTACATGTGTAAGATACAAGTGAATCAATGTGTATGATGTTTATATGTGTAAGATAAATGTGTATGAATTGGTAGGGTATTTACCTATGGTAGATTTTTACATGTGTATCCTGGCGTAGGATGTATAAATGTAGGTATGTTAAATGTAAACCTGTTTGGTTCGGGTTTCCAGTCCTGCGCCAGTAACGACATGGGAATACACAAACGGTACAAGTCTCCCCATCAATGGAAAGTTTGAACTCGTCCCTGGTTCATTCGGCCGGAGACTCAGGATCCGGAGACTGTCCATAGAGGACGGGCGACGCTACACGTGTAGCGGGACTAACGGCATCACCGGCGAGGCGCACGTCGACGTTAGGGTCACATGTAGGAGACATCTTCAATCTCGTCTACATTTGTTATCAGGAAGACTTTATTACACCAGACAATGCTCTCTAATCTCATTCTCCATCTCGACGGCCAAATACTTGATCTTTCGTCGAGGGGTCAAGGCCTAGCCCCCATGAACTATCCTTGGCCTATTTCACCTCCCCCACCCCCAGGTCAAATGCTCCTGTGTAATTCCACACACATACCCCTTCACATTCAAATATAATGATATGAACTTCCCCTGGGTTGTGTCAGGTAAATCTTAATGGTGCTCATGTCAATCTTAATGGCTCACTTCTCCCCTGCAAACTGGCAATCGCAAAGCAAGTTGAAGTCGTTTATACATCCATAAGTCAACTCACTTACGTTTTATTAAGCGTTTCAATTTACCAGTAAATGATTACCCTAGTCACAAAGTTTCACTCAGGACACTGTGGTTACATAGTTTAGACCTGGACCTATGAAAGATACTGTAAAGCATCATCCCTCTTAAAGAAAACGTAATCATTATGTTAGCCTTACGATTATATGATTCAACACATCACATTTCGGCATTCGACTGAAATCTGATTTGATTTCAAGTAAATTTTCAATTGACCATTCTGTTATACAGCCAAGCCTATCTGGGTCAAGCCGCTAACAGATATCACCGTACCGGAAGGCAGAGTTGCTCATTTGGTTTGCAAAGCAAGATCCGTCAGAAGTGAACCCCGGCCAGAATTCCCTATCTGGTACCGCAATGGCAACGAAATCAACCCTGCAAGTATTGGTATGCATTACACTTTGTCGTACATGTCACCTCATGCTCATCCCGTGAATATCCGGGGTAGAATAGGTCTTAAGCAACCCATGCTTGCCGTGAAAGGCGACTATGCTTGTCGTAAGAAGCGATTAACGATATCGGGTGGTCAGGCTCGCTGTCTTCATGCATGTCATCGTATCCTATTTGCGTAGATGGCTGTTCCGTTCCCTTTGTCGATTTCATATTTAGTGAAAGGGGATTGATTTATTTATTTTTGTTTGTTGTTTAACACCACACTAAGCAAAGTTAAAACTGTACGAGTGCAGCCTGCAAAGAATCGTCTCTGCACAAGATAAATCCAGTGATTGATATCATGAGAAACATACAACGCAGTAGTGTGTGTGCTTGTCGACAAACGGGATCGGGTGGTCAGGCTCGCTGACTTGATTGGTGCATGTTATCGTATCCCAATTGCGTGATGATGTCAATCCCTGGATTGTGTGGTCCAGACTCGTTTATTTACAGAGCGCCGTCATATAGCTCGAATATTGCTGAATGCGGCGTTAAACAACAAATAAACAAACAAAGAATATATATCCTAGACATGTATGTAAAAACGTTAAATAAGAAGCGGATTCTCAAAAGAAGCAAACGTCTAAGGTGTAAACGTCTGCAGGACATAGATCACTTCGGGCTTTCCTCCCACATAACGCTAACACGCCGCTAACCGAAATACCGTCAAAGCAAACTCACTTACTCCCTCTAAAGTAATAAGAGCGCATGGAAGTCTGCCATTAGTGATGGGTCTCACAGAGAATTGAGTGATTGGACTGTTACCATGTTGCAATCACATTTCCAATGACATATTTGACTTGAAGTTTTTGTATACTTTATATGAATGTTTTTTCACGACCGTGGGGTTCAGTTTTCCGATAAATCAATCCTCATAATCGGGGCGTATCTGGACTTGGAACCACTGATCACTGGAATTCTGGCACGACCAAGGGACGTAGCTCTCCAATGTGTGTTTCTGTGCCTAAGACGAGGTGAGGTGAGGTGAAATTGGGTTTAACGTCGCGTCCAAGATTATTGCACTTATATAGCGACGTGCATGTACGTGTGTGTGTTTGCGTGGCTGCTTGTACTAGTCCGGACTGATGCCGATTTATAGTGCTAGCTCACTGAGATACCATGCCGCAGTTTAACATGAATACCCCACTCAGACACAGTATACTGACTCCGAGCCTTGTTTTAGCCCCTTAATGCCGAGCGCCAGACAGGGTAACAACAAGTACCTTCTTTTAACGTCTTTTGGTATGACGCGGCCGGGGATCGAACCCCGGACCTTCCGCTCTCCGGGCGGACGCTCTACCACAAGACCACGGAGGCGGTCCTTGTGCCTAAGACGAATGGGTGCCGTTGTACAAAGCGATCCGAGCGATAGGGTGATCGTAACACCCATACTTTAACATAGATTTAAGACAATCGTAGAGCTGAGCTTGTTTTCTCAACGGCCCCCTGCGCCACCCGTGGTGAACTGGTTGTATATATGTGTTGGTACTTTGCAGGGGACAGACGGTACCAGTTCAGCAAGGACGGGAGTGTATTGACCATCGTGAAGGTGAAACGAAGGGTGGATGCCATTTGCTTCCAGTGCAATGTGAGCAACAGTGCGGGATATGTTTTTGGGAATGGATGTATACAAGTTACAAGTAAGTATAACTATTACGTACCTAAATTACACAACACTATGCTCATAAACACATGGACTTTTTGACAGAGAGTTCTTATGATAATGAAAATGTGTCGCTCTGTCGCTTTTAATTGTATAAGTGGATCTCTGTAGTAATCTGTAAGTTGATTCATTGATTTTCAAATTTAAAAACAAATGTTTACGAAATAAAATATTGTCTGCTCACACTTTTATTGACGTTTTAAGGATAAACATATGGACGAATAAATCCCTCGCAACTCAATCTTGATGCAAAATACTCGGATTTGGAGGACATGACATTTATTGCGTCTGATAGTTCATCATTGTTCTACTGCTCTGGCTGTAATCCACTGATTGGCTTACCCAAATTCAAGAAAATGTGAAATTACATAATCACATATTACTTTTGGGAAAAAAAACATATTTATATATCAAGTATTTAAAAGCGAAAAAACATCTGTTGAACGCTTCACGTGGCATCTATTGTCCGTATGCAAAGTCAAAAAATCTATTGCAATTGCAAAAAACAGACTCCTTAATTACTTATAGAAGTGGAAACTACTTGCTGATAACATTTTATAATATACCAAAAGCATTATGATGCGTGTCTTTTGCCATATAGCCTAATATAATGTCGATTGTCTATCATCCATTGTATGTTTACGGAAACATATCAATCTTGGTAGAAAAAAAAAGACAAAAAAAAAGACCAGTATTAAAAGGCCTTTGATATAGCACGCTGAACAGCACTCATTGACCTTCTGTTGCCAGGAGGCAGTCGAGCACCGCGGACTATTTCTAAGAGCACTATCCTGATATCGGCAGCGTGTAGCGCATCTCTTGTAGTCCTGGCTGTCATCTTCACCATTACCATCCGCAAGATATGCAAGAAATCAAGGAAACCAGGTAAATATATTACGTCAACGCCAGAAAATAATCAGCCTCGATTATCTGTTACCACACCTATCATGATACAAATGCATCACGTACTCAATTTTTCAGTGAATACACCTACATTATAAGGTATCCATTCTTTATGTTTAGGGGCGGTAACCTAGTGGTTGGCTCGTCACGCCGAATATTTTGGCTGCAACTTCAAACAAACGAACAATGGCTTGTTCCAAATTAAGCGGACGTGTTTTAATATAACCGAAAGACAAGCTGCCTTTTTACTCAATCGCTCCCTCTCTCCATCATTCACTCACTCACTCCCTCCATCACTCGCTCACTTACTCACTCTATTGGGTTTTCATCATTCCAGAAGTTCCCCCAAGGAGAAGCTCCACCCCTGTGTACACGGATATCGAGTACAGGAACGGAACGCCCCCACCGCCATACGACCAAATACATCTTCAATGCAGGCCAAGGGAAGTGGACATGTTACACGCTGATGGAGATGATTCAAGACTATATGGCCGTACTCAACTTGGGGGTATCCAACCTGGGACTGGAGTCAGGAATCGCCCTGCTGTAGTGGGTCAGGGAGACATGCTGCTGACGCCAAGTGAAGAAGGGGATGACCCTCCACCATACGTGTCTCTCATCTGAACCAGACGGGTACCTGTCGACCGATATCCTGGGTATAACCCACCATTATACGTGTCTCTCATGTGAACCAGACGGGTACCTGTCACCCGATATCCTGGGTATAACCCACCATTATACGTGTCTCTGATCTGAACCAGACGGGTACCTGTCACCCGATATCCTGGGTATAACCCACCATTATACATTGTACCTGTCTCTCAACTGAACAATACGGGTACCTGTCACCCGATATCCTGGGTATAACCCACCATTATACGTGTCTCTCAACTGAACAATACGGGTACCTGTCACCCGATATCCTGGGTATAGCCCACCATTATACATTGTACCTGTCTCTCATCTGAACAAGACGGGTACCTGTCACCCGATATCCTGGGTATAACCCACCATTATACGTGTCTCTCAACTGAACAAGACGGGTACCTGTCACCCGATATCCTGGTTATAACCCACCATTATACGTGTCTCTCAACTGAACAATACGGGTACCTGTCACCCGATATCCTGGGTATAACCCACCATTATACCTGTCTCTCATCTGAACAATACGGGTACCTGTCACCCGATATCCTGGTTATAACCCACCATTATACGTGTCTCTCAACTGAACAATACGGGTACCTGTCACCCGATATCCTGGGTATAACCCACCATTATACGTGTCTCTCAACTGAACAAGACGGGTACCTGTCACCCGATATCCTGGTTATAACCCACCATTATACGTGTCTCTCAACTGAACAATACGGGTACCTGTCACCCGATATCCTGGGTATAACCCACCATTATACCTGTCTCTCATCTGAACAATACTGGTACCTGTCACCCGATATCCTGGTTATAACCCACCATTATACGTGTCTCTCAACTGAACAATACGGGTACCTGTCACCCGATATCCTGGGTATAACCCACCATTATACCTGTCTCTCATCTGAACAATACGGGTACCTGTCACCCGATATCCTGGTTATAACCCACCATTATACGTGTCTCTCAACTGAACAATACGGGTACCTGTCACCCGATATCCTGGGTATAACCCACCATTATACGTGTCTCTCAACTGAACAAGACGGGTACCTGTCACCCGATATCCTGGGTATTACCCACCATTATACGTGTCTCTCAACTGAACAATACGGGTACCTGTCACCCGATATCCTGGTTATAACCCACCATTATACATTGTACCTGTCTCTCATCTGAACAAGACGGGTACCTGTCACCCGATATCCTGGGTATAGCCCACCATTATACATTGTACCTGTCTCTCATCTGAACAAGACGGGTACCTGTCACCCGATATCCTGGGTATAACCCACCATTATACGTGTCTCTCAACTGAACAATACGGGTACCTGTCACCCGATATCCTGGTTATAACCCACCATTATACGTGTCTCTCAACTGAACAATACGGGTACCTGTCACCCGATATCCTGGGTATAACCCACCATTATACGTGTCTCCCATCTGAACAAGACGGGTACCTGTCGACCGATATCCTGGGTATAACCCACAATTATACGTGTCTCTCATGTGAACCAGACGGGTACCTGTCACCCGATATCCTGGGTATAACCCACCATTATACGTGTCTCTCATGTGAACCAGACGGGTACCTGTCACCCGATATCCTGGTTATAACCCACCATTATACGTGTCTCTCATGTGAACCAGACGGGTACCTGTCACCCGATATCCTGGGTATAACCCACCATTATACGTGTCTCTCATCTGAACAATACGGGTACCTGTCACCCGATATCCTGGGTATAACCCACCATTATACGTGTCTCTCATCTGAACCAGACGGGAAGCTTATAAAACCAAATCATCCAGGGGAGAACCAACCTTTACATTTCTCACTGATCTGAACCAGACGGGTACCTGTCACCAAATCATCCATTGGATAACCAACCTTTAAATTTGTCACTCATCAGAATTAGACGGGAAGCTTACACACCAAATCATTCAGGGTATAACCCACCTTTAAATTTGTCACTCATCAGAATTAGACGGGAAGCTTACACACCAAATAATTTAGGGTATAACCCACCTTTAAATTTGTCACTCATCAGAATTAAACGGGAAGCTTACACACCAAATAATTCAGGGTATAACCCACCTTTAAATTTGTCACTCATCAGAATTAGACGGGAAGCTTACACACCAAATAATTTAGGGTATAACCCACCTTTAAATTTGTCACTCATCAGAATTAGACGGGAAGCTTACACACCAAATAATTCAGGGTATAACCCACCTTTAAATTTGTCACTCATCAGAATTAGACGGGAAGCTTACACACCAAATCATTCATGGTATAACCCACCGTTAAATTTGTCACTCATCAGAATTAGACGGGAAGCTTACACACCAAATCATTCATGGTATAACCCACCGTTAAATTTGTCACTCATCAGAATTAGACGGGAAGCTTACACACCAAATAATTTAGGGTATAACCCACCTTTAAATTTGTCACTCATCAGAATTAAACGGGAAGCTTACACACCAAATAATTCAGGGTATAACCCACCTTTAAATTTGTCACTCATCAGAATTAGACGGGAAGCTTACACACCAAATAATTTAGGGTATAACCCACCTTTAAATTTGTCACTCATCAGAATTAGACGGGAAGCTTACACACCAAATAATTCAGGGTATAACCCACCTTTAAATTTGTCACTCATCAGAATTAGACGGGAAGCTTACACACCAAATCATTCATGGTATAACCCACCGTTAAATTTGTCACTCATCAGAATTAGACGGGAAGCTTACACACCAAATAGTTCAGGGTATAACCCACCATGTTTTTTGTCACTCATCAGAATTAAACGGGAAGCTTACACAACAAATCATTTAGGGTTTAACCCACCATGTTATTTGTCACTCGTCTGAACTCATGATTGTTTATAACATTACATGTATCCCTGTATCCTTGTGTGTGATACTTATATGTGAAAAGAGGTATTTTGTAGTTCGTTGTTTGACGCCGCACTCGGCATTATTCCATCTGTAGACGGCGGAGTTTAGGTGCATGGTGTTTATAAGTGTTTCACCTGTGCGCGATTCCACGTGTATGGTATGTATATGAGACAGATGCAAATTTCAAGTGTAAGATGTTTGCGGGGGTATGTTTTCACGTGTGTGGTGTCCGACAGGTGCATGTTTCCAGCTATAAGATAGTTGACGGGTTCATGTTACCACGTGTAAGGTGTTTGGCAGTGCATGATTCCACGTGTAAGGTGTTTAACGAGTTCATGTTTCCACGTGTAAGGTGTTTGGCAGTGCATGATTCCACGTGTAAGGTGTTTGACAGGTGCATGGTTCCACGTGTAACGTGTTTGACAGGTGCATGTTTCCACGTGTAAGGTGTTTGACAGGTGCATGTTGCCAAATGTAAGGTGTTTGGCAGGTGCATGTTTCCCCGTGTAAGGTGTTTGACGGGTTCATATTACCACGTGTAACGTGTTTGACAGGTGCATGTTTCCACGTGTAAGGTGTTTGGCAGTGCATGATTCCACGTGTAAAGTGTTTGACAGGTTCATGTTTCCACGTGTAAGGTGTTTAACGGGTTCATGTTTCAACGTGTAAGGTGTTTGGCAGTGCATGATTCCACGTGTAAGGTGTTTGACGGGGTATGTTTTCACGTGTGTGGTGTCCGGCAGGTGCATGTTTCCAGCTATAAGATGTTTGGCAGATGCATGGTTCCACGTGTAACGTGTTTGACAGGTGCATATTTCCACGTGTAAGGTGTTTGGCAGTGCATGATTCCACGTGTAAGGTGTTTGACAGGTGCATGTTTACACGTGTAAGGTGTTTGACGGGATCATGTTACCACGTGTAAGGTGTTTGGCAGTGCATGATTCCACGTGTAAGGTGTTTGACGGGATCATGTTACCACGTGTAAGGTGTTTGGCAGTGCATGAGTCCACGTGTAAGGTTTTTAACGGGTTCATGTTTCCAACGCCGTGATGTAACTGGAATAATGTTAAAAGTGCGTTAAACCGAACTCACTCACTCACTCACTCATTCAGATGTGTTTTTCTTTTCTTGTGTAAGGAAGACACCATAACACTGAATACTGTCAAGAAAATAAGGCCCCTGGAATGTATATATTTTGCAACATTTGAATATTTTGAAATAAAGATACCAACGAAATGTTTGTTATAAAGTGGTAAAGTCAGACGAATATCCGATATATTACGTGCGCTTGATTTTCCGGTGATTTTCCAAATGACTTTTTGACATTGTAGACGCTGCTTCAATGGACCTCTTCTAGAGCCTTGGGGAACTTTTATGGCGTGAACCTTTGCAATTCCTACCACATGAAATTTTGGTGGCATGTCTATCAAAGGCCAAGGTCATCTGAGGTTGTTGTGACACATGGAGGGGGCACGGGGGGCCCAGTCGTCTAAGGCGCCGCGATTCGCTGTGCAGAGTTGCGTCCCTTGGGCACGCCAGAAACCTATGATTGTGGGTTCGAATCCCGGTTCGCCCCAATTATGTTTCTAGATTTGTCAGCACCATACCCGTGCTCGTGGGTTTCACCGAAGTGGTAAACGTCTGAAACCTGCATCACTTCGGGCTTTCCTCCCACATTAAGCTGACACGCCGCGATATGACTTGAATACTGTTAAAAGCGGCGTTAAACCCAACTCACTCACTCACTCACTGTGACACATGGTTACGTCATTGATTACTCTTGGCTTATGAGGACAATTGGATAATTGTTGGATCTTAAGAAACGGTCTTGATTATGGCCAAAGCGTGGAAATAATGAGTTTTGACATGGCAGGTTCTGGCAGGGTGACAGGGTATCGGCCCAGCAGTGCCAAGTTTGATATTGAGGAGGAAGAATCCTTTTGGCGTTCCCGGGACCAGTAAGGACTCAGACACGGTTCACTGACACTGGATTTGGCGCTCCCGGTACCAAATACAACGAGAACAAAGGAGTACCGCTCATCACTTTTATAACCGTATTTATGCATTAAAGTTAAAGACTGTTTGAAATGTACATTGAGAATATGCCAGTGAGTGAGTGAGTGAGTATGGTTTTACGCCGCTTTTAGCTATATTCCAGCAATATCACGGTGGGGGACACCAGAAATGGGCTTCACACATTGTACCCATGTCGGGAATCGAACCCAGGTCTTCGGCGTGACGAGTGAACGCTTTAACCACTAGGCTACCCGACCGCCCCAATATGCCAGTGAATTGGCTGATTGTGTTTTTGCAAGTACTTGCTTACACTTCTAGTTTATTTTCGCTGCAAGAATTACGCGACCTGTGATAAAAAGAGATTTATCTCACCTTCTTGTATGGTATATTTAAGAATTGACTTCAATATATTTTGCCTTTTATTGAGCTATAAACGTAAAACTGTACAAACTGTGTAAACCCGTGCAGTGTTGCGGATTTATGCTTCGTTTTTAACCCAATAAACGCCCAAACATATTGATTGTCAATTCGTATAAATAAATAAGTCAACAATAATAACTTCACAAACTGCTTATTTAATCAATAAACACACAAAAACAACTATACGAAATCAGAAATATCGTTCAGCAACACAAGCCCCATCTATTCGATTATAAACTATATCAAAAACAGTAGTCCATTGTATCGGAAAAGAAAAAGAAATTGCCTGTCAGAAAATGACACTGTACCAAGGTATTTTACTTGAAACATGACCCAGGCTCACAGATGTATTTTTAAGAATCTGGTTTTGTAGCTGTGGCTGAAAAATTATCTAATCTCGATACATAATCCCAGCTGCCATTCCCCAGAAAACAGTTTGCTTGGTCAGCCATTATAATGACACGGAAACACATGCAATTTGTTTGTTACACTGTATGTTTGACGCTTTGATTTTAGTCCGTGATTCTCGGCTTCATATCGGCGATAGACTGACCTACAATATGTGGTTAAAATGACGGTTCCGCAGTGAATCGCAAAAACATACAAGCCGACACCCTTAAGACTTCGTTCAAAACATTAACAGAAAGAAATGAGGATTTTCAAAATGATCATCTTTTATGCTGATTTTTCCTTTGATCTCGGTTTTTCATTATATTTAGATATAAGCTTATATCAATTGTAAGATAAAGAACAAGATGTTTTTTTGCATATACATGTATATAATGTATTTCAGTATTGGAATAAATGTGCTCGGTAAAGGTCATTTAAACCCTCATATCAATCAGTGCACGCGTCGCCTTATGATTTGTTGTGACGAATGAATGAAAGCACAAAACTCCCCTCCCTACAACATCTTATCCACCCCCGACACACACACACACACACACACTCACACCCCTCACACACTCACTCACACACACACACACACAGAGACACACACTCACTCTCACACACACTCTCTCTTACACACACACTCTCTCTCACTCACACACACACACTCGCTCTCTCTCTCTCTCTTACACACACACACACACACACTCTCTCACTCTCACACACACACACTCTCTTACACACACACTCTCTCTCACACACACACTCTCACACTCACACACACACACATTTTACATGACAAAACAACGTGTAGGTTCGTACAGATTATATTGAGGGAAGTATACAATGACAAGGCATTTGAGATGCAGATAATAACACAGAACATATTTGTTTTTAAATGTTAATCTACATTACTCATATTATTGTCATTCTCGAAATAGCATCAAATATTTACCCATATTCCAAATACAAGTACACAATGATAAGTAATTGAGTTAGTGGTTTGGATGTGTAAAGCCAGAAATAATGCAGATCAAGACGTTCATCACTTTAGGAAAATCAATAAGTATGAATATATAAGCTCGATCACAGGATCCTGGCACATCTAAGGGAAGCAACTTTGCACGACACGAATCGTTCGCATAAGCCTAGCTGACATGTGGTAACATGCAATGCAATGCATGCAATGTAATGCAATACCACCCATACATAAGAAGCATTAGGCAATACAAAGAATGGCTACACTACAGTGGTCAAACATTATGCAAGCACAATAATGGCATTTATGGATCTGCAATTTCATATCATTTCGAGGGCGGTGGTGACCGGCTATTGAGAACACTATACACATTTAATATCTTATTTAATATCGTTTAAAACAACAGTAACTGCGTGGTAAGATCCTAACGTATTTACAATATCTTATTTGCATACAATGTTCTGCCAGTAGTATTTGCATATCTTTACTGTTGACAAATAACCATCTACCTGAGATGCAATTTCAATAACCTTGGATGAAGAAATGTTTTGTAACGTCTTAGTTGTGAGAGAACGATGTTTGACGTGCCAGTTCGCAATAGTCCAGCTATATCATGGCGGCTTGTAAAATAATCAAGTCAAGCAAAGATATCATTAAGTGAAGCATTAGATGCCTATCCACCCATCCAAAGTAGTCGCTTCTTACTGCAATCAATTATGTTTGAGGAGCCTATTCTAACTTGGTTCCTACGAGGTTTTAGACAATGGCCGGCTACTGAGATCATTTTTGCACTTTAATTACTACAAGGCCGGCTACTAAGATCATTTTTGCACTTTAATTACTTAGTTGTAGACAATGGCCGGTTACTAAGATCATTTTTGCACTTTAATTACTTGGTTGTAGACAATGGTCGGCTACTAAGATCATTTTTGCACTTTAATTACTACAAGGCCGGCTACTAAGATCATTTTTGCACTTTAATTACTTAGTTGTAGAAAATGGCCAGCTGTTGAGATCACCATGTAATCCTAATATCCTATTTGTAGACAAAGGCAGGCTACTGAATTAATTTTGCACTTGAATATCTTAGTTGTAGAAAATAGACGAGTACAAAGACCCATTGTACTTCTGGTATCTTATTTGAAGAAAATGTACGGTTATTAAGATCTGTATGTACCTTTAATTTAACCAGACTACAAACTCATTAAGCTGGCTAGATAACAATGACTTATGTCACAGCAACCGGTGACACTGGGGAAAAAACCCGGATCTGCCCAATGCCCATACAGTTTCCTCCATAGCACATCTGAGCATGAAGTTGGCCCCGATACATTTGACGTAGGGTTGTACATTTGGGTTGTACATTTGGGTTGTACATTTGGGTTTCCACAGACCCTTCACACACAAAGGTCACACTCTCCGGGGAATCCTGCAGTAGCTGATACACAGTTATTCTTTCAGGTTTATGTCATGTCTATTTTGAGGGTAGATTCAAACAGTATTAATGTATCTTCTTGCAAAAACCGCAGTATGTCAATCGATTAATAAGCTTCCGGGGTTAATCATCTCACTGGTTCAGACACTCTTCCCAAAAGATGCTGCCCTTGGAACGCAGTCTTGTCGCATCTGGATTGGTATAACAATGTCATGTATTAGCCTCCTAAAGTTACTGGGGTATCTAAGGGGCCCAATACACATACAAATTGTATCCTTTCTTCTGCTATGTAGACCTAACAAAGGTTTAACACTGCACATGTTCGCAAACATAAGTAGGTTTCTGTGTTTGTTGTTTAACGTCGTTCTCAGCAACATTCCAGCTATATGACGGCGGCATGTAAATGATCGAGTCTGGAGTCCGGTGATTGAAATTATGAGCAACGATCCACGCTCTTGGGTACGAAGACACGCAATTAGGCAAGTCACCGACCCTGACCATCCGATCGATTTGGTCGCCACTTTCGACCTGGTGATTTGCTAGGGACCTATTCTAAGCCGGAATCCCCACGAGGGCTTATGTAAGTAATGATAGGAATATCATTAAAGAGGGACTTGGTACAGTTGTCAGCCCAACAACTCATTCAAATCCCACTTCGTCTGTCAGCAGAAACTAATTATGTGTATCAATTTCCTAGTTTGGGTCACTGTAACAATTACAACGTGTAGACATTACCCGGACATTGGCACAAGCACATTAAGCATAGTGAGTGAGTGAGTGAGTGAGTTGGGTTTAACGCCGCTTTTAACAGTATTCCAGTTATATCAAGGCGTGTCAGCTTAATGTGGGAGGAAAGCCCAAAGTGATGCAGGTCTCAGACGTTTACCACTTCGGTGAAACCCACGAGCACGGGTATGGTGCTGACAAACCTAGAAACATAATCGTGGCGAACCTGGATTCGAACCCACAATCATAGGTTTCTGGCGTGCCCAAGGGACGCAGCTCTGCACAGCGAACCGCGGCGCCTTAGACGACTGGGCCACCCGTGCCCCCACACCCCATTAAGCATAGTCCCCCTTTAACATACGTTACCGCTGACAGACAGCCACCGCACAAATTTCGTGTTGGATTATCGTTAACCGATGTTTCAGTAATATAATAAGCATACAATATACACGCATACTAAACGTCTTACAACATCCAGACCGCCTCCGTGGTCTAGTGGTAGAGCCTCCGCCCGGAGAGCGGAAGGTCCGGGGTTCGATTCCCGGCCGCGTCATACCAAAAGACGTTAAAAGATGGTACGGCGCTCGACATAAAAGGGGCTAAAACAAGGATGGTATACTGTGTCTGAGTGGGTTATTCTTGTTAAACTGCGGCATGGTATCTCAGTGAGCTAGCACTATAAATCGGCTTCACTCCAGACTAGTACAAGCAGCCACACACACACACGTGCATGCACGTCGCTATATAAATGCAATAATCTTGGAAGCGACGTCAAACCCAATTTCACCTCACCCCTTACAACATCCATTAACAGACCCTTTAGGACGTTCCTACCTTCTAAGACTACCCCTAAAGTTGACATACTGGACCTCATTTGAACACGGCTTGGGGGGAGGGACATGACATGATCTGGGGTGTATAGGGACACTACAAGGGCTGAGGGCGGGTGTTCCAAAATGAGATACACTGTGTGACAGATGTCTTGCCGGTTTTTTAGGAGGCCTTCTCTTGACGCCATCGATTTCAGCATCTGGTTCTCTCATCAGAATATCCTGATAAGAACCTGCTCTGGGAGGTAGCGACATACCAATACTTGAACTTGATTCTGATCTAAGGAACATGCCATCCCTTAGTACTAAGCTGCAAACAAAGGGGCGTGATGTATCTTTCCCTTTTTGAAGACTCTCTGTCCCTGGCTGTTTTCTATCTTTAGCGAAATGTTCATGTCTACGTGCTTGATAAGACATTCCAGAGACATTTGTGTAAATGGGGTCATCATCTGTTAATGGCTCAGTTTCAGCCTCACATAATGCTTCGGCTCCGAGATCTTGTGAACTACCAGACTTGTAACCCACGGAGGAAGAACTAGATGGATGTCCTTCACGATTGTGCTTGCCAGGGCTCCATGTGGCATTTCTCCTTGTCTTATCTCGCTGGTTCTTATTCAGCGAATTGGCAAGATATAACGACCTTGACTTCCTAGACACTCGTCGTTTTCTTGGTGGCTTCTCATTAACAACCTTCATGCCCGAATCCTCACCAATCTCTTCAGACGACTCGACAGCAGTGGTATAGCTATCTTCGCTGCTGGCATCATACGATTTCGCTATTTCTCTACTGCCTCGTTCTCCTGGATAATCTACTGGAGTTACATCACTCATCTTCTGTATGTCGCGTATCCACTTTGCTAACGTTCCCAACTCACCTGACTGAGAAGATGCAGCATCAAAGAAGACATCAGACTTCAAGCTGTCGTTTCCTGTTGGACATTGACGTGACCCTGCTCCAACAGCTGCTGGGATAGGCCTAACTAAAGGATTCGTGCAGATGTAACCATAGGACTGTCGGAATTGGTCAATTGCTCCGCATACCGGTGGTAATGGGTCTTCTCCAAGAGATATCTCTGACTCTCTCCACTGGGGAACACTTAGAACCGCCTCCGTCTGAGTTTTCAAAGGTTTGAATGCGTCGTCTTTCTCATCAGCTTGCTCGTCTGAAGTGTCTTTATCTCCGTGCAGATCTGCCTGATCTACTGAGGCCGAAAGTTCGTTGATGTATCCAGCTTCTTCCGTTTGGTGCTGCTGTTTGCCGCCTAATTGTGCGGAAGAGCGAATACTTAGGTTTTCTACATCAGACCTGTTGGCTTCCGTATGTGCCTTCCTCCTAAAAGTAAACGAGGCCATTGAAACAATTAGAGACACTTTATCTGGTAACGGGTATTGATATATTGTTACGCAAGTGTTAATACTGCATTAATACTGCACTGTGTTTAGTTAGTGTCAAGTAGAACGTACAGCTGTGTCTACTCTGAAATGTACGTGTTTAGTTTGTGCAAAGTAGAACTTACAGCTGTGTCTACTCTGTAATGTATGTGTTTAGTTTGTGTCAAGTAGGACGTAGACGTGTGTCTACCCTATAATGTGTGTTTAGTTTGTGTCAAGTACAACGTAAATTGTGTCTATCCTGTAATGTGTGTTTAGTTTGTGCCAAGTACAACGTAAATTGTGTCTACCCTATAATGTGTGTTTAGTTTGTGCCAAGTACAACGTAAATTGTGTCTACCCTGTAATGTGTGTTTAGTTTGTGTCATGTAGAACGTAAATTGTGTCTACCCTGTAATGTGTGTTTAGTTTGTGCCAAGTAGAACGTAAATTGTGTCTACCCTGTAATGTGTGTTCAGTTTGTGTCAAGTAGGACGTAAATTGTGTCTATCCTGTGATGTGTGTTTAGTTTGTGTCAAGTAGAACGTAAATTGTTTCTACCCTGTAATGTGTGTTTAGTTTGTGTCAAGTAGGACGCAAATTGTGTCTATCCTGTGATGTGTGTTTAGTTTGTGTCAAGTAGAACGTAAATTGTTTCTACCCTGTAATGTGTGTTTAGTTTGTGTAAAGAAGAACGTAAATTGTGTCTACCCTGTAATGTGTGTTTAGTTTGTGCCAAGTAGAACGTAAATTGTGTCTACCCTGTAATGTGTGTTTAGTTTGTGTCAAGTAGAACGTAAATTGTGTCTACCCTGTAATGTGTGTTTAGTTTGTGCCACGTAGAACGTAAATTGTTTCTACCCTGTAATGTGTGTTTAGTTTGTGTCAAGTAGAACGTAAATTGTTTCTACCACGTAACGTGTGTTTAGTTTGTGTCAAGTAGAACGTAAATTGTTTCTACCCTGTAATGTGTGTTTAGTTTGTGTAAAGAAGAACGTAAATTGTGTCTACCCTGTAATGTGTGTTTAGTTTTTGTCAAGTAGAACGTAAATTGTGTCTACCCTGTAATGTGTGTTTAGTTTGTGTCAAGTACAACGTAAATTGTGTCTACCCTGTAATGTGTGTTAAGTTTGTGTCAAGTAGAACGTAAATTGTGTCTACCCTGTAATGTGTGTTTAGTTTTTGTCAAGTAGAACGTAAATTGTGTCTACCCTGTAATGTGTGTTTAGTTTGTGCCAAGTAGAACTTAAATTGTGTCTACCCTGTAATGTGTGTTTAGTTTGTGCCAAGTACAACGTAAATTGTGTCTACCCTGTAACGTGTGTTTAGTTTGTGCCAAGTAGGACGCAAATTGTGGCTACCCTGTAATGTGTGTTTAGTTTTTGTCAAGTAGAACGTAAATTGTGTCTACCCTGTAATGTGTGTTTAGTTTGTGCCAAGTAGAACATACAGTTGTGTTTACGCTGCAATGTACATGTATGTGCTTAGATGCCACAGTGTAGGTGTAGAATCTGTTGCTGAGTGTCCTTTGTACACTTTACCTGGCAGTCGCCTGGCAACGGATACATATCAATGTAGTCAGGGCAACCACTGCACAGAAAGCGGCAGCTACCACGATGTCGGACCAGGCGTAGACAGGCATCTAAAAATATAATGATAATTGGTCAGTGTGCACTTGATTTCAATCTCAGCTCCCTAGGGAGTATACATCCCAAGATGCCTGTAGGGCGTTAGAGGGCTACCATCACATTACATCTCATCCTACCTGGTACCCACTCATCTGTGTTTAAAAGACGAATTTCACATCTAAAAATATTTAGATAATTGGTCAGTGTGCACTTGATTTCAATCTCAGCTCCCTAGGGAGTATACAACCCCAATATGCCTGTAGGGCGTTAGAGGGTTACCATCACATTACATCTCATCCTACCTGGTATCCACTCATCTGTGTTTAAAAGACTAATTTCACATTTAACCATCGTGATACAATTTCTCAATCACACGTGAAGTAGAATTATTGTGTGGTAGACAGTTATGTAACGTACGAGGTAGATTTATTGTTTGACAAATATTCACATTTAACCATCACAATATTAGATAGCGCTTGAGTATTGATTTAGCAATACAATAAAAAAAGGGCTTCATATACTGTATCAATGTGTGGAATTTAACATATGCAAATCACACTTTGTAGAAAAGACGTCCAGTTAACTGCAACCAGATAATTCCCGGTGAAGATGCGGGTTAGTATTGGTATTCACCAACCCATGCTTGTCATAAGAGTTGAATAAATGAATTGGGTGGCCGGGCTTGCTGACTGGTTGATGCATATCATCATATCCCAATAGATATATGCTTATATCGTCAATCACTGGAATGGACCGCCTCGGTGGTCTAGTGGTAGGGCGTCCGCCCGGAGAGCGGAAGGTCCGGGGTTCGATCCCCGACCGCGTCATACCAAAAGACGTTAAAAGATGGTACTTGTTGTTACCCTGTCTGGCGCTCGGCATTAAGGGGCTAAAACAAGGACTGGTCGGCTCGGAGTCAGTATACTGTGTCTGAGTGGGATATTCATGTTAAACTGCGGCATGGTATCTCAGTGTGCTAGCACTATAAATCGGCATCAGTCCGGACTAGCCACACAAACACACACACGTACATGCACGTCGCTATATAAGTGCAATAATCTTGGACGCGACGTTAAACCCCATTTCACCTCACCTCACCAATCACTGGAATGCCTTTTACAGAACGCCGCCATGTAGCTGGAATATTGCGCAGTGCGGTGTTAAACAACAAACTTTCTGCCGGGAATCAGTGGGCTCTCTACAATGTGATGTGTGGATGGTTGATCCAGTCTCAAGAGGAAAATATAGGAACTACATTCCAAAGATGTATGGTAAAGGAATGTGAAGAGTCGTATATTGTTAAATGCAATCTGATAAAGTGAGTGAGTGAGTATGGTTTTACGCCGCTTTTAGCAATATTCCAGTAATATCACGGCGGGGGATACCAGAAATGGACGTCAGACATTCTACCGATGTCGGAAATCGAACGCAGGTCTTTGGCGTGACGAGCGAACGCTTTAACCACTAGGCTACCCTACCACCCCAATCTGATAAAGAAACTATGCCAAGTGTGCTAATTTCTGCAGGGGTCATATGCTGGTTAATATAATTGGGGAGGGTTGGGTGGGGGGAGGGTCGGGGTGGGGGTTGTAGACTAGTGGTCACAGTGGTTAAAGCATTCGCTCGTCACGTCGAGAGTCCCGAGTTCAACGTGCTATAGGAGTCCAAAATTGTGTCGCACGTTACGATAATACTGAAATATTGCCCAAATCGGCGTAAACCTCACTACTATGATCTGATTATTTGATGTTACGGGTAACATTCTGGGTACTTTAATCTGAAGTAATTTTGAAAAATATCTTCAGAGAAGGTCACATGGTCATTAAATCATTAAGATCAGGACTAATGTTGTATATGTAATTCTGAAGAGGTCGCATGAAGAATATTATATTGAAAGTGGTGAGTGCGGACGAAATGTTGTTTCGTGGAAATTAAGAGTGAAAGTAATGAACTTCCTTAACATGATATGGTGAACGGTGACTGAGGTCGTGTAATGGGATATTGGGCCTCCGCTTACAGTGTGACAGTTATATCTCGGCGCGACATGTATGAAGCAGGCGAAAGCATACAAATACATCAATTATGGTACCATTTGAACATTTGAACAAGCGACCAAGGCGCCACTCCACCCCCCCCCCCCCCCCCCCCCCCACACCTCTCTCTCTCTCTCTCTCTCTCTCTCTCTCTCTCTCTCTCTCTCTCTCTCTCCCTTTTACTGCCAAATACATTACCTTATATACTGAACAACAAAAGTTCCTGTGACATTGAATGAGATTTAATGCAAAGTTATGTTTTTTACCAAATCTGAAACAATTTCGGTTTGCAACAGATAAAGGAATCCTGTAAGTGTTCAAATGGTTTAATTTGCCATACTGACTTCCGAAAATGCGTGATTTCATATAAAAAAAACATGAACATGCCAAAATGTCAATCTACAAATCAATAGCATGTGTGTCCACCTCTTGTTAAGATGCAAGCAACACATCTTCGTCTTCTGGAATGGACCAGGCGTCGCACAAAGTCCTGTGGAATATCTGTCCATATCTGCTGGAGCATGTTTCGAAGTTCCTGAAGTGTCTGTGGAACACGTGGTTGACGCCGAAGGCGCAGATCCATCTCATCCCACATGTGCTCGATTGGTGAGAGATCAGGGGAGCGAGCCGGCCAGGGGATGACATTCACGTTGTTTTCTGAACAAGTCGAGCAATATGAGGCCGGGCGTTGTCATGTTGAAAGGTAATGCCTGGGCCATGACGACGCAAAAACGGTAGAACAACAGGGCCGATGATCTCGTCGCGGTAGCGCTGTCCATGGAGATTTCCATCTACCACTATCAAAAGGGTCCTCTGTCTTGCTGTAATCAAACCCCATACCATAACGTTGCCGCCCCCGAACCGATCTTCTTCCATGACACAATGATTGATACACACGAATCCGTCCATCGCTGTGGCTGAGGTGAAAACGAGACTCGTCAGTGAATAGAACTTGTCCCCACTGCATGGCCGTCCAGCGTAGACCCTGTCTGCACCACTGTAGACGTGCTTGACGGTGGTTTCCTGTCAAAATGGGACGTTTGGCGGGTCTTCTGGCGACAATCTGCACATCTGAGGCGACGACGTACGATTTGTGAAGATATTCGTCGAAGGCCAGGGATGCTTCTTGCAGTCACTGTTGCTGGCTGGAATCGATCTCGTAGGAGTGTTGTTCAAATCAAGCTGTCTTGTCGATTATAGGTTACGCGTGACCTGCCGCTCCGAGGATGGTCTCTGACTGCATTCGTCTGTTGACAACGTTGCCATAAACACCAAATGGTGTCTGTGGACGTTAAATTGTCTTGCAATATCACGTTGACTCGATCCTGCTTCAAGCATACCAATGGCTCGCAGACGCTCATTTTCGGACAGGCGTGGCTTTTCGTAATGTTGAATAATTGCGTAATTTTGTTGTTTTTTTCTGAATGGTTTTTGACAGCACGATGCTAAACAATGCATATGGAATCCCGTTAACGCACATGTTTTTATACCCATTCTTGGGTAGTGAAATGCATGGGGCTTGCATAAAAGTTATCTTTTGCATGGAATGCATGCTTTTCTGTAGCAGTTGAGTTTTTGTGACTTGATTCCATACATGTACTACAATATTGAAAACCAAACTTTACTTGTTTGAAAAATACTCTCAAATATTGGTGTCACAGGAACTTTTAGTGTTGAGTATATTATAAATTTAAAACTACAAAATAAGAATACCCGTTAACAATGGCGCTTCACTAATATCATTGAAACGTAGAGTCCCAAGGCCCAGCTGTTAAGATGGGCTTCACACATTGTACCCATGTGAGCGAACGCTTCAACTACTTGGCTACTCCCCTCCCTCCCCACTCCGCCATTAAGAATATGTTGCTAACACGGGTGTGATTGCGTGCATCATTTTATGTAATTATGGTATTTAGACGTTGCATCTATATCAGAATCAGATCAGAATAGTACATTAATTAATAAAACATTCTATTGCAAAATATATACCAAAAAAATACGTTTTACTTACTTTCTTCAGAGCAAACTGATGCCCAACTCCCCGATGGTGACAAATGTGAAAATAATCATTTATAGATATTCAGTTTAATATTTCCGCGATTTGTTTTGTGAAAAATAGAACAGTGGGTCAGGCAAGCCAGTGTGTTTCATTTTCGATATTGTAACTTCCTTAACTGTGTCACCGTGACTTTCTGAACACAACGTGTCACCAATAAATTAAAACGAAGAAGGAAATGTTAATACATTCTCATTCAAATCTCAGTACCATTCGAGGGCGTTTTGGATCTGTGGGTCTTTTTCTTAAAATTGAGGTTTGTCGTTTTGGGTCTTTTGATTTTTGATTTTTTTTGTTACTTGAAGTTGTTTCGTAGTGGGTTTTTCACAAAACATACAAAGCGTCAAGGCTAGAGAATAGCCAGTCTCGATTTTTCGCCCAATCTCATTAAAATCAGACCTCAGTTCTTGCTACCGCTAAACAAAGATCTGAGGACATCCCGTTAGGGATCACGTTAGAACGACCTTTCATCCGACCAATCAGATTATGAAAGTGACAGTCGGAATGTGATTTCTATTCATGCAACCTCGAACGATAGTTACGGGTTTAACGACTGAATCCATACAATCTAGACCATCTATTAGCCATTCCAGAATGTTCTTTTGTTCAGGTTTCAAATTTGTCAAAATATGTTTCGAAGTGTAGTCGCCAATTTGAAATTAGTGCCGTAAAGCACGAGAAAGCTGCCTTCTGATTGGTCATTCAATTGGTCGGTCAAAGTTCGCGCAAGGTCGGTCTGACATGACCCCTAATGGGATGTCTTCAGATCTTGGTTTAGCGGTAGCGAGAACTAAGATCTGATTTTAATGAGATTGTTTTCCGCCGAAACAGATTCCATTGGGCGTAAAGGGAAAGATAGCCGTGAAAAGTATGTGCATTCATCACTGAAAATCAACGATGACATCAGGTGTACGCGAAAAGGGTAAGCATGGCCTGCTCTACACCATCTTCCCGAGGCAAGAGAGTTAACTGACTTCAAAAGTCCAGTTTCCACTGGACTTTTATAGTCAGTTAACTCACTTGCCTCGGGAAGTTGGCTCTACACAAGAGCCAGGCACTGACTACAAGAGCATAAACTTTAGTTGTATGTATTTTACTGCACCTTTCTGCCCTTCAAATATACTTTTAAACAAACGTGAGAATACTCGGAAAAAAACTTTATATTTTCAAAATTGTAAGAGATATTAGTTTCTAGTAATAGTTGTATGATAATAGTGAACAAACTACGAACACATTACAACCGGTAATGAACTGTGACAGTAGATGATATGACCTCCATAGATCTTGAAGGACGACATCTGGCAATCTCTAAGTTGACGTTTTTGGATCGGTAGTGCGTAATAACGGCACGATTTGTCAAACATTCATTCACTCGACGAGGCATACTGCGTATGAGTCTCCCAATACCGATTTGAGAGAGTCTCCTCATACAGCGCCAGGTCAAGTTCAGGCAACGTGGTCGGCGGCCTATGACGTTGACGTACACTTCTCCGTATCATGTCCTAGACGTGTTAAATGGAGGAAGGGTCCGGGCTCATCGCTGGCCATGGCCTTCTATGGATGTTGTGCTGCTGGGGGTGACGATTGACGATTCGTGCACGTCCCGAGAGACAAAACGTCGACCCACACTCCTTGAAACGGGACAGTATGTTGTTCCGACACGACTGTCCAGTGACCCTTGCACAATATGGAGTAGGGTTCGCCCAGTTACAATGATGCCACCCCACACCATAGCCGATCCACCGCCAAGTCTGTCATGAAGCCTCAGGTTGACGTTGGCTTGACGTTCGTTTCGACGTCGCTAGACACGACCACGCCCATCAAGGAAATACCAAGTGAATCATGGCTCATCTGAAACCATGACACGTGACCAGCGACGATTACCCCAGTTATGACGTTGTGTACACAATTGACGTCTGTTTGCAATATGTCGATTTGTAGGGGTGGCACAACACGTCGCTGTCGAGCATTTCTAATTGTCTGACCAGTAGCTCGCACTCCAGTAAACTGATGAAAGTTTGCACCAATTTGATTCGCCGTTTGATCTCGATTTCGCAGTCTGGTTTCAGGTCAATCGTTCCTGTACTCTTGTCGTTGACACCGGACGCCCTGAACGGAGTGAATAGTCAACATTTTTGGTTTGCTGGAACCTGTTTCAAAGTCTGCTAATCACAAACACAAGTTCAAACACAAATAAAGAAAAACATACTGTATAGTAAGGTGAGGTAAAATGGGGTTTAACGTCGCGTCCAAGATTATTGCACTTATATAGCGACGTGCATGCACGTTTGTGTGTGTGTGGCTGCTAGAGATACTGAGATACCATGCCGCGGTTTAACACATGAATACCCCACTCAGACACAGTGTACTGACTCCGAGCCAACCAGTCCTTGTTTTAGCCGCTTAATGCCGAGCGCCAGACAGGGTAACAGCAAGTGCCAACTTTTCATGTCTTTTGGTATGACGCGGCCGGGGATCGAACCCCGGACCTTCCGCTCTCCGGGCGGACGCTCTACCACTAGGCCCCGGAGACGATCACTGTATGATAAGTAGAAACTAAAGCACAATTATTATTATATGTTTAGGACAATTCTTAATTCGTATCAAAGCCCCCTCCCACCAAGTCACCCACCCACCCAGTCACCCTCCCATCCAGTCACCCTCCCAATCAGTCACCCATCCAGCCAGTCACCCTCCCACCCAGTCACCCATCCACCCAGTCAGCCACCCACCCTCCCACCCAGTCACCCACTCACCCTCCCACCCAGTCACCCATCCACCCAGTCACCCACCGACCCAGTCACCCATCCACCCAGTCACCCACCGACCCAGTCACCCACCCACCCAGTCACCCACCCACCCAGTCACCCACCCACCAAGTCACCCTCCCACCCAGTCACCCACCCACCCTCCCACCCAGTCACCCTCCCAACCAGTCAACCTCCCACCCAGTCAGCCACCCACCCTCCCACCCTGCACCCACTCACCCTCCCACCCAGTCACCCACCCACCCAGTCACCAACTCACCCACTCACTCCGTCACCAACCCACCCAGTCGCGCATCCACCCAGTCGCCCTCCCACCCAGTCACCCACCCACCCAGTCACCCTCCCACCCCGTCACCCACCAACCCAGTCACCCTCCCACCCAGTCTACCACCCACTCAGTCACCCTCCCAACCAGTCACCCACCCACCCAGTCACCCTCCCACCCAGTCACCCTCCCACCCAGTCACCCACCTACCCAGTCACCCTCCCACCCAGTCACCCTCCCACCAAGTCGAGCTCCCACCCAGTCACCCACCCACCCAGTCACCCTCCCACCCAGTCACCCTTCCATCCAGTCACCCTCCCACCCAGTCACCCACCCACCAAGTCATCCTCCCAATCAGTCACCTTCCCATTCAGTCACCCACTCACCCAGTCACCCTCCCATTCAGTCACCCACCCACCCAGTCACCCAGTCACCCTCCCAATCAGTCACCCACCCACCCAGTCACCCTCCCAATCAGTCACCCACCCACCCAGTCACCCTCCCAATCAGTCACCCACCCACCTAGTCACCCTCCCATTTCCCATTCAGTCACCCAGTCACCCAGTCACCCCCCCCCCCCCCCATTCAGTCACCCACCCACCCAGTCATCCACCCACCCAGTCACCCTCCCATTCAGTCACCCACTCACCCACTCACCCAGTCACCCATAAACATTTATATTTCATAATCCCCTACTTTCTTTTAGAGAATATGGACAGACGCATTTTAATGTTTCCGTGATGTTTTACTGTCATACTTAAGATGGCTCGAAATACTTCCGCCTGTGATTATATTATCATATGAAAACGTCCTGAAATCGATTGCCTCGGGAACTTTCGATTTCATCAACCAATACATTTCCGTTGAATGGTGATTCATTTCCGTCGAAATCTCTCATGGGTGGTTTAGCAGAATAGGAGTCAAAATACAATCCCGAATTATGAAAACATGCAGTACGTTACTCCTTACACCAATTAGTTTTAAAAATCTTTAATCTCATTACAATCGGATCTTTTTTTCTTTTTTTTTCTTTGTTTATATCACGGCGTGTCAGGTTAATGTGTGAGGAAAGACCGAAGTGTTGCAGGAGCATGGGTATGGTGCTAAAAAACCTAGAAACATAATACAGGCGAACCGGGATTCGAATCCACAATCATAGGTTTCTGGCGTGCCAAAGGGACGCAACTTTGCACAGCGTCCACCCGTGGTCCCCTCTTCGGGAAGATCTAAGGACATTTCCATAGGAGTAAAAGAACTGAATGTTAATGAGAATGACAACTCCGAGGTATTTGTTAAACTTTGGGGCAGCACATTCAGTGTAATCTGGTATTTTAAGCGACATATAGATGGATATATTGTCTATAATTGACATTTAAAATTTAACCACTATAGTCAAAATTACAATACCTTATTGATTAAGAATCCCCGCTTTCACAAGAACATTATTTTCAATTTTGACATATTCTTGGAACGGTGGGGTTATTATTTGTTCCACTCACTCACTCACTAACGTCATGTACACCAGCCGCGCTTTCCAAAGATACAATAAATATGTAACCATCTCAGAGGTTGTGGATCAGCATTGACACCATTGGTTACTGGTAAATATTTAAAACATTATGAACCCAAATCGAAAAGTTTTATTTAAAAAATAATCAATACAATTTCATTACACGTAGCCATTTCTTTATGAAATATTTACAATAGATCGCGGTTCTGAACAGTGCATCCGTTGAACATGAATGAAGAATTGACAAGAAATTAGTTACAGTAAAGTACGGTTATAACGAACTCAAAGGGACTACTAATTTTAGTTCGTTATAACCGTACTTCGTTATAAGCATATACAGCATAACTACAGCAAATAGTTCGTTATATCAGTCAGTTCGTTATAAGCGTGTTCGCTATAACCGTAGTTTACTGTATATGTTTAGAATACGTCTCTGGACTGAGATCAGGTTCATCCAGATGAATAAACATACAGAAAATCAGAACACAGTTGGTGATGAAAACAAACAGCGTTGAAACAAACAGAACAAATAATATACAAGACATGATAGTTTGGAAACTGTTACCATGGCAAAAAGGAATTTCTGGTTGGGGTAGAACACCAGGGCCCACTTGCACAAAGCGATCTTAGCGCTAAGACTATCGTAAGCCTATGTTAAAGTATGGGGGTTAATGGCAGAGAGGAAGTTTTGTTTGTGGTGGTGCAATCAGCATTGGAAAAGTGGGACTCTTAGCTGTGATGGTACAATAATTGGGGGGAGTAACTTTGTCAACAGAGTAATTTGTATACCTGGTGGTGCAATAATCAGTGGCAGTAACTTTGAACAGGGGGAAATTAGTGTGGGCGTGATGCCATAGGGGACTTCAGGTTTTAATGGAGATATTATCAGGGCTTGTAACGTTGCCAAAGGGGACTTCGGGTTTTAGTGGAGATATTATCAGGGGATTACATTTGCCAAGGGGGACTTCAGATTTTAATGGAGATATTACTGGGGATGACTTTTGCCAAGGGGGACTTCAGGTTTGAATGGAGATATTATCAGGGCTTGTAACGTTGCCAAAGGGGACTTCAGGTTTTAGTGGAGATATTATCAGGGGATTACATTTGCTAAAGGGGACTTCAGGTTTTAATGGAGATATTATCAGGGCTTGTAACGTTGCCAAAGGGGACTTCAGGTTTTAGTGGATATCTTATCAGGGGATTACATTTGCTAAAGGGGACTTCGGATTTCAATGGAGATATTATCAGGGCTTGTAACGTTGCCAAAGGGGACCTCAGGTTTTAGTGGAGAAATTATCAGGGGATTACATTTGCTAAAGAGGACTTCAGGTTTAAATTGAGATATTCTCAGGGGATTACATTTGCTAAAGGGGACTTCAGGTTTTAATTGAGATATTCTCAGGGGATTACATTTGCTAAAGGGGACTTCAGGTTTTAATTGAGATATTATCAGGGGATTACATTTGCTAAAGGGGACTTCGGATTTGAATGGAGATGTTATCAGGGCTTGTAACGTTGCCAAATGGGACTTCAGGTTTTAGTGGAGATATTTTCAGGGGATTACATTTGCCAAGGGGTACTTCAGGTTTTAATGGAGATATTATCAGGGCTTGTAACGTTGCCAAAGGGGACTTCAGGTTTTAGTGGATATCTTATCAGGGGATTACATTTGCTAAAGGGGACTTCGGATTTCAATGGAGATATTATCAGGGCTTGTAACGTTGCCAAAGGGGACCTCAGGTTTTAGTGGAGATAATTTCAGGGGATTACATTTGCTAAAGAGGACTTCAGGTTTAAATTGAGATATTCTCAGGGGATTACATTTGCTAAAGGGGACTTCAGGTTTTAATTGAGATATTCTCAGGGATTACATTTGCTAAAGGGGACTTCGGATTTTAATGGAGATATTATCAGGGGATTACATTTGCTAAAGGGGACTTCGGATTTGAATGGAGATGTTATCAGGGCTTGTAACGTTGCCAAATGGGACTTCAGGTTTTAGTGGAGATATTTTCAGGGGATTACATTTGCCAAGGGGGACTTCAGGTTTTAATGGAGATATTATCAGGGCTTGTAACGTTGCCAAATGGGACTTCAGGTTTTAGTGGAGATATTATCAGGGGATTACATTTGCTAAAGGGGACTTTGGGTTTTAGTGGAGATATTATCAGGGGATTACATTTGCTAAAGGGGACTTCAGGTTTTAATGAAGATATTATCAGGGGATTACATTTGCCAAGGGGGACTTCAGATTTTAATGGAGATATTATCAGGGGATTACATTTGCCAAGGGGGACTTCGGGTTTTAATGGAGATAGCATCAGGGCTTGTAGCGTTTTAAAGGGGGACTTCAGGTCTTAATGAAGATAGCATCAGGGCTTGTAGTGTTGCTAAAGGGGACTCCAGGTCTTAATGAAGATATCATCAGGGCTTGTAGCGTTGCTAAAGGGGACTTCAGGTTTTATTGGAGATATAATCAGGGGAATACATTTGCCAAAGTGGACTTTACGTTTTAGTGGAGATATTATCAGGGCTTGTAGCGTTGCCAAAGGGGACTTCAGGTTTTAATGTATATCTTATCAGGGGATTACATTTGCTAAAGGGGACTTCGGATTTCAATGGAGATATTATCAGGGCTTGTAACGTTGCCAAAGGGGACCTCAGGTTTTAGTGGAGATATTATCAGGGGATTACATTTGCTAAAGAGGACTTCAGGTTTAAATTGGGAATTCTCAGGGGATTACATTTGCTAAAGGGGACTTCAGGTTTTAATTGAGATATTCTCAGGGATTACATTTGCTAAAGGGGACTTCGGATTTGAATGGAGATGTTATCAGGGCTTGTAACGTTGCCAAATGGGACTTCAGGTTTTAGTGGAGATATTTTCAGGGGATTACATTTGCCAAGGGGGACTTCAGGTTTTAATGGAGATATTATCAGGGCTTGTAACGTTGCCAAAGGGGACTTCAGGTTTTAGTGGATATCTTATCAGGGGATTACATTTGCTAAAGGGGACTTCGGATTTCAATGGAGATATTATCAGGGCTTGTAACGTTGCCAAAGGGGACCTCAGGTTTTAGTGGAGATATTATCAGGGGATTACATTTGCTAAAGAGGACTTCAGGTTTAAATTGAGATATTCTCAGGGGATTACATTTGCTAAAGGGGACTTCAGGTTTTAATGAAGATATTATCAGGGGATTACATTTGCCAAGGGGGACTTCAGATTTTAATGGAGATATTATCAGGGGATTACATTTGCCAAGGGGGACTTCGGGTTTTAATGGAGATAGCATCAGGGCTTGTAGCGTTTTAAAGGGGGACTTCAGGTCTTAATGAAGATAGCATCAGGGCTTGTAGTGTTGCTAAAGGGGACTCCAGGTCTTAATGAAGATATCATCAGGGCTTGTAGCGTTGCTAAAGGGGACTTCAGGTTTTATTGGAGATATAATCAGGGGAATACATTTGCCAAAGTGGACTTTACGTTTTAGTGGAGATATTATCAGGGCTTGTAGCGTTGCCAAAGGGGACTTCAGGTTTTAATGTATATATAATCAGGGCTTGTAACGTTGCCAAAGGGGACTTCAGGTTTTAAGGAGATATTAACAGAGGCTTGGTTCCCTTTGCCAAAGGGGACTTCAGGTTTTAATGTATATATAATCAGGGCTTGTAACGTTGCCAAAGGGGACTTCAAGTTTCAAAGGAGATATTATCAGGGGGATATCCGTTTGTCAAAGGGACTTCGGGTTATCTTGGCGCAGTCACCAGGGATATAGTAGTAACTTTGACGAAGAATAAGTTTGAGTCAAGGTGATAGTTTGGTTCTTGTTGTTAGTCAGATGGGGGCTTCCAACTTCGTATACGTCCCTTAAAGTTGACGTACGACGGCCCTGTGCAGGGCGGCGGACACATCACTTCACAATGTGCTGGCAATGTGCGACTGACTGAGACATTTGAAGACGACTTTGTATGCTTCGTTTTAGTATTTTTTCGACCACGCGCACGTTCGAGATCGGAACGGTGATTTCCATTTGCTTTTTTATCGGATTTGACGTCTATCGCGTCCAATTCTTCATAAACATTTTCTTCTTTGTCCTCATCGATCAGCTCATCACCATATGGCGAGAAGCTTGGACATTCTACAGGCATTGTCGCAGATCTGGTCTTCTTCCAAGGAGTAGGTTCGGGGTGGACAATAACGTCTGTTGTATCAAATGTCGGCATCAACCTGCTACTACAGCTGGCACCATTGGCAGATTTCTTGAACGAAACTGGAATGTTGCATTGTGGATAGTCGTAAAAAGTGTCATCGGATCCTTTCTCATCGCAGAAAGCCACAAAGGAAGGCGAAAGTGTATCTTGAGTCGAATCTCCACAGGAGTCCATACGGAACTGAGTGGATGGATCCGATCGACATAAAGGATAGGACTCCACATACAGGGGACAGTCGAGGTTGTTGGGGTCTAGGTCGTCGTCGAAGTCGATGTCATAGGAGGTGGCGCCACCTGGGTGGCAGGCGGGAGGAGAGGCAGGACACTGCGTGATCTGGTCAGCCGTGCAAGCAAACACGGTGGACAGCGAGGAAGAGAAGGATATGCTTCTCTCGTTACCTTTAGGGGGGAGCACAATGTTAGGGACGATGCCATCATTTTCGTCTGTTGTCGACGGCCTTTGGAAACTGCCAACATTTTCACTGGAATTAAAATATTAACAATATACTCACGATTCTATTACATAATTTTAAATAATTTGCTCTTGAATATGTGGCACTTGATTGACTAACCAAGTAATGTTTTGCGTTAATGTTTCCATAAACCTTAAAGAAAGAGGCCACGCCCACTAGCGAACGACAGATTCCTGATAGGCTGACTGTCTTGTGATGTATTACTATGTTAAACCATGTCACTGATTTCGTATTTTCGTGTGTTTATGATTAGGTAGCCAGTCTGTGAAAAGAGTTCTTATTGTTGTTGACGTGTTTATTTACAAGAACTGACTTGAATATATATTTTTTTTTGTGCGTTTTGTGCTAACTTTATGATAATGAAAACCATTTGACAAAAACTCACGTGGACTTTCCTTGTTTTCGGCAAGAAAGACACATCGCGCTGACCAGAAGCCCAAGCACGAGGGCAACACCTCCTAGCAGACAATACTCTGCAATCATGACTGAAAAATACCAAGAGTACGTGAGTGAGTTGGGTTTCTTTGAATACTAGGTCGGGTACCCTGATGGTTAAAGCGTTCGCTCGTCACGCCGAAGAACCGGGTTCGATTCCAGGCATGGGTACAATGTGTGAAGCTCTTTTCTGGTGTCCCCCGCCGTGATATTGCTGGAATATTGCTAAAAGCGGCGTAAAACCATACTGGAACATTATTTCATATTTAGTGAGCGAGTGAGTGAGTATGGTTTTACGCCGCTTTTAGCAATGTTCCAGCAATATCGCGTCGGGGGACACCAGTAATGGGCTTCACACATTGTACCCATGTGTAAACAAGCCTGACCACCCCATCCGCAATCGTCGCCTATCGCCCAACATACGTCCTTAGGGACCAAGTCTAAAGCCCATGGTTGACACTTACACAGGTGTGCACTGAGTCGCTGAAGATCCTGGGTGGAATAGGTCTTCAGCAACCCATGCTTGCTGTATAAAAGGTGATTATGCTTCTCGTTAGAGGCGACTAACGGGGTCGGGTGGTCAGGCTCGCTGACTTGGTTCATGCATGTCATCGCATCCCAATTGCGTAGATCGATGCTCATGATGTCAATCACTGGATTGTCTGGTCCAGACTCGATTATTTACAGACCGCCGTCATATAGCTGGTATAATGCTGAGTGCGGCGTTAAAAAACAACCAAAAAAAACAATTGCGTAGATCGATGCCCATGATGTCAATCACTGGATTGTCTGGTCCAGACTCGATTATTTACAGACCGCCGTCAAATAGCTGGAACGCTGAGTGCCGCGTTATACAACAAACAGACGAACAAACATCGTTATACAACAAACAAACAAACAGCCAAAACTAAGTCGGTGAAAGTGGATTAATTCCAGTACTATCACGACATACGACGTAAATGGGCTTCGTCATGATATAGTGTATCCATGTGGGGACTCAAACCCAGGTGATCTGCGTGACTGCTTTCACCGTTAGCATTCACCACCGCCCCTAAGAAATCAGACACTAACTGTTTGATTGGCGTTCTAGAAGTTGGCAAATAAGTAAGTTCTCCAAAATCAGACTCGTTTTTATTGGGTTATAATTAATATGATCGTTTTGAAAATATTTAGTAAGGAAATATAAACAAGAGCATTGTCCTGAGATGAGAAATAGAAACATAATTCATGATACAGGAAACACGACAATGGGTATAAGAACTAGGTATAAGTATATACGTTAAGCACACTCGTAAACACTTAGACACTCGCACAAGACACACGTGTTAAACCCTTGACAGTACTTCATACCGAGAATAACAACGAAAGTAAAGCGTCCGATTATACTATGTTAATTTCAACACAATACTTTTAAAAGGTTATTACAGTAAGGGATCTTATATATTAAATTGAGATAAGAAAACTGTTTATTAATTCACGTCTGAAGGAAAATTGAGGGCGTCCGGGAGATGGGAAACACCAAAAAAAATACAGACAGCCTAACAGCAGTGGAAATGTAAAATTATTGATTAAACAATGAGAATAATAGGCCGGTGAATCTTAAGATGTATTTAACTGCGAGGAAAGTCCGTCTTTTGGTAGATAGTGAGTGAGTTGGGTTTAACGCCGCTTTTAACAGTATTACAGTTATATCACGGTGTGTCAGCTTAATGTGGGAGGAAAGCCCGAAGTGATGCAGTTCTCAGACGTTTACCACTTTGGTGAAACCCACGAGCACGGGTGTAGTACTGACAAACCTAGAAACATAGTCGGGGCGAACCGGGATTCGAACCCACAATCATATAGGTTTCTGGCGTGCCCAAGGGACGCAACTCTGCGCAGCGAATCGCGGCATCTTAAACGACTGGGCCACCCGTGCCCCCCTTTTGGTAGATAAAACATGGAAGCTGTGCATCCAGTCGCCGTCGAAAGATAAGAAATGATTATAAAACAGTTTCACGAAACAGCTGAGGAAACAAGGAAATATTTACTCACTGAAATCGCAAATTAAGTATCCGGATTTGATTGAGGTATTAGATAAACTTCACTTGAAATACAAGGTGATCTCCAAGGTGATCATATCTGCTCTCCCGTATCAACATGAGATTGTCAGTTCCTCAAGAATATCTGATAGACCCTGCTCAATGACACGTGTGCCTAACAGTATACAGCTAAAAACAACCCAAAACAATGGCGAAATCGATGTTCAAAAACCGAAACGTACACTCACAATGCAATAAATAACATTAAACAGCTTTCAAATATCGAAACAAACAAAACAAACTAAGAAATATACGCCACTTACCGCATTGCCTTCTTCAACCGGGCTGTGGCCACATTACAGTGACGTCAGAACGCCATTTTCTATTTCCTTATGTAACGGACTCATACTCATCCACACTGAAAATAAAACTTCAAAGTATTTAAAATATGTTTCCATTTGTCATTCATCTGCATGTTTGTTGACTTCCTGGTATGGTTTCGCAGTTAAAGATAACTAGGTTAAACGGGTATTAGTAATAATCAGAGACCATATAATATAATATAATATAATATAATATAATATAATATAATATAATATAATATAATATAATATAATATAATATAATATAATATAATATAATATAATATAATATAATATAATATAATATAATATAATATAATACCGCATCTGCAGCGGAACAGGGAGGTTAACAGCAGGGTGTCGGGGTGTATCAGTTACATGCCAGACCGTAGCGCTGATGGTTTATGACAAACTGTTGGGGAGGGCCGTCCCTCTATTATATGGTCTCTGTAATAATGTACTCGAGGGGCTGGAGTTACCTTCCATTTATTCATATGTTGTCGAAAAACGGGTGCACCTGAGATTTATAGGGCTTCGGAGTTGCGCCCCTTGGTCGTGTCTTTTAGTCCGTCAGTCACGGGTTTGAATCCGAGATGTTAATTAGTTGTCATCAGCAATGTGTCTGTGCCTTATATCCCTGTTCGTTGTATCGAGGAAAGTGGAAAATGTCTACGGTCTTGCTTTACTATGAGAATTCCTTCCACATTAATGTCGCGGCCATAAAATTTCAGAGTCCCGTGATGGGATTCGAACCACGGACCTTCTGATCAGAGGTTGGACGCCTTGTCCACATGACCAAACACGTTCCCCCCGTCAGCAAGCTGACAAGGTAAGGATGTCATCTTTGGGATGACTCCATGCTCTGCTACATTGCGATAATACGCCTGAATAATTGGTGTAGCAAGATTCGATATACCGAAAAAGCACGTGGTCTACGAGATTCGTTGAGGCGTAGGGGCGGTTGGGTAGCCTAGTGGTTAAAGCGTTCGCTCGTCACGCCGAAGACCAGGGTTCGAATCTCTACATGGGTACAATGTGTGAAGCCCATTTCTGGTGTCCCCCGCCGTGATATTGCTGGAATATTGCTAAAAGCGGCGTAAAACCAAACTCACTCACTCACGTTGAGGCGTATATACCTATTTAATATTGTTCCTCTACTGATTCGATCCCCTGACCGCGTAACGCAGTCATTCCGTGCAAAAATGATACTTGTTGTTGCCCTGCCTGGCGCTCGGCATTAAGGGGATAAAACAAGACCAGATCGGCTCAGTATGTCAGTATGTTAAACTGGGACATGGTATCTCAGTGGGCTAGCACTATAAAACCGAACGAGTACCAGCAGCCAAGCACACATAGATCGATGCTCATGATATGGATTGTGTGGTCCAGACTCGATTATTTACAGACTGCCGCCATATAGCTGAAATATTGCCAATGCGGCGTTAACCAACCAACAAAACAAACAAACAAATGTTATCAGCTGAAGGACGCGCAGATACAATTTGCCAGGATCGTCATCTCTTCCTGTTGGACCTAGAGTACCGCACAGCTCTGTCAGTCAATAGGATTCCTATTTGTTTGTTGTCTTGATGTGAGTTTCATTCCAGTCCAAACGTATTAATGATATATTTGCATAACTGAATTTTTTCTAATATTTTTTACATGTATGCAGCATTTTATCCCTTGTGGACGGATTTCAATTTTATTTCGATATTATGCAAATTAGGCACCACAGAGAGAAAAGGGAGTTTTATATTCACAGTAGTAAGTAAACTTCGTGAGGACAACAGCGTGCACTGTTCCATGGCGTTATGAAAATGTAAAACTCAATTTGGAATTATAGTTTAAATTTTAAGGATGATCATTTCTCTATATCACATTTGAATATCGCAAAGTCCTCCGAGCTAAACCACCACTACTCGTCACAGATGCGAGACTAAAAGGGGCCGACTGATAACAAGATTCGGTCTCTGGCGTCTACAGGTAAACTGTAATGAATAAGGACTTGTGCTCTTTATAAAGGGAATTCGCTACATCACAACTGTTACTAATTACGACATAAAATGGCGTTAGAGCAAATCTAGCCTCACTCACTTACCCATCGACTCAATAGAAAATGACGATTCGTCCAAACTTTGTTTTTAGTGTGGGTCGTAAAGGTATTTATTGTAAGAGTTACCTCCCTTGACGAACTTAGGAAAATGGCGGCGTCCACAAAACGTGAGATTGATGATGTCGAACAGAACGACGAAGATGATGGCTGGATTGGACCTATGCCTGGAGAGGCAGCAAAGCCAAAGAAACAGAAAGGTTAGAATCTTTGGTTGGTCTTTACAACCAAATCTTGAGTTTGTATCCAAGAAGTGTACGATTTGGTGTCATCTTGTTTTGAATTTGAGAGTTGACAAAAACATCATTCGTTGGTTCATCACTAATTATTTGTGACAGCGCCCGTGGTACCATGGTAAAGTGTAAGCTAATCAGATTTACTCATTAGCCTACCTTTGCTTCAAGCTGACAACGTGAGTTCGATGCTGATTGAGCGCTGACTGGAAAGGTGTAACCAGTAAAGAGTAATGCTTCAATCATGTCAATCAAGGAGCTCTTACCAATCATTAGGATTAGGTATCCCTTGCCAATCAAACACCCCGTCAAGATACATAGGGCAGTGTTCGAAATACCTGCCTGCCCGACCGTCCGAGACGGGTTGATTTCAACTCGGGCTACCAGATTTTCAAATCCCCCTGCCCGACGGTCGGGTTATATTTCATTTGTGACAATATTCTAAATATTTCCCGATGATAATCATTAATTCACATGTAAAGATGAATGATAAAATGTAACCAAAAAGAAACCCCGTTAGCTTATCCTGAGAAACATATGATTATTGTGGGCAGGCAGGTTTTGGTCAGGGCTGGCGTGTATTTCAGCTAGCCAGTCCTGTGGTCTGGCTGAAATGTTTGGGAGTTTCATACCCTGCATAGGGTTAGTTGTGAGTTAGGGTATGAGTTCGCAGTCCCACCTCTTTTAGTGATCCCGTCCATGTGGCACTAACTGAAATCTGAAAAACAAACCTGCTAATGTCTTCACTCTTATTTCTGTAGCTTTTGTTCCCTGTTTATCAAATTTTGTCATATATTACACAATTCCCTTTTGTGTAAAGATTTGGTCTTGTCCAGTAAGAACCAGTAGATTGCTCTCACATGTCTCAGACCCTACATTTTATGTCCCTTGCATGTTAAATAAGGAGGTACGTTACAAGAGTCTAAAGGATCTTGGTGCATCAATACTGATTTGCCTCATCATGAACTTTATCTTCATTTTGTCTGGTTTCAGTACTTGAGTTTGAGCATGTGTACATGGAGAACATTCCCAGTGCAGAATACTATGAAAAGAGCTACATGCACCGAGACATCATAACTCATATAGCAGTAACAAGGTTTGTATCATGGAGAATAGCAGAATGTATATTTGGATTGTTTTATTTGCCCAATATAATGATGGAACTTTGGAGGTTTACTTATAAACAAAAGAAGCATTTCATTACCTCCACCATTTCCGTGATTTTTTTTCCCAGGGGCTAGCATCCCCTGTTTACTGCTGTATGAATATCACTTACTATTTTGAAGCCTGTCCTCCTCAAACATATTTAGTAGATAGATAATGTCTTCATCTCCCACTGTTTACCACGGTGGGGTTGTCTCCTCATACCAAAGACCCGGGTTTGATTCCCCACATGAGTACAATATATGAAGCCCATTTTCGATGTCACCTGCCATGATATAACTGGAATCTTGCTAAAAGTGGCGTAAAACCATATTCACTCACTCCCAATTTTTACCAGTCATTTGTATGAAAAGACATTGGGCTAAATGTTAGGGGATAACAACTTCTCTATTTGCACTAAGCATGCTAAGGTGACGATTACATCTGTTCTATGAAGATACTAACTCCTTTATGAAGCATGTGATAAGCTGATTTGATCTTGTGAAGTTTGGTCTTGTAAATTAATAAATAGCTGTAAAATAGTTATAACGGTTGTGTGTAAATAATCTAATAAATCATAACCATATGGTTTTACATACAGTGAAGGTGAGTTCTTAAACAGCTAACAACATTGAGTCATTGAGCTTTCTGGGTTGCAGGACTGACTTCATCATTACAGGAAGTTGTGACGGACATGTCAAGTTTTGGAAGAAATCAGAAGAAACAGGCATTGAGTTTGTCAAGCACTTCCGGAGTCACCTAGGTAACCAGTCCTGAGAATCCCCCAAGAGCATGTCAGGGAACTGACAGACACATTCTTTTAATACAAGTGCCCTCACATGCTGTCTAAGACAAGTGCCCTCTCATGCTTTCTGTTGTAAGAGATATATATTAAGAGCCATGGGAGATGAATATTAGTTTGGTCACAACATGATGACTTCCCAGCAATAATAGTCATTGGGTTACTATGGTTACAACCAATAATAGTCATTTTGGTTACTATGGTTACAATCGGACTGACCACTATGTCCATTTCACCCCCTGGCTTATATGGATGCACTAATCTTGAATGCAACGTGAAAGCCCATTTCAACACCACCTTCTGTGACTGGTGTCTCTTTACAGGAAACATCCAGGACATGTCTGTGAGCAGTAATGGAGAACTGTGTTGCACTGTGTCGGACGACAAGACAGCCAAAGTCTTTGATGTCGTTAACTTTGGTGAGTTAACGTGTTCAGAACAGTTTGCCTCTAATATGATTATATCAGATTACACATGTTACATGTACAGCTTACTTTCCTTGTCTCCACATGGACTGCAGAACTTTTGACATCTGCATTTCTGTTTCTTTTTTGATATCACTGTTTTTCTCAAATACATTGTCAATACTGAGATATAACTGTACTATTGCTGTGTGGCCTATCAAGGTTAATGTGTCATTATAGTGAACAGTTGGTCCCTTCTGTGTCAGGTATCACATGTGCTTCTGAAATGGTCAATGTGAATCATTCTGGTTGGTTTTATGCTGAACATGTATTTTTCAAAACAAAAAACCTAAGATATGACCATTCTAGTCCCTCAACAACAGTTTTCATGCTGTGTTGGGCAAATGTTCACGTATACCTTGAAATGTCAAGTGGTCAATTATGTTAAGAAGTCCTCTTATTCCAGATATGATCAACATGGTAAAGCTGGGCTACGTTCCTCTGTGTAGTGGCTGGGTGTACAAACCAGGGGATGCCATATCAGCACTAGCCGTGTGAGTAGATACAGGGGATTCAATAGGCGTGTGTTCAGACACAGATAAATTAGTCATAAGATTTGTCCTATTTGAGACAGTGTGATGCATATGCCACCTGTAAGCTTAAACAGGTCAAAAATAACTTTTGTGATCCAGTAAATACACCTTATTCAGTGTCTCCCAGATGTGGGTGACAGTAACACCTTCATTCTGCAGTCCTGGTCAGGGACTGTCATAAGGAAAGAGAATATTCTCTGGAGAGTTTTCTCCCTTTGTCAGTGACCGCCTCCGTGGTCTAGTGGTAGAGCGTCTACCCGGAGAGCAGAAGGTCTGGGGTTCGATCCCCAGCTGCGTAATACCTAAAGACGTTAAAAGATGGTACTTGTTGTTACCCTGTCTGGCGCTCGGTATTAAGGGCCTAAAACAAGGACTGGTCGGCTCGGAGTCAGTATACTGTGTCTGAGTGGGGTATTCATGTTCAACTGCAGCATGGTTTCTCAGTGAGCTAGCACTATAAATCGGCATCAGTCCAGACTAGTACAAGCAGCCACATACACGTGCATGCATGTCGCTATATAAGTGCAATAATCTTGGACGCAACGTTAAACCCCATTTCACCTCACCTCACCTCTTTGTCAGTTGCAGGTATTGTAATGGTCCCTGTAAATTTAGTACTTGTCTCTTTCAGGTCTGAGAAAGAAAGCAACACAATCCACATATACGATGGAAGGGGGGAAGGTGTGCCTCTCCACTCGCTGGAAAAACTTCACTTCAAGCCTGTCACCATCATACGGGTAAGTTCAGGGAAGAGCCAAATACGGTCAAGCCTTGGGAATTAGAAACCCGATATAGATGTGCTTTGGTCTAACTGTGCCCTTCTTTATTTATCATCATTAGAAACAGAATGACTCATCATGCTCATATCGTGTATGGAGAAAGAAACATATGACCTGTAACGATACATGTACCTCACTGATTGTTATTTGGATCTTTGATCATCATTATTTAGACTCATTAAGAATTCATAAATAGGACATGTAGGATAAGTTCTTTGCACTCAAGGTAACTGTTGTACATTGTATTGCAGTACAACCCTGTGTTGGAGTAGGACACAAGTTAACTGTTGTACATTGTATTGCAGTACAACCCAGTGTTGGAGTAGGACACAAGTTAACTGATGTAGATTGTATTGCAGTACAACACAGTGTTGGAGTAGGACACAAGTTAACTGTTGTACATTGTATTGCAGTACAACCCAGTGTTGGAGGGGACACAAGTTAACTGTTGTACATTGTATTGCAGTACAACCCAGTGTCGAAGGTGGACACAAGGTAACTATTGTACATTGTATTGCAGTACAACCCAGTGTTGAAGGTGGACACAAGTTAACTGTTGTACATTGTATTGCAGTACAACCCAGTGTTGGAGTAGGACACAAGTTAATTGTTGTACATTGTATTGCAGTACAACCCATTGTTGAAGGTGGACACAAGTTAACTGATGTAAATTGTATTGCAGTACAACCCAGTGTTGGAGGGGACACAAGTTAACTGTTGTACATTGTATTGCAGTACAACCCAGTGTTGGAGTAGGACACAAGTTAACTGTTGTACATTGTATTGCAGTACAACCCAGTGTTGGAGTAGGACACAAGGTAACTGTTGTACCTTGTATTGCAGTACAACCCAGTGTTGGAGGGGACACAAGTTAACTGATGTACATTGTATTGCAGTACAACCCAGTGTTGAAGGTGGACACAAGTTAACTGTTGTACATTGTATTGCAGTACAACCCAGTGTTGGAGTAGGACACAAGTTAACTGTTGTACATTGTATTGCAGTACAACCCAGTGTTGGAGGGGACACAAGTTAACTGATGTAAATTGTATTGCAGTATAACCCAGTGTTGAAGGTGGACACAAGTTAACTGATGTACATTGTATTGCAGTACAACCCAGTGTTGAAGGTGGACACAAATTAACTGTTGTACATTGTATTGCAGTACAACCCAGTGTTGGAGATGGACACAAGTTAACTGTTGTACATTGTATTGCAGTACAACCCAGTGTTGGAGTAGGACACAAGTTAACTGATGTACATTGTATTGCAGTACAACCCAGTGTTGGAGTAGGACACAAGTTAACTGTTGTACATTGTATTGCAGTACAACCCAGTGTTGGAGTAGGACACAAGTTAACTGTTGTACATTGTATTGCAGTACAACCCAGTGTTGAAGGTGGACACAAGTTAACTGTTGTACATTGTATTGCAGTACAACCCAGTGTTGAAGGTGGACACAAGTTAACTGTTGTACATTGTATTGCAGTACAACCCAGTGTTGGAGGTGGCAGTCTCCGTGGACCGGACTGGCATGATAGAGTGTTGGGGTGGTGCCAGGCAGGACTACAAGTTCCCTAAAGTGTTGGAGTGGGAGTTTAAAACCGACACGGATCTCTATGACTTCATGATGGTAAGCGTTTATCATATCAGCCAAACAGTAGACTACAGTTGTCTTCAAACATGTGACGGTTTATTCATCACTTAGTCCTAACTTTGAAATGAAGACCAATCCCTCTGGAACGCTTTGATAAACATCTGAAATATCTTTCAGTAAAACCTGACATTTTTAGGGGGGAATTAAGTACTTACTAGGATATCAGTTATTGTGATGAATATTTACAATGACTTCTAATTAATTATCTGATGATGGTTCCGTAATGTTTCAACTCCAAATTTATTGTAAGCACCTTCATCACCTTGTCCTTTCACAGAAGAAAGCTGTTCCAACAAGTATCGCATTCTCACCCAATGGACAACTCATGGCTACTCTAGCCACAGATCGCAAGGTGAGTTTCACTTCGCAGCAAGTGGAAAATAAGTTCTGATAGAGTTGTCTCCCTTCATACAATGTAGGTTTAAGTTCATGAAACAGACTCACTTGCCTGAAATTCATTTGGAGATTCCTTTGCTTGTTTGTTTGTTGTTTAACGCCACACTCAGCAATATTCCATCTCGTTGACGGTGGTCTGTAAAAAATCAAGTCTGGACCAGACAATCCAGAGATTGACATCATGAGCATCGTTCCACATAATTGTGATATGATGACATGCATCAACCAAATCAACGAGTCTGACCACCCGATCCCGTAAGTGGCCTCATACAACAAGCATAGTCCCCATTTACAGCAAGCATGGCTAGCTGAAGACCTAATCTAACCTGGATCTTCACGAGTATCACTTAGAGAGACCATTCTGACCTATTTACAAGAGCAATGGGTCTTTTTAAATATTTGTAATGTCACACAACCATAAGGCGAGGACATTATAATTTCTTGTTTTACAGACCCATTTGTCATTTTTTAGCATGTTTAGCCATTGCCCTAAAATATCTGAAATGAGATATGATCACTGTCTGCATTGCCATTTTCTACAATGTCTGCTCTCTCGCACATGCTTGAGCACAGACTTCACCGTAGCAAAACCATAGCTTCCATTCCTCTCCCACCCTCCAAAAAGGTGAATGTGCAATATCATTTTTGTCCAAGATAATATATTAGCAGGCACAATGCAGTAATTAATATAGTCATATATTTATTATGTTTTTTAGAAGTGATTGTTTCATGTATTTTTTTCCCCTCTGCCTTCAGGCTTTTGGGGATAAAATGCATAAAACAAGCACTGTACATACAGGGAATGTGTGAACTAGCAGCTTATACCTACCCCAGTCTGGGGAAATCACTATGTACCGTGGAAAGAGGCTGACCCAACCATAACAACATACAGTGGATACGCACCGCACATGCCGGAGAAAGTTCTGACTATATGCCACACTAACAACCCCACCAGCATCAGATTAAATTGGTCTGCCCTAAGTATGCTAAGTAGTATTTGGTGCTTGCTTGTGTTGATTTCAGGTGAGGATATTTAAGTTCCTGACTGGGAAGCTGTTCAAGGTGTTGGATGAAAGCTTAAAACAGTTCACTGAACTTCAACAGGTATCTTTTCCTCATCAGTTGCTTTTCTTTTCCTGTATTTCTGTTACATTACTGTGTATCCATTCTGTTTCTATATGCTGGATGGCCGAGTGGTATGCAGGGCCAATACATGAACACACAATGCCATTTAGAAAGTGGTCAAATGTAACAATTGTTAAATTTGGGATAACACTTTCAAAGTAAAGCACAGATTCTAGTACTTTTTGGGGTTGGGCTACTAAGTAAGTGTTATCCCAAATATAATGCCCTTGTGTGTTCATAGCTTTCGGCCATGGGAGCCCTGCCAGTTTACACTTGTCAGAGGGGTACACAAAGTATGTGATCTTGACAACCAGTTGTCATACGTTCATATTTGTGGAAGCCAAACTGGCTGAGTGGGTTAGATCGCTGACTTTGTGTGCTCGCAATTAGGTGCCTCAAACTGGCAGTGCTGATTCGAATCCAGGAGGGGGCAGGGGTGGCCCAGTCGTCTAAGGCGCTGTGATTTGCTGTGCAGAGATGCATCCCTTGGGCACGCCAGAAACCTATGATTGTTGGTTCGAATCCCGGTTTGCCCGGATTATGTTTCTAGGTTTGTCAGCACCATACCCGTGCTCGTGGGTTTCACCGAAGTGGTAAACGTCTGAGACCTGCATCCCTTCGGGCTTTCCTCCCACATTAAGCTGACATGCCGTTATATAACTGGAATAATGTTAAAAGTGGCGTTAAACCCAACTCACTCACTCGAATACTGGACAGAACGCAACCCAAAAAAGTACTAGAATCTGTACTTTACTAAGAAAGTGTTATCCCAACAAAAACATTTGTTACAGGGCCTATACACATTCGGCATCTACAGATTGCCAGACCAGTCCTACCTAGACAATTGATGCTAGGATCCTACATGACTGAAATGATTATGACTGACCACTTAGCACAGAAAAATACCACACTGGAGCATCTTTGGACTTTTTTCATTTCAGATGAAACAGCAAATACCTAACATGGAGTTTGGCCGTCGTCTGGCTGTGGAGAGAGATCTGGAGAAGTCTGATTCCTTTTCCCTCGTCAATGTTGGTAAGTTTGTATTTGGAATTATTTCTTTATCACATCATTTTTATGACATCATTTAGGTTTATCATTTTCTTGAAAATTGTCAATTATGTCCAGGATGTACTGCAATACTTGAGTTGATTATATCAGTCATGTCAAATTTGTACTTATGTTCGATATTTGCGTTAGCTTAACATTTTTAGAAGGGATCACTATTTGTGTTGTTATTATTACCCTACATTTGTGATTAATTGTAAAACCTGAAGTACAGTTGCATCATTCGACCCTGGGAGTATCCACTTGTCCCAGGGGTCAAATTCTCCCTGATAATGTTTTGTGGTTTGTCAGCACCATAGGAGTGGTCGGGTAGCCTAGTGGTTAAAGCATTCACCTGCCATGCTGAAGGCCCTGGTTAGATTCCCGACATGGGTTCAATGTGTGAAGCCCATTTCTGGTGTCCCCTGACGTGATATTGCTGGAACATTGCTAAAAGCAGCGTAAAACCATGATCACTCACCCTGGTGTCCCCCACCATGATGTTGCTGGAGTGTTGCTAAAAGTGGTCTTACTTGTCAGCACCATCCCACTATTATCAAGGTAATGGTCTGTTCCAATGATCAAACATAATCATACAGCTACCCTTCGACAGTGCAATCATCAGTTGTGCCCATACTTGATATGATCAATTGTGGATTGAAATACTACTTTATGTATATTATTTTAAATGTTCAGTTATTCCATTAATAGTGTTGATCTGTAACAAATTACACATAAACACAATGATCATCAACTGCGGACCGAGGGAGTTTCGCTGTGCAGGGTTGCGTCCACTGGGCACGCCAAAAACTATGATTGTGGGTTTGAATCCTGGTTCGCCCCGTTTATGTTTCTAGATTTGTCAGCACCATACTCGTGTTTGTGGGTTTCACCAAAGTGGTAAATGTCTAAAACCTGCATCACTTCGGGCTTTCCTCCCGCTTCAAGCTGACACGCCGTGATATTACTGGAATATTGTTAAAAGCGGAGTTAAACCCAACTCACTCATTCACTATAGTCAGTGGTCTAAAGGTTGGAACAAAACAATTATTACCAATGGTGATGAAGTACCCACTGATTCCCAAAGACTTGTAATAGGTCCTTTGAGTATTGTCATCAGTCTGAAGGTCAGTGGCATAAGGTGTCATGAACAGACATGTTCAGATTAGTCCATTGTTCTAACTGTTGTATGTGTGAGATATATACCAGTTGTCTTGTTCTTCTATTGGGGTTGATTGAAACTGTGTTCTATTCCAGTGTTTGATGAGAGTGGCTACTTCATATTGTACAGCACAATGCTGGGAGTCAAAGGTACGTCTCTTTTGGAAGATAACACCCCATACAGCACCCCACATTCTACTGGGGGCACAGGTGGCCCAGTCGTCTAAGGCGTCATGATTCCCTGTGCAGAGTTGCGTCCCTTGGGCACGCCAGAAACCTATAATTGTGGGTTCGAATCCCAGTTTGCCCCGATTATGTTTCTAGGTTTGTCAGCACCATACTCGTGCTCGTAGGTTTCACCGAGTGGTAAACATCTTAGACCTGCATCACTTCGGGATTTCCTCCCACATTAAGCTGACACGCCCTGATATAACTGGACTAATGTTAAAAGCGGCGTGACACCCAACTCACTCACATTCTACTGCCAAATAAACTTAATGAAAGCAGCAAGCATGGCCAGACGATGTTATGTTTTGTTTTTCATAAAACAGAAAGGACAAAAAAATGAAATGCCGGGGCAGATATGAGGTTAAATTCTAATAGGACTTTGAAATAAAAGTTTGGAAAAATGAACATGAAGGTTGTTACAAAAATGATTTTCCTTGATTTTCATTTCACTAATAAGTATCCTTATATCTGTCTCTCTGTTTAGTTTAGTGGATGATATGTCAAGGGATGTAGTGTCCTGGTACACAGCCAGCAGTCATGGTTGTGATTAGGTGTGAATGTCTAAGGTAGACCAACTGAACAGGGACTGCCTCCGTGGTCTAGTGGTAGAGCATCCGCCCAGAGAGCGGAAGGTCCGGGGTTCGATCCCCAGCCGTGTCATACCAAAAGACATTAAAAGATGGTACTTGTTGTTACCCTGTCTGGCACTCGGCATTAAGGGGCTAAAACAAGGACTGGTCGGCTCGGAGTCTGTACACTGTGTCTGAGTGGGGTATTCATGTTAAACTGCGGCATGGTATCTCAGTGTGCAAGCACTATAAATCGGCATCAGTCCGGACTAGTACAAGCAGCCACACACATACACGTGCATGCACGTCGCTATATAAGTGCAATAATCTTGGACACGAAGTTAAACCCCATTTCACCTCACTTCACCAAAAGAACAGCAAAGATTGACAGAATACATGTCCTTGTCTGACCCCTTTACATACAGAAGGAGATGTCTACCTTCAGATCATGTCTTTGTTTCTCTGTGTACAGTAAACTACGGTTATAATGAACACGCTTATAACGAACTGACGGATATAACAAACTTACTTTTTAGTCCCGACTATTTGCTGTAGTTATGCTGTATATATGCTTATAACGAACTATGGTTAAAACGAACTAAATATTGTAGTCCCTTTGAGTTCGTTATAACCGTAGTTTACTGTACTAGATTTTCATTCTAAATGAGTAATTATTTTACAGTATGATGGCTGTTTTGATATATTTCATATTGAGTTGGTGACTTTTCCTTGCAAAAAGTCTTATTTTGTCGTGCTCATTTTTTAAACAATGAGTTTAGTGTTTGGAAGTGACCAACAGCATGGGGAAATTATTTCTAGGTCTAGAACTATTCCTCTGTGAGCCTAAATAGTGCTTATGGCCCGAACTCAACCTAAGTCCATCCTATTTCCTATATTGTGAGGAGTTGAAAACTATATCTTGTCGCTTCAGGTGAATGAACAGGAGATGACATACTTTGTCATTGAAAATTTAGATATGCGATGTAACATCACATGATTCTGCTACACCGAATTTATCTTACCAACATGTTTTAGTATGACATTGTAAATGAATTCAAACACATTCAAAATTGATAGAAAACAGCTGTTCAATTGAACTGAGGTTAGTTTGCGGTATGTCACATGACTTCCATTGACTTGGGGAAGAGCGTGCAGCTTTTTGCTTCGAAGCGGGGTATAAGGGATTTACTCTGCCTCTCAGAAATCCACATGCAGCCTGTCTTGCTCATGGCAGGGTATAAGGGCTTTATTCTGCCTTTCAGAAATCGACATGCAGTCTGACTTGCATGTGGCGGGGTATAAGGGATTTATTCTGCCTCTGAGAAATTAATGTGCAGCCTGTCTTGCTCATGGCGGAGTGTTAGAGATTTATTCCCCCGCTGAGAAATTTATTCCCCTCCAAGTCAAGATCACGTGGACCAATCAGATGTCATCATTCTGACATGGAGGTATGATAATATCCTGTACACTCCATTACTAACACATATACAACTCATGAAATGATTCATCTGTGTTGCAGTGATAAACCTGCACACAAACCGGTGTACCAGGATCCTGGGAAAACCGGAGAACGCCAGGTTTATCCAGCTGGCACTGTTCCAGGGTTCTGGGAAGAAGAAGAAGGCGGCAGTTGATGCGGACATGGTGGCATCGGACAACCCCATCCTCCAGAACGTCCAGCTGGATCCCACCCTCCTGTGCACAGCATTCAAGAAGAACAGGTTCTATCTCTTCACCAAGAGAGCGCCTGAAGACACAAAGAGGTAATGGTCCAGACATTTAGCTAGGATTCCAAATTTTGTGCAGGCTAATAGGATAAATCTTCTTTTTTTTATTCAAAATTTGGATTTTTTTTAGTTCTTATTTCCTTAGACCACCTCCATGGTGTAATGGATAGTGTCTGCCCAGAGAGTGGAAGGTTGGTGGTTGGATCCCCATGTCATACCAAAAGACACTAAAAGATGGTACTTTTTGTTACCCTGCCTGGCACTCAGCATTCAGGTGATAAAACATAGACTGGTTTGTTTTTTTGAGTCAACAAACTGTGTCTGAGTGGTCTATCCATGTCAAACTGTGGCAAGGTTTCCCAGTGAGCCAATAAGAACCAGGGCACCGTTCCAAAAAGCAAGCACCTTAGCACTAAGATGGCTTTGTGGAACAAGGCCCTGCATTAGTCCGGACAAGTGCAAGCAGCTACACACATATGTGAATCACTATAAAAGTGCATCAGTCTTGATCACAACATAAAACCCTTTTCACCTCACCTCTTATTTTCTTGACCCGTGAAGATTCCGGGGTAGAATAGGTCTTCAGCTACCCATGCTTGTCGTAAAAGGTGATTAACGGGATCGGGTGGTCAGGCTCGCTGACTTGGTTGATGCATGTCATCGATCCCAATTGCGTGGATCGATGCTCATGATATCAATCACTGAATTGTCTGGTCCAGATTCAATTATTTACAGACCGCCGTCATAGAGCTGGAATATTGCTGAGTGTGGCGTTAAACAACAAACCAACCAACCAATCTTATTTTCTTAAATTCAGAGAAATTTTAACATTTTACATCCATGTGTCACATTAATCTCTTGTTACGAAAACTTACAGAAACTATCATGTAACACAGTCACTAGGAGAGAGGTGGGGAGGGCATTTGCAATTTTCATTTTAAATAAAATATCAATATTCTCCATGAGAAAGTAAAATTGAAAGAGTAAGAGTCCACATCCCTGAATTACTTACTGTCAAGTGGCTGTATGATGAAGTAGGTGCAGTGTTGTTACAGCTCTTGGGTGTTTGTATTGCTGAAAGGGGCGGTTGGGTAGCCTAGTGGTTAAAGCGTTCGCTCGTCACGCCAAAAACCAGGGTTCGATTCCCGACTTTGGTACAATGTGTGAAGCCCATTTCTGGTGTCCCCCGCCGTGATATTGCTGGAATATTGCTAAAAGCGGCGTAAAACCGTATTCACTCACTCACTGTATTGCTGAATAATAATTAAACTGTATGTTGCAGTGCCGAGACTGAGCGTGATGTGTTCAACGAGAAGCCATCCAAGGAGGAGGTGGTGGCGGCCACGCAGGTGAGATCACACAGAATCCTTTGTAGCAATCTCACCCAAAACACATTCTGCCATGACACGTTGGCGGCATCTAATCCATGTTATACAGTTAATTTGCAGGTGACTCTGCCACCATGAAAGAAATATTTACTTACATTTAAAACAGATGGTCATTGACAATGATTGATGCCTGAATTTGAAATTCAGCCAACTGAATATATGATACACTACCGAAGTCCCATCACACATGATGCCTGTGTTGTCTATTGATTAGAGCATCTGCCTGGGGTGCGGAAGGTCGATGGTTTGATCCATGATCGTGTTGTACAAAAAGACACTGAAAGATGGTGCTTGTTGTTTCGCTGCCTGGCGCTTGGCATAAGGGGATAAAACAAGGACTGGTGAGCTCGGAGTCAGTATACTGTGTCTGAGTGTAGTATTCATGTTAAACTGCGGCATGGTATCTCAGTGGGCTAGCACCATAAATTGGCATCAGTTCGAGCTAGTACAAGCAGCCACACACACACACACACATTCACGTTGCTATATATAAGTGCAATAATTTTGAATGCAATGTAAAAAACCCATTTCACAAACAAACAGAAGAAAAAGTATCTTTGAGTTTAACATTCTTCCTACATTCCAGGATCTATCCTATACCCGCGTGTCGGAGAACGTGGTCATCCACACAACCATGGGAGATGTACATTGCAAGCTGTTCTCTAAGGAGTGAGTATTAAGTTGATACAACAATTTGGTCAACTCTCTATTAGAATAGTCATGCATAAGGCTGGAAAAACCAAGACAACAGATCCTATGGCAACGCCTGAAAGTTGGGGTTAAGGGCTTCCCAGTTGTCTAAGGCACACATTGATCGTAGCTCTTCGATTGTCATCCCTCCTATAGTTTAACATAGATTGATAACAGTTGTAGCTCTTCAATTGTCAAAACTCCCGAAGTTTAACATAGATTTATGACAGTTGTGGCGCTAAGATTGTCCTAATTCCCATAGTTTAACATAGATTTATGACAGTTGTGGCAACTAAGATTGTCCTAATTCCCATAGTTTAACATAGATTTATGACAGTTGTGGCGCTAAGATTGTCATAATTCCCATAGTTTAGTCATAGCACTACGACTGCTTTGTGAAATGAGGCCGAGATTCATATGATTGTTTGTTTGAAACATGATTTGATTATTTGCACAATGGCTACGCCATTCAAATAGCGATGCAGTCAAGAGTAGTAGTGGGGTGCATGAGGAGATCGCAGCTTTTTTACTTCTCATTACAAGTATCGATCACAATCACACACTGAGTGAAAAGTATCAATTCTTACCTTAAATGTATTCTTTAATAAATGTTACACCAAACACCATTACTAGTGAAAATGAGTAGTTAAGCCTCGACTGTAGGGGGTGTTGATAGTGTTTGAGAACCAGTAACACATGTCATAAGGGATAAATGACTTGCACTTTCTTCAGTTTCTTTACTTTTTTTCTTTTCGTTTTTAGGTGTCCAAAAACTGTGGAAAATTTCTGTGTGCATGCAAAGAATGGCTACTTCAATGGTCATGTCTTTCACCGAGTCATCAAAGGCTTTATGATTCAAACTGGAGATCCTCAAGGTAGGTAGGAGTGGGTATTGCGTTGAATCACTTTGAAGTGTGAACAAAATCAGTAAGTGTGCAATAGCATCACTGGATTTTCTGGTCCATCACCTGATTGTCTGGTTTGTTTACAGGCCGCACCACATGGCAGGAGTAATGCAGTGAGGTGTCAGGCAACAAACGCTAACTTTGTTATGTGTGGGTGGTGGGTGTTACTGCTAACGCTTTTTGCGAACACTTTGTTTCATCACTGATTTTCACTGATCTATTCATATAGTTTTCATCTCTATTTTCGGAGGATGATCGAGACTGGTTATTCTCTGGCGTTGACTTTTACTATTTACAGACCAGCATGTCGAAATGATTGGCAATAGTACAAGTTCATGTACCAATGGTATGTTGCTGGAAGCTATACCGACAAACCACTGTCTGTGCAACTCTTATAAACTTAAGAGGACCGCCTCCGTGGTCTAGTGGTCCGCCAGGAGAGCGGAAGGTCCGGGGTTCGATCCCCGACCGCGTCAGACCAAAAGACGTTCAAAGGTACTTGTTGTTACCCTGTCTGGTGCTCGGCATTAAGGGGCTAAAACAAGGACTGGTCAGCTCGGAGTCAGTATACTGTGTCCGAGTGGGGTATTCATGTTAAACTGCGGCATGGTATCTCAGTGTGCTAGCACTATAAATCGGCATCAGTCCGGACTAGTACAAGCAGCCACACAAACACACACACACGGACATGCACGTCGCTATATAAGTGCAATAATATTGGACGCGACGTTAAACCCCATTTCACCTCACCTATAAACTGAACACATGATAAGTGAAAAGTCACCAGGAGATGCTGTCTTCTGTACGACTTGTTGTGTATTGCAGGAAACGGTACGGGCGGAGAGTCCATCTGGGGCGGAGAGTTTGAAGATGAGTTCCATCCCAAGCTGCGTCACGACAGACCCTACACATTGAGCATGGCCAACGCTGGACCCAACACCAACGGCTCCCAGTTCTTCGTCACACTTGTTCCAACGGTAATTGAAAGTAGACACAAAAACTAGAGAATCTATATATCCTATTCTTACTGAGTAACTGCCGGGTGCCATTAATAAAGTGATCTTAGCGCTTATGACAGTCATAATGCTAAGGTTGTTTTGAACAACGGCACCCTGCACAATATTACGGTATACTGCAAAATGCTTTTAAAATGATACATATTGCCATCTTTTTTCTGTCTTCTGGTGTGTTGATTAAAAAATAGGTAACATCTTTTGTTACTACTTGTATAGTTTAACCTAAAATCTGCACAGAATTTCTTTAACGTTTCGGAACTGATTGATGAAACTGCGGAAATGTGGAAGTGCAATCTCATTAAAAACAGACCTTACTTCTCGCTACCGCTAAACAAAGATCTGAAGACATCCCATTACGGGTCAGGTCAGACCGGCCTTGCACGAACTTTGACCGACCAATGGAATGACCAATCAGAAGGCAGCTTTCTCGTGCTTTACGGCACTAATTTCAAATTGGCGATTACGCTTCGAAAAATATTTTGACACATTCTCGATTACAAATTTGAAACCTGAACAAAATAAACATTCTGGAATGGCTAATAGATGGTCTAGATTGTAAGGATTCAGTCGTCAAACCCGTAACTATCGTTCGGAATACCCCATGTTAAAGTTTTCGAGGTTGCATGATTAGAAATCACATTCTGACTGTCACTTTCATAATCTAGTAAGTGACACTCTGATTGATCGGATTGATCGGATGAAAGGTCGTTCTGACGTGACCCCTAATGGGATGTCTTCAGATCTTTGTTTAGCGGTAACAGAACTAAGATCTGATTTTAATGAGATTGTGTGGAAGTGTTTTTTTTCTTAAGTTATAATCTCCCCTGTATCCATACAAAATACAAAATGGCGGTGACTGACCATGCCGACTTTGACATTGTATAATTATTAACCTTATCCTATCTCACACTATGCATTCCTCCTTGTTCTTTGACCCTTGTATGGAAACATCTGAGAACAAAGTTTCCAGCTTTAAAAAAAACAACTCACCCCAACACACCCCATATATCACTATAGTCACTCACTACTGTAATCATGGGTCACACACAATTGCAATTTATTGTATAATTTACAGTATTTACTTTAGCATGTAGAAACTAGGATCTGAAAGAACAATTAGTGTTAATCATTGTCTAGCGCTTATCTCCCAATATACAAACAACACCTGTATCTCAATATGGTGCAATACATTTGTTTTTACCAAATCACATCCCTAATGTTTTGTTCCATGAGATTAGACCCTTGAAGATCCGGGGTAGAATAGGTCTTCAGCAACCCATGCTTGCCGTAAAAGGCGACTATGCTTGTCGTAAAAGGCGACTAACGGGATCAGGTGGTCAGGCTCACTGACTTGGTTGATGCATGTCATCGATCTCAATTGCATGGATCGATGCTCATGATATTAATCACTGGATTGTCTGGTTCAGACTCGATTATTTACAGACCACCGTCATATAGCTGGAATATTGCTGAGTTCGGCGTAAAACAACAAACCAAACCAAAACCATGAGATTAAGATGATGCAATAAGAATATATTTATGAGTCAACTCAATGAGTCAGTTCTAAATTGTATGAAAACTTAAGATATTTCATGTTCTTCTTCTTTGTCTTCTTTTAGCCATGGCTGGACAACAAGCATACAGTGTTCGGGAGAGTGTTCAAGGGTATCGAGGTGGTGGAGAACCTGGGCAATGTGAAGACCAATCCCAAGACAGACAAACCTTACGATGATGTCCGGATCATCAGCATGACAGTCAAGTGAAACCCGGACCGGACTCAATCCAACTTTTTTCATATTCCATCTTATCCAATGGGTAGCAGAACATACAAACATTGGTGTCGAGAATGACGGGAGTCATGATACAGGGTCGGGACATGGGTGGCACAGTCGTCTAAGTCGCTTTAATCCGTTCTGCAGAGCTGCGTACAGTGGACATGACGGAAGCCCATGGGTTTGAATCCCACCTTTGACCTTTTAGGTTTGTCAGCACCATCCTCCTGCTCATGGGTTTCACCAAAAGTCTTAGACCTGTATCACTTCAGGCGTTCCTTCCATATGAAGCTGATGCACCGTGATGACTGAAGTACCTTTCTAAGTGACGTTGAAACAAACTCATTCACATGACATACTGGTAGTGTCATGTCAGACTTATCCTGAACTATACTGTCAGGACATACTTGTGTCAGAAGGTTGAACTATTTAAAGGTCAGACAAGCATGTGAGAACTGATGTTGTTACAGAGACATCTCTTCCACCAGTTCTATAAAATCATCTACAGTATTTGACGTAATAAGCGCCCAGGGCGCTCTCAAAATTAGAAATAGGGGTCTCTTATTGGAATATTATTTTGGTGAAAAACAACAGAGTTGAAAGATAAATTTTGTGGTTTATGTTGACAGCCTGAAATGTTTATATACGACATTTATATTTTTCCAGAATTTAATTGCCTATAATTAAGGGTGCATATAACACGCGAGTGCGTATTATACGCGAATAAATAAGTCCTGTGTACATTGATCAATCTGAAGGGGTGCTAATTGGGATTGTTCATTAGTCAATATATTAGCAAATATCGCTGTGGGCGCTTAATAGAGCAGGGCGCTTATTACATCGAATACGGTAATTGTAGCACACCTGTATCATGTGAATTTACTTTGCCACAAGGAGTCGTTGAATATCAATTCAACCATAAGAATAATTGTTGAGGTTTAAATAGATTCTGCTTCTGAACTTATTCAGCTGTCAAGGAGTCAAAACAGTAGTCAAATGTCTGTTCAGTTCACGTCTGCTTGTAAAACACGTCCTTGCTGCAAGAAATGACCGTAGGATTTCCTGTGATTATGTTCTCCACGACGGAGGTATGTTCACAGAGCAGGACATTATTCACTCAGTCAAAGGATCACTGTACATTCAAATAGGTCTTACAGCAACCCATGCTTGCCGTTAAAAACAGCTATATGTTTGTCGTAAGAGGCGACTAACGGGATCAGGTGGTCAGGCTTGCTGACTTGGTTGATGCATGTCATTGTATCCCAATTGCATGGATCGATGCTCATGATGTCAATCACTGGATTGTCTGGTCCATACTTGATTATTTGCAGACTGCCGTCATATAGCTGGAATATTGCTGAATGAGGCGTTAAACAACATTCAAACCAAAAAACAAAGCATTCAAATTCCGTTTTCATCTCCCTGGGAAGTATATAGTCTTATCTCGTGGGAGTATGTCCACATACATCACAGCATCATCGTGTGTGACCACAGATGTGTGTATATTCATTGATGGTTAAGAAGTTAGGAGATTTGTATATGTTTGTAAATAAATATGTGAATATTGTTTGGTTTCCGTACTATTTCATGAGTGTTTGTATGTATCGCGGAATCTATGTTGAAGCTGAATGTACATTCCTATTGAAATATAGTTTGAAGAGAATGCTATTTGGTCAGTTCTGAAGTCAAGATAACCTTATGTACAGATGATTGGGGTTCATTTTGAAACTCAGAACTTTTAGAATGATGTGTTACTGGAACTTACAACATTTTGAAGACCGCCTTCCTGGTCTGGTGGTAGAATATCTGCAGAAGGTCGGGGGTTTGATCCTCAGCTGTGTCATACCAAAACATGTTAAAAGATGGTACTTGTTGTTACCCTGTCTGGTGCATGGCATAAAGGGGATAAAACAAGGACTGGTTGGCTCGGAGTTAGTATTCTGTGTCTGAATGAGGTATTCATGTTAATCTGTGGCATGGTATCTCAGTGAGTGAGTGAGTTTGTTGTTTAAGGCATGCTCAGCAATATGACGGCGGTCCGTAAATAATCAAGTCTGGACCAGACAATCCAGGGATTGACATCATCAACATCAATCCACATTAACATGCATTAACCAAGTCAGTGTGCCCGACCTCTTACGACAAGCATAGTCGGTCTGTTTGTCGGTCGCCTTTTACGGCAAATATGGGTTACTGAAGACCTATTCTACCTGGGATCTTCATTGGTCAGTATCTCGGTGAGCGAGCACTATAAGATTGGCATCAGTCTAGACTTGTACAAGCAGACACACATACACATGTACAAGTACCCAAATCCAAATCATTAAAAAAAAAATTCACCTCACCTCACCTCTGGTAGGGCTGAGATGGTACTCGGTCGGGTAGGACCTGGGTAGGACCCTACCCGCATGACTACAGGTACGGTGGTTAGTCACGTTATATACTCTGTAATGACATTAACAATAAAACTCAATGGTTACACTACAAGTATAGCTAATCTTCTCATTTCTTTCTCACTATGCAGGCATTTGTTCTGGCCTTTATATGTTCGAGTAAGGATAAAGCGTCTTTCAATTGCAGTGTATACATGATCAGATCGTTTTATTGTGTATCTAAATAGTTTTTGCCAGGGCTGCGGTAAAACAATTCCGATTCGGAGATTTTGTACCCAACTCTTGAGAACTATAGCGGGTGTCGGTAGTAAATTTGGACTCGTCCCAACCCTAACCTCTCGCGAACATGTTAAATCTGGTCACAATATCTCAGCCACTGGCATTTAGGCTGAATGTAGCATCAAGTGAAACAGACGTCACTTGTGGATTTCAACTTCTTTATTATTTCAATACCAATTTCAGTACAGATCCTAGTTCCTTTGACTTACCATCTGCTTGATTTATATATGGGTACTCGCATCTGTGCATTGAAACAACGAAGACATTAACATTTAAATCCATGTCCAAAGCAGAGAACGTCACAGCAGAGTTACGCCCCTTATGAGTGCTAAAACCTCACCATAATTCCAGGTCGGTCTCCTTTTTGTGGGTTTCACCAAAGCTTGTAACGTTTAAGACCTGCATCACTTCAAGCTTCCTCGAAACTAAAGAGGATCAAGGCTTCGGCAACTTAGCTGTCCAAGCAATTTCGATTCATGTCTTCACATTTAATTTGAGCACGAGGAAGGGATCGAAGCGTTATTTTCATTATTAAAATGTTATTTAAACAAGTTTAGTACTTAAAGACTTGAACTTAGGAGCACGCATTGACATGCCTTCTATGTGAAAATTCCAGTCTAATTTACTCAACAAGCTGTGTGACCCGTGAAGATCCGGGGTAGAACAGGTCTTCAGCAAACCATGCTTGGCGACTGACGGGATCGGGTGGTCAGGCTCGCTGTCCTGGTTGATGCATGTCTTCGTATCCCAATTGCGTGGATCGATGCTCATGATTTCACTCACGGGATTGTCTGGTCCAGACTCGATTATTTACAGACCGCCTTCATATAGCTGGAATATTGCTGAGTGTGGCTTTTAACAAAAACCAACCAACCAACCAACCAACAAGCTGAGTACACTGACATGGCTTTGTTTGTTAATGCCGCACTCAGCAGTTATCCACCTATATGACGGCGGTCTGTAAATAATCGAGTCTGGAACAGACAAACCAATGATTGACATCATGAGCATCGATCCACGCAATTGTCTGTTCCCTCTGTCTGTTCAAGTGATATGATTTAACTGGAACCCTTGACAACAACTCTTTCAGATTATGACCTTGACCCTCAACATGGATGAACAATGACTTTGTCTCAAACAATCGTTATGGCAATAAATTAGATATATGCGATATATCCTAGAGATGTCTGAGCAGTTTTGGACAAATGTCAGTTGAGACAAAAACTAGAAACGAATGTCTAACTGTTAATGAGAGCCATGCATTAAGCTGCCGTAAAGTACAACTTAAGTGCTCATGTCATTCAATTGTGTTTCGTTTGAATGAATCGGTAATACAAATAGGAATAAAGTTTAAGAGATTAAGTTAATTAGGGATGTTAAAAGACAGCCACTTGACAACAGCACCCAATCAGTGGTCACAGCGAGGTAATGGAAACAAGGCATTTAACTTTTCTCCAGCTATTTTCAAAAGGTAATCTGTTAGAAGTTAATGGTTATCTTACTGGTCTTAACATGTAATATATATTATATATTAGTCACAATGTGTCTGGCAGACGAAGCTGCATGTATGCTTATACTGATCATGTGTAACCAAGTGATCAAAACTAAATGATGATGTGTATCGCTAGCAATATGGATATTTCTCGAAAAGCCCGCTTTGCATTTTGTCAAATCTGTATGCAATATGTATTATCGGCGGAATGGCTTTTTTTTACGTAACCAGTATTAGCACACATGCAGCCACCTACATTAAATAATAATGACGATATTTCGTGATTCTATTTCAAGTGGCGAGGACAATAGGCCTGATAATGTATCAGGACTACTCAACCAACCAAACGAGTGGGTGGAAATACACCCCTTTAATAAATAGTGAGTGAGTGAGTATGGTTTTACGCAGCTTTTAGCAATATTCCAGCAATATCACGGCGGGGGACACCAGAAATGGGCTTCACACATTGTACCCATGTCGGGAATCGAACCCGGGTCTTCGGCGTGACGAGCGAACGCTTTAACCACTAGGCTACCCGACCGCCCCCTTTATTAAATAAAGCCATAGGGGTCTTAAAACATACAGAGGATCTAACACTCGTGTCCACGCGTGTCAAATATATAACTCAAGTTGAAAAAAAGGTTTAAAACTTCGAGGCTTGTTATATATTAATTTTTTTAAATCTTAACAAGTCTTGCTATATTTGATATCAAAAGACACGAGGGTGGGATTCTGTTTATCATCAAAAACCTTTCTTCCTTTTTTTCTGTCTTTAATTAAGAACTAAACGACGAGTGAGAGTTGTTTATCGTACAATAAAACACTGCAGTGAGAGTAAACAATGAGGGGCGCAAGATATCAACATTATGTACAGCATCCTTAAGGATGTTGATAAAATGTACAAGCTTTAAAAATGTTTACCCAAATTTTAATAATGTTGACTCCCTGAATAGAATCCGACCTCGGAAATGTCGGACAAGTCCTTTTTACGAACAGGTGGGTTAAGTTCGGTATTTATCGCGTATCTGTCTTATATTTAGCAGTAATATAAGATAACTTCGTGATAAATTGCAAAGAACATTAAAGAACGAAGCGTGTTTATTTGACGATAAAACATTGTTCAATCATGACGTCATATCTGGAAAATTCGAAGATGCGCTCGCAACTTGATGAATTAACATTAATACGTAATGTACTTCCTGATTTCAATTTTTCGTTCGGGCATCGCACCTACACAAAAGAACACAGCAGTAATATTTCCTTTTCGCCGTTTCCAGCGTGTGGTTGCCTACGTTAGCCTCGCTTTCGATTTGACCTCAAGGCCATGCATATTGGCTTAGAATGGTCTATTTCTTGATCCCAACCAAGCGATATCGCCCATGAAAGCCAGTTTTGGATGATTGAGTTATAAATTAAGATAAGAGTGCCAATGGGTGATTCTGACGATACCATGCTTTACAACCAACGAACAGAGTTCTAGTAAATGAGGAAACAGTGTGTCATAAATGAGAAGCGTTAATGTTATTCAGAACATTTCACAGACAATTTTCTTTTTAAAAAATCACCCAACATAATTGTCAGAATACTAAAACATCCTGACGCCATCAGTTTTACGTGGGTTTATTTAGGAGCATCTTCCCGAGGCAAGAGAGTTAACTGGACTTTTATAGTCAGTTAACTCACTTGCCTCGGGAAGATCATTTAGGAGCAGCATTTTATCGATCCGTTTCCGATCAATAGTATCCGGATCGCATCTTGGATCACGGAATATCTTTCCAAAAGATTGGTTTCTGCCTCAAAGAAAGGTTTTGGTGAAATTGTTCCGATGTACACTAGGCTCTCCTTGTGCAGGTCATCTCGGTCAGCAGGGAGAGGAAGCCATATTAGTAACAGCCATCTAAGGCATCGCAATTGAATGAGTAGGCATGGCAGAAACATTTGAACGTAGGTTTCGAGTAACAGATTCGCCCTGATTATTATGGGTTTGTCAGCACCATATCCCTGCTCCTGTGTTTCACCAAAGTGGTTAAGGTTTCATTCTGAAATCTTTTGGTAGTCCTCCACATCAGGCTGACACGCCGTGGCCATGGTGATACGCCTGAACTACTGTTTTATTAAACGCTCTTCATTGCTTTATATCACGGTGGTCACTGTCTACGAAATAAGTAGAATACTATCAAATCCTGAAAACTGGTCCTTTCTGTCCCATTGGGAGTTTCATCCTTTTAGTATACTTCCCGTCGATGGTGTATACAAAGATAACACACATAGGATTGTCAAATGGGCAACTATCACTGTGGCAGAAAACTAATATTGCCTTTGCTGTGGCCATGACGGCATGGCAGAGAATTGGAGATCGTCGCAATTTTATCACGTGAGCGACTTTGGAAACCATGCTCATCATTATCAGGCCACGTTTACCAAAGCCATAAAATGTCCCCCCATATATATCAAAATGAGGGTAAAATATAGCAAAAGAGAGTTTTTCATAGCCAACACTTTCTCTCTCACCGGCGGTTGTGAATTTTACTTTTTGTAAACGATACCTGCGCTTAAAATGAATAGGAAAGTACACAATCCTCTCTTTGGAGTTGACAATTATATTACCAGCTGAAAAGGTTCTGGGTTTAAACAAAGTAACAACTTTCTTAGTGTTATAATTGTAAGTCATTAGTTTTCTTTCAGAATGCAGGACAGACATGACAACCAGGAATTGATAATCTGCAACAACCTGAAAACAAATCAGTTGTCCTTTCAAACCCAGTTTCTGGTGCTGGGCCATCATACTGTATTGAAACATATGATCGTATGAATTTATGATGCGGATGTAAAATATAATCGACCTTCTGATATCAAATGCCATTCTCTGTATTTTCCCTGTCTTAAGTAGGAATCCAGTAGGGACGAAATTCGCTTTTCTTGAATTGAACACAAGAAGGGAATTAACTTGCGTTAAAGGACGTCCACGGAGTTTATCAAATATGGATGTCCCGCTGTTTTCTTTCATGTTTGAAACTGTCTTTTCGGGTTTTTGCTTGACAGGCAATGAACTACGGGCTTCTGTGTGTATTGTGATTGGCGTCAAGGTAGAACCTCCATCAAACAGCACCTGCTTACTTACGGTTAGTCCAGAGATGCCAATAGAAGCTACTCTTTCCTTCTTGGTTATGACCACTTCTTTCTTCAGAGAAATAACCTTGCCTTGGGATACCCGTTCAACCTCATCCCGTACAGCTAGAGATTTTAGTTTCTTACAAAGAATGTTCTCCAAGGACCCAGCACAACCTTCTGGTGTTTGACAAGCCACAAAGCACTGTTGTAATGTTTTGGACACAACTGACACTCGCACATGTCCATCAAGTGTCCATTTGACGGATGATGGAAAAATCCATTCCACGTTATAACAACTGCGGACCACCCCGAAACAGCCGACTATGAGAAGCAGTAGAAATTTCATCGCAAGCTCTCCGTCACTTTCAACAGGATGTACACAAGTAACTTTTAATATCAATTGAGATGCTTTTATATATATGCGAGCCGGTTGCGTTTTAGCTTTTGATTTCTGTTGAGACAAAAACAACGCGTGTCTGTAATGAGAGCCATTAAGCTGTGATGTACAACTTGAGTGCTTATATTTCAAGAGTGTTTCGTTTGAATGAATCGGTAATACAAATGAGAATAAAGTTTAAGAGATTTAGTTAATTGGGGATGTTAAAAGACAGCCACTTAACATCGGCATCCAATTAGTTGTCATGTGAGCACAGGCAATGGAAACACAAGGCATTAAAACATCACCAAGTCCTTGTCTGTGTAATGCTGATTTTAGTGTTGACTTGCGAAATACTTTCAGGAGTACTTAGACACGTGTGCTTCTGAGGCTCATGATGATCATCCTCAATTATCCAGTTATATTTTGTTTTACCCATGCAAAAAAAAACAAGTTTAAAACAAATAATCGCTTGTCATAATTATCAAACTTTTTGCGTCGAAAACAGGATTATAATTTCTACATAACATGGCTGTCTTCATCATGTATAGGTAACGGAATAAGCCGAGTGGACACCTTATAAGAAATGCTCCCTGCTTGAGAGTCCCTTAATACTCGATGGTTCATTTATAGAATTGTTTTATTTTTATTTAAGTTTATACATAACTTTATTTGGGGGACTATATTATAAATATATGGAATCTAAGGTCAAATGTTCATGGGCTATGACCTTTTTCTGAACGGAAGACACTTATTTTTTGTTTGAAAACCAAGCATGTGTGTCGCTCTATACCTATATAGTTTGTTTAAGTGGGAAGTTATCGAGATCTCATTTTCACGTCATTTTGTAAAAATGCAAAACTGTTTGCACGAGCATATTAAGTGAATCATTACACAGATTGCAATTGTTTTAACAACAATCATTTTAAAGAACAAAATAGATAAAAGGAAAGCGACACCTCGTGAAAAAATTGTTTTTACGGCAAATTTAAGACTTTTAATCGTAAAACAAATCAGTCAAGATATTATATATGGCGCGTGACAAATCTTCGCGAATAAGGGAGACAAATTGTATGATAATGGTTTTCACTCGTTAAGTCACACGAGCTGATAAACTTAGAGTTCATTAAGAGAAGAGGGTCGATCGCTATACATCGTCTTGTATTTTGAATGAGATTCATAAAGGGAAAGAGTTCTCGAATGAGGTAGAACTCGCTCTAATGAAATATCTTAGTCTGGGCTCCTTGGTTTTATTTGCTTGTTGTTAAATGAAATATTCCAGCTATATGACGGCGATCTGTATATAATCGAGTCTGGACCAGACAACCCATCGATCTACGCAACTGGGATAGGCTACGATGACATGATTCAACCAAGGCAGCGAACATTACCACCCCATCCCGTCAGTCGCCTCTTACGACAAGCACGAGTTGTTAAGAACCAAAACTGACCCTATCTTCTCGGCGTGGTAACCATCTGATCCGTGAAACCAGGGAGACTATACAAAAGTATATCTTGATGCCCTTCCATTTCAAGTTGACACGTCCGTGCACGACTGACATTAGGCTACCCCAAATGAAACGGGTTTTTTGTTTCTTACAAATAGGTTTATGACGTCCGTTTTTATTCCCGAGAGGGAGATAAACTTTACAGAAGATGTAAATATGCGTGCTTTGCCAAAGTCGGTGGGACCGGTTAATGTTGTTTTGCATTTGATATCTGTTTAATCATTTGTCTTTAGGAAAATAGTGGCTGAAGTTGGAAAGGAATTTCTGGTTGTGTATCTCATGTCAGTGTTTATAGAAATAATGCACCATTATGTTCAATCATATAACTTGAAATAGCAGTGCAAATATGGCCTCTTCATCGACTGGTCAAGGCGTGATAATCTTTCTTATGTGATGTGAGGTTGTGACAGAATTTTCTAAGCTCTCCTCAGTGATACCGTGGTCCTATAAAAGTGTCGCGCCCTGCTATGGAGCTTGAGCCACATCCGCAGACGACTAGCTTCCGGGTGTCTGCTACAAAAGAGTGTTCATGTATTTTTGATGATCCTAGATAATGGCCGAATCTTCGAATATTGGTAAGGTCACATTATCGACCTTTATGATATGAATACGTAAATAACATGGTCATCATTAATAAAATTAATCTGTTATTACTATTTTGTAGTCCAAGCATTTTATATGTACGACTTGTCCAGTTTTCGATCATATAGTCAAAACTGCAACAACAACCTTACTCAAAGTATTTTTTTTAAATAATGATAGTGGATCTATATATAATATCTTTCATCTAAATATAATCTTCCTGGTACTGATTGATTTGTTATGATAAAAAAAAGTTTAACTCTTAGGGTTTTGTAGAATATGTGTACACATTTACTGGATCCAGATATTTTGTGTCAAATCTAGATCTACATAAATTCTAGGGCTGGGACGGGTAACTCGGGTACCCGGGCCGGGTGGGTACTGAGTAGGACCCGCCTACCCACAGGACGACCCGGACCCGTGGTTAGTCACGTGATATATTGTTTAGTTACAAAAATATCTAGAACTCTATGGTAACACAAGTCAATAATGTTCGCATTTCTTTCTGACTGTGCTCCCATTCCTTCTGATTTTTTATATGGTTGAATAAAGATATTACTTATTTCAACTTCAGTGTATGAATGACCGATTGTTTAATACATGTATATTAAAACGTTTTGCCAGGGCTAAGCTAAAAGTGTTCCCAGTTGGACATTTTGAGACATCTCCTAAGACCTACAGTGGGTAATAGGGAGGGGGGTACCCGGGTAGTCAATTTGGACTTGTCCCAACCCTAATAGATTCAAGAGTAAACATATTTCTGTACCTGGAACAGTGGCAGTGGTAATTGTCCAGCAAACAACTACAGCCCTAGAGTTCAATGACAAACATTTGAGAATTAAAAACTGGCACAATTGTTCCTCCATTATCCAACCAAACTTAAAAATTGTTTAGGTAGGCCTTGTAGTCATACTATGGGGAGCTATAAAGTGGTGGGACGTTACACCGGGCACCGGTAGATTTTTTGCTTCTAAGCACACTAAGCAAGAAATATCGATTCTTACCTTAAATGTTTGCTTTAATAATTGTTACATCAAACACTAATTAGTAGTGATAATTAGTAGTGAAAATGTAAAGATTTTTATTCACTGGGCCATACTTGACACGGCCATCTGTAAATCATCAGTGTGCCGGCTTTTGGGCCATCCTGTCTATGAAAAGATTGCATAGGGACCGATCCCTTAAGATCCGAGGTAGAATAGGTCTTCAGCAACCCATGCTTGCCATAAAAGGCGACTACACTTGTCATAAAAGGCGACTAATGGGATCGGGTGGTCAGGCTCCCTGACTCCCTGATTTGGTTGATGCATGTCATCGATCCCAATTGCGTAGATCGATGCTTATGATGTCAATCGCTGGATTGTCTGGTCCAGACTTGAATATTTACAGACCGCCGTCATATAGCTGGAATATTGCAGAGTGCGGCGTTAAACAACAAGCCAACAACCAAGCTTGGGGACCACAGATAAGAGTGCATGCAAGTATCATGATACGTATCATGCACCAAATCTTACGATTTTTTGTGATTTCATATTTATTAGGGAAGAGAATTTATGGATGTCAACTTCTTTATTATGAGGAACACGTTTCGGAGTATATTCACCTGATGAAGGAGTAAACATATACTTCGAAATGTTGTGTAATGTCTCATAATAAAGAAGTTGACATCCATAAATTCTCTTCCTTATGTGTTTTCTCATAATAAAGAAGTTGACATCCATAAATTCTCTTCCTTATGTGTTTTCTCATAATAAAGAAGTTGACATCCATAAATTCTCTTCCTTATGTGTATCACTTCTAAATGCCTTTCAAAGACTTGATTCATATTTATTATTCCAAAAAGGGAAGTGACTGACAAGTTATTTTTCTAAGTCCTTGAATTGAAGAATTGAAATCTATGTTGAGGCCTTGAAGAAGTGATAGAAGTGAATAGTAATTAAGATTAAACATGTTGCTTATGCTTTATCCTCCTGTGCAATGAAGCCTCTCAATATCAATTATCAGACCTTACTATCTACATTGCCATACTAGACCTATGAAGAGCCAGGGTAAAATAGCTCTTCAGCAACCCATGATTGCCGTAAAAGGCAACTATGCTTGTCGTAAGAGGCGACTAACGGGATCGGGTGGTCAGGCTCGCTGACTTGGTTGATGCATGTCATCGTATCCCAATTGCATGGATCGATGTTCATGATGTCAATCACTGGATTGTCTGGTCCAGACTCGATTATTTACAGACTTCCGTCATATAGCTAGAATATTGCTAAGTTCGGTGTTAAGCAACAAACAAACAAACACACAACAAAACATTGCCAAACTTACTAATTTTTTACCTTCAACTACTATTATCCACATTTCATTTAGGCATGTCTGATCCCATACTGTTCACCCGTTCAAAAAAGTCTTGTTTGACAAGCACAGGTTGATAGGGACCTGTTCTATCAGGAAATCCCCACATTAATAATCATTAAGTTATACATTTTAGAAGGGTTTCCTCAACATGGCTTATTAGGACTATGACTAAAAAAACTTTTTTCAGCTGTCTGTTGAATATCATAAAAAAAACATGTCAACTTTTGTGTCATTTATGACAAAACAAAAAAGGCAGAACTGTAGTTGATACATCTTTGTCTTCAACTGATGTGGAATTAGAAAAAAAAAGGTATTCGACGTAATAAGCGCCCAGGGCGCTCTCTAAATTAGAAATAGGGGGCTCTTATTTGAATATTATTTTGGTGGAAAAAACAGAGTTGAAAGATAAATTTCGTGGTTAATGCTGACGGTCTGAACTGTTTATATAATTTAATTGCCCGTAATTAAGGGTCCATATAACACACGAGTGCGTATTATACACGAATAAATAAGTCTTGTGTACATTGATCAATCGGTAGGGATTCTAATTGGGATTGTTCACTTGCCAATATATTAGCAAATATCGCCGTGGACGCTTATTAGAGCGGGGCGCTTATTACGTCGAATACGGTAAATATTTTTTACATACCCGTAGATGACACTAGAATGGTAAAACTAAAAATATTTGCACTTGTTTTACACATACCTGCTGTTTGTTTGAAATCTCCCTTGTTTATCTTTTGAGTAGAAAGACTTAATTCATTATGCCGATATGTTATGTTCTCATAAGTGCTGAAATAGTTCAGTTGTTTTCACTGCAAATGTATGTATCCAACATATTTTGAATGTTTGCAGAGAATGCCTTCTGGTTGATAGCTGTGGCAGCACTATGGGGATCAACAAATCCTTTCATCAGGAAGGGCAGTGAAGGGATTGAGAAAATTAAACATGACAGCAGGATAAGGCAGTTCCTTGCTGAACTAGGATTTATTTTCTTCAACTGGAAGGTTTCTATGAACTAATATTATTGGATAAAACCTAAATGTGTGTGAATCTTAAATTCCAAGTATGCACATGGGTAATGAATGGTCCCGGAGAAAAAATAATTCAATAATGATAAGACCTTTTCAGCCTTCAAAATTTGTTTATTTTAAGACATGTCCAGAGGACTAGTGTAAACATTATTTCACTAGTCCTGCTTGAATGAGACAAAAATGAACTGGTTGAGAATAATAGCTTTTAAATACTACTAGTCATCGAGGACTACCATCATTGTATATTTATTTGTCCCCAAGACAGCTTAGTAGTTTCAGGCTTACAGACTAGCGTTATATATTATATTCACGTGCTTATTGTACTGATTTTACAAAACCATGCTTTTTACATTCTTATACAAACTTGTGTGAAAGCTCTTCCCATATTTTATACTGGGAGTGTAATGGTTCACTGAATGTTTAGTGCATCATGATACTCTGCCACGATACATGTATTGTACTGATAGGTCTTGTATTGATACAAAACGATACAACTTACAAATGTATGGATTCAAATCTACTACATGTGGTTAAGTTAGGCTACTATTCATTTTCTTATAAAAAAAATGTCATGTGTTGAGTTTTCATGTATTGTGTCATGTATCATATTATGCATCATATCGTGACCATACTGTTAGGATAAATATTGTATCTTTCCAAAGTCTATTGTTACAACCCTAATCTCTACTGTTGTACTTCAATTTACAGTACTTAATCCCCTTCCTTGTGAACCAGTCTGGATCTGTCTTGTTCTACATAACACTAGCATCAGCAGGTATGTGACTAGTTTGTTTGAAGGCAGGTACCGGAAGATCGTTTTGCCCTATTGGCTTTATTACCTTCAGATGTGGCTATAAATGTTCATAATCATCTACCCATAGTTGCTGTAAAAGTCGACTATGCTTGTCGTAAAAGGCAACTAACGGGATTGGGTGGTCAGGCTCGCTGACTTGGTTGATACATGTCATCGATCCCAAATGCGTGGATCGATGCTCATGCTGTCAATCACTGGCTTGTCTGGTCCAGACTCGATTATTTACAGACAGCCGTCATATAGCTGGAATATTGCTGAGTGCGGCGTTAAACATCAAACAAACAAATTCATAATCATCTGCTTTTCACACCACCAATGTTTAACTCACTCACCCACATGTCATCTTCCTGTAACATTTTCATAGTTTCAGATTCTTCTTTCCGAAATTATTCATTATCGTTATGGTGAAACATGCAAAAAGATATTTTTGTATTAATATTTTGGATAAGATACATAAATCGTCATAGGTATTTTTTAAGAAGACAATTTTTATTGTTGACAGTCAATCAAATAAATGGTATGTATCACATCACAGTTTGAGGAATATACGAATTGGAAGGATGCAGCTGAGGCCATAACTGAACAACTGAAATTCAAATTAATATAGTGTTTAGATTGTTAGAAATGGCTTATGCAACACCTTTCAGTTGCTGATTCATGTTTTCAGAGCTGAGCCTTGCAGTACCTCTCACAAATTCCCTGACGTTCATTTTCACCAGCCTGTCCGGGAGGCTTCTTGGAGAGAAGATTCAACATTGGGGTAAGTTAGTCTCAAAGTTCAATTAATTCCAAGGGTTCAACCTGGCTCCAGGTGATATTTTCCTGGAAGCTGCAGCAAGTTTTTGGGAGCCAACACAATTGGAGCTAAATTCAAATTGAAATAAAAATAGTCTCTACGATAAGTCTCTATTTTCATATGCTGTGTATTCAAACATCAAAGCCTGTTATTCTATAGGATATCAGACAAGTTCTGAAACTGAGTTTTAGCCAGGAGAGCTACACAAACCTTTAGTATTATTGATGCATTTTCCAAAATTTGTGTTTCAGAAACATATGCAGGCATGGTCTGTGTGGTGATGGGCGTGGCTCTCTGTGTGTACAGCAAAACATGACAGTAAATCATTCTGTCCTCCACTGGGAAATTACAAAGTGACTTTTGAGAACATCAGAGAGATTTGCTCAATTTCTTCATGAGGAACATTGCATATCATCTAGCAGATAAAATCTGATTATGTTCAAGATAAAGGAAATTATGCATTGTACATACATTCTGCAGGACCATGGATCAAGTTCATATAAATGTTAAACATGTTTGAATTTATCCCTGTTCAATGAAAAGTACCTTAATTTACCTTTCCTTGGCAAAGTGCTGGATTTGTATTCACAGATCTTGAAAAGTGCTGGGACTTATATATGAACAAATCTCCACTCAAAAGATTTACGGAATTAATTATTGCTCTAATTTCATTGCTGTGTTTACTTCTTTGTCACTTAAATTGAGCAGCATTACAACTGGGTTCCTCTCTAGTAAAGTTGTCTTGGATTAACACTGCTTGACCATCCATCATAAGTGTTTCACATAAATGCCTGTAAGTAAATGCAAGTACGCTGTATAGTCGCAATGTCCCGTTAATTTTGTTTTGAAGGTGTTTTGAACTGGATAATTGGGAAATGCCTGTTGTCTTCGTGAGCTTGAACTTGAGAAGGATGTCTTGATGTTTTCCTTTGCTTTGAAATATGATATATATTGAAATAAAAAGATGAAGTGAATGAGTATGTTGGGATTTAAACCACTTTTAGCAATATTCCAGCTCAGTCATGGCAGGGGACTCCAGATATGTGCTTAGCACATTGTACCCATGTGGTTCATTGCACCTGGGCCTTCGGCATGACGAGCAAACTCTTTTACAATAAGGCTACACCACCCCCAAAAAAGAGAAACATCTGATTGTGAATATTTTTTAAGAAACCACATGTTTAAGCAATCAGTAGCATTGATATTATTTTTTTAAAAACAACTGAGGTTCATGTATGTTTATCCTGGTAAAATAGAAAGAAATAGATGGTTATCAACATCAAATACATTCACTTAAGAAAATCTGACCTGGGGACCATTATTTACACAGACATATTTTTCTGTCTCTCATTTCTACCAATATTTCATGAAATGTACCTACATTGTATTTTTCACTTTATATGATGAGGTTATGTGCATTAAATTTATTTTGTGTTATTATACCTTATTATTGTTGTTTTTGCTGTCACAAACAGGGCTCCGTAACAACATTACAGTGGGGCATTGTTCAGCGAACTTCATAATCTCGAAACAATCTCATTAAAATCAGATTTTAGTTTTTGCTACTGCTAAACAAAGATCTGAGGACAACCCATTAGGGGTCACGTCAGACCGACCTTACGCAAACTTTGACCTACCAGTGGAATGACTGACAAGAAATGATATTAGCCAATCAGAAGGCAGCTTTCTTGTGCTTTACGACACTAATTTCAAATTGGCGACTACGCTTTGAAACATATTTTGACAAATTCTCAATTAAAAATTTGTAACCTGAACGAAAGAACATTCTGGAATAGCTAATAGATAGTCAAGATTGTATGGATTCAGTCGTTAAGCCCATAACTATCGTTCGGAATACCCCGTGTTAAAGTTTTCGAGGTTGCATGATTAGAAATCACATTCCGACTGTCACTTTCATGATCTGGTAAGCGACATTCTGATTGGTTGGATGAAAGGTCGTTCTGACGTGACCCCTAATGGGATGTCCTCAGATCTTTGTTTAGCTGTAGCGAGAACTAAGATCTGATTTTAATGAGATTGAATCTGGAAAAAGCCTTTCAATGGAAACCAAAATGCAAGAACAGCATCATTTCACAGTTCATCTCAATCATAACTGATCAGCAGACAGACACTTGACCAAAGGCCAACTGACCTCGGTGTATTGAGCTATTGTGATTTGGGTCCAAATACGTAGATCCCAATACATCAAGAATGCTTGTCATAAGAGCACACTAAAATGTGGTTCGGGTGGTCAGGCTCTCTGATTTGGTTTATGCTGTGGACCGTGCATTCAGGAACATGTTTGACTGGTCAAGAGTTGTTTCTTGTTTAACGCCACACTGAGAAATAGTCCATCTTTATGACAGCTGCCTGTAAATAAAATCAACACTAGGACAGATAAACCAATGACTGATTTGAGAGCTGTCCCATGCTATGGGGTCTGATGACACAATCTAATGCTGCTGTGCCTTACCTACCTCGCATCCTACAATAAACATATAAGCAGCTGGGGCACAAAAGACACTTCAAGTAGGTTCAACCTCAATGTGTGCTGACAAAGACAAAGAAATGATATATTACACAAAGATTTCTTTGAGAGGCATTTAGAATTTGGAGTGCAAAGTAAAGATATATGAATGAACAACTTCTTTATTACAATTAGAAGAGTTTGGGTGTAGGTTCTAACACACTTATCAAGCAAGTGATGAAGTTATTATTAATACTAAAGAACTTCTTTCTCAAATCATTTTCGGTAGGCATTTTTAAAGAATGGAATGTACAATTATAGGATACAAAATGCATTCCAAATTATATTTAGCGCGGATCTACAGGTAACCTACATCTATATTAAAAATAATCAGAATCTCCTATATAACGTTAACGTGGGTGAGTGAGTATGGTTTTACACCGCTTTTAGCAATATTCCAGGAATATCACAACGGGGACACCAGAAATGGGCTTCACACATTGTACCCATGTCTGGAATCGAACCTGGGTCTTCGGCGTGTCGAGCGAACGCTTTAACCACTAGGCTACCCGACTGCCCCTATATAACGTTAACAGTTTGTCAAGAGCCTATACAAAGCATATGGAACCAGCCTAGTGATAATTAGGAGATAAACATACTGTGTTTTCAATGTAGAGCTAGGTTACCTGTAGATTTAACCCCGCTAAATTGAATTTGGAACCGAACGCGCAGCGTGAGGTTTCAAATGTTAAATTTAGCGGGGTTAAATCTACAGGTAACCTAGCTCTACATTGAAAACACAGTATGTTTATCTCCATTCTACCATGACTATATAAAATGCGAACTCTTTGGTGTTAGCAAATATACTGAGTGAAGCGTCATGGGTTGAGTTCAGTGTTTTGAGTGCGTTATCGATCTGAATTACGGAATCACCGAAAACAAAATATGGTGCTGTATATCCTCAAGCAGTTTGTTTATACCGTAATACTTCAATCGAACATATGACAGGCATTGGAAGCATATAAGCACGGCAACTTGGTAAGCAAACATGAGATGGGCATCCGTAAAGAAAACAAAGCAAGCTTTGCAAGGCTTTCGCTCTACATCGCACGTCACCATTATGACGTCATGCCGCTCATTGTGACGCAAAAGATATGACGTCACAGTCATATATGGAAAAGCGCCAAAATTCCAAGCTCTCTGTTGTCTCCAAAAAGTAAATACATTCCCTTTGTTGATTTCTGTCGTGTTTTTCTGCACAAAATGTATTGCCACACATCCTTTGTATATTGTATTAACCGCATCTGTGCATTTTGTAACCTGTAATTGCAGATATAATTATTTAAATACGCCTACCGACAATGACTGAAAATAGTACCATTCTACGAATATTAGCTTCCGCGGTGAAGCGGCCGTCAAACCAGCTGTTTCAATCAGAGGGGGTTTATTGTGATTTAATAGCCTCTGATTGACCAATCAGAATCGAGTAAATTCCAAATTCATGGTAGAATTATACTTATTATGCCTCAAAGTGAGACTGACCAATCAGAGAGCAGAACTACTGACCCCACATGAGCCTGTATACCGTCAGTAAAATCCAAGATGGTTGTTACTGACCTAATATGAGACTGTATACTGTCAGCAACAGCCATTATGAATTTTCCAACACCCACCTCACATATTTCACATGGAAATTCTGGTACAGAAATTCGTTATTCGATACTGTTTTGTGTTTTAATATAATTAATTGTGATGCGCAAAGACTGTTTATTAAAGTAACCATGTTCGTGACTTTATTTATAAAAAAATATAGAGAAAAAAAGCTTATAACGGAGGTCACTGAGTTACAAATAGCAACGTCATAGAACATACTATAGGATGACGTCACAAACAAGAAACGTGACGCCAGTGACGTCACATAGCAATAGAATAGATAGCAGCCCGTCGTTAGGGGAAAGCGGACTGCTATCAACTTACAGTGGCCCGCAGATTTCTGTAAACATGCGGGCATTTTTATGATAATTCTATCCATTTTAGCTATATTACTTTAAACGTTCACATTTGGTGCATTATATATTCCATTGTTAACGTTTATGTTTACATTAAAGCGTTGTATCGGAAACATATGTACTGGTTCTGTCGTTTATACCGGTTGTAAGTGTCAAGTTTTCATTTTGACATGACACGTGCGACAAAGATACCAAATAGCGTAAAGTTTTCGGCATAATTAATTCGTTATGGTGTCTTTAGTTGCCGTATACGGCAACTAAAGACACCATACCTAATAATATGTGCATGAGTGAATATGGTTCTAAGCCGCTAATTATAGCAATATTCCAACAATTTCACGGAGGGGGGCACCAGGAATTGGTTTCACACTTTATACACGAGGGGAATTTAGCCCGGGTCTTCGGCGTGATGAGCGAACGCTTTAACCACTTGGCTACCCCACTGCCCCTATACATACGTCATTCTACACGGATAGGTATATATTGTAATACAAGTCCAATGTCAACTCAGGGGTTTGGGTAATATGCAAGTGTTATTTTACTGTTTGTTTAGGGCCATGGTGGCATATTGACAAATAGTCTTATATACGAGGTGCTTGCAGTATCAATTTAATCACGTATATCAATGCGGTTTACGTACATGTAGTCTATTGACAACGTAATTTTGTGTATATATGAGTATTGCAAATTTACATTAAACAATAGCGGGAATGTGTGTTCTATTCAGATTCAGTGCACAGCTGTATATAATGTCATGTGATTGGACATCATGTCAAATTGTCAAGTCGTGTCAACATGCATATTTCCTCTATTATTGTTCTCGACGTATATTTACTTATACATTTTAAGGAAATGTTATTTTCTGCCCACTCTGTAAATCTTTTGAAATACAAATTCAATTTTTTCACCGAAACGATTGACGCTTTTTCCGAACATTATTTTGAAATTCTTCATTATCTGACGTTAAAACTTATTGAAAAGGATGAAACTGTGTGATTTAACAATACTGATACAGAAGGTTTTCTTCTACTTTATATATATGCTTATCATATCTATTGAGAAATTGGGAGCGCGGGTGGCTCAGTCATCTAAGGCGCCGCGATTCGCTGTGCAGAGTTGCGTCCCTTTGGCACGCCAGAAACCTATGATTGTGTTTTTGAATCCCGGTTCGCCCCGATTACGTTTCCAGGTTGGTCAGCACCATACCCGTGCTCGTGGGTTTCACCGAAGTGGTAAACGTCTGAGGCCTGCATCACTTCGGGATGCCCTCCCACATTAAGCAGACACGTCGCCATATAACTGGAATACTGTTAAAAGCGGCGATAGACACAACTCACTCACTGTGGAGAAATTAATAACGTTTGTATCCCTGGCTCGTATCCATGCATCATGAAACACTATTTGTAGTTTGTTTGTTTCATCATTGTTTAACACCGTACTCAGCAAGATGACAGCTGGATAACGGTTGTCAGTAAATAATCAAAGTGTGGACAAGACAATCCAGTGGTTGACATCATACGCATCGACCTCCGCAACTATCGGGTACGTTGACATCAACTCTTTTGGGAGCGTCCCCTTGTTATGATAACCCAAAGGAATTGTAGGTTTATGAACCTATGTTTATTCTTATAAAGGACCCATTTATCCTAATAGGCCTGACCACGGCTAGGTTTATTTGTGTACATATACGAATTCATGGGGCTGACCGAAGAATACTGATTATGGCAGATATTGAATGTCGTCCAGTGACTTGCTGAGAACATCTACCCGGAAAGACAAAATAAGACATGACATATATATCGCTTGGTGTAAATGCACAGTCCTTGAATGACAAAGGACTGCGCATATACAACAAGCAATATATGTTAACAATGTATCAGTATGTGACGGTGGCTGTTTCAAGAATATATATGTATCCATTTCTCTAACTTTGTGATACATTATCACTTCAAACACATGGACTAAAAGTGTTGTACACCATGTGATTATTGTTTCTAATAATAACGTTTGAAATCAAACTTACAGTCTCTTACACCGCACTCGGCAATACTCTAGCTATATATGACTGCATAATTTAAATATTCCAGTCGAGACCAGACAACTCGCTGATTGAGATGACGAGCAACGACCGACGCAGTCGGGGTACAGCGACATCATCATGCTTGCAATGAACCAGGTAACAGAGCCTGGCCACCCGATCCACGATGTCATACCGCACGACAAACACAGCCTAGATTGATGCTTTGGAGACCTTTATAACCCGTAATCCCCACGGGGTGCAAACGACATTCGTACGAATTAGTTAATCATACATATAGGCGAAATTATGACAGGTCCACGGAGATTCGCAACATGAAAACAGAGACCATATATATATATATATATATATATCGGTATATGGTCTCTGTTGATTATTTCCACACGCCGCTATCATTACAGATCTATACCCTTACGAACAACGACAGATGACATATGACATGTACATATATCGTCGGATCACAGGTTTAGATTTCGGACGGCCATGTTTTATCCAATCTCATTGAAATCAGATCTTAGTTCTCGCTACCGCTAAACAAAGTTTTGTTTAGCGGTAGCGAGAACTGAGGTCTGAGTTTAATGAGATTGTGTTTTATTGCGATTACTCGCGCTATGACGGGGGTTGTAGCATCACACAGACATTGTAAATACTCAGATGATGGCTTGTTTTTAAGAGAAGCTGTCTTTTAAAAGTGAATGAGATGTTCACAGTTGTTTATGTTGTTAGAGAGAAAACAACGAATCGTTCTTTGTGAGGCGTCCGAAAAACCATAACACTGGACCGGGATACGCATGTTTGCACGCATTGTAAAATTCAGGAAAACTCCGAGCATTCATAGCTTTGGGAAAGGAACTACTGATGTTTTGAATAAATTGCAAGTGGAAGGAACACGTGACAATTTTCGGACACTCTTCCTACTAGGAATTATCCGACAGGCTGCTGGTGCTTTACTGTTTGAGATAGCTGAAGGAAAATACTATAACAAAGGAATGTGTATTTACTTCCTTTGGGACGCGCATGCGCTGTGCATTACGTCCGAGATAAACATCGAGTGCGCGTAATAGTAAAAGTTTTGTCCTCCAGATTTTCGTAAGTTTGCCAAGTATTATACTCGCCCTTTAAACGGGAATAATAACCAGTAAATGTAGTATCTGTGGGAATAAATGTAGATTTAAAAGGTTTTAGGTGTGTAGCTGGAATTAGTGACAGGTGTCCTCTGTAGACCGCCGATGAAATTGACACACCTTCGGCCTCATCCCTTTGAAGTCTAAATTGAATTTTATTTTTGCGTATCATGCTGTCGATTTATATTGTCACTGTTTCAGCATGATTTAGATATTCCCTTGCTTCACATGATGATACAATTACTTGTTAGCATAGCTGCAGTGATTAGGTATTGACAACAATGCTGAAACAGGCAGCGAACAGGTTGTCTTACCTGTTACATCGTTCCTGTTAGTGCGCATAGGTAGATCACTCGAGTAGATGCTACAGGTGTATTAGTGTAGTTTGTGGTAAAACGCGCAAGTATTAGTGCAAATACCATAGCAAAAATCGAAAAACTATTTCATAATTTTAGTATTATCCATATGAAACATTTTACCGATAGTCTTTGTGAGAGCCGTTTGATGTCCAGGTGAAATCGACAGTGGTAGAATTGGATATAGTTTGGTTTAGTATGTTGAACTTTGATTTTGTCGTTGTCCATTGTTCACTAATCCGCACTAAATATTCTTACAGTTTAGGTGACCTCAAATTACGATTACCATCTGTTGTGAATCAAAAATGGAACATTTAATTATCCCATTCTCACTGTACAGTAAAGTATGGTTACTCAAACAGACTACTAACTTAAGTTTCTTATAAATGTAGTTCGTTGTAAGTATTTTGACTGTCAGACATCTCAATGACATAAAATACATAACAGTCAATACATGTTACGCATATATTATTGATAATTTCATTGACATACAGACACAAGAGTCAATTGTCAATTGTCAATTTAAGGGTGTAAATTGAGGACAAGGTTTCAGTACTTAATCCAGTTTAATCACGTGCCTTTAATTGTAATTTGCTGCTTTGAACAGCTGTTCGTGATGACACATGAGCAGCTCAGAGATTAACTGGTTGTTATTTATAAACATAAACATTGTCGTTCATAGAGTACAGACGGGACCACAAAGTGAGTTCGCTGTATCCGTTATTTGGTTGTAAGAGTTTGTTATATCCATCAATTTAAATGATAAATTATACAGCAAATGGCCGGGCCCAAAACAGTTTGTTATATCCGTCAGTAGAATTTCAAACATTTTGGGGGTATTACTATATTATGTTATCACGATTCGGCTAGTAGACATTGTTGGTTAAGTTCCATCCCTTACAGGCCCTTGTAGTGCATTATGATCATGTTTTACTTTACAGTAGGACCCGTGAAGACCCTGGGTAGAATAGGTCTTCAGCAACACATGGTTGCCGTAAAAGACGACTATGCTTGTCGTAAGAGGCGACTAACAGGATCGGGTGTTCAGGCTCACTGACTTAGTTAATGCATATCATCGTATCCCATTTGCATTGATTGGTGCTCATGATATCAATCACTGGATTGTCTGGTCCAGACTCGATTATTTACAGACCGCCATCATATAGCTGGAATATTGCTGTGTGCGACATAAACAACAAACAAAACAACAAACTTTACTGTATATACTTGTGAACAAGGAAGGAAAGTTGGCATGTGGTCCTGTGTACAGCATACCGGTCACAAATCAGGCCATGTTGAGTGACATTGGTCACAGAGAGTAACAAATAATTGACAATTTTGTCAAGGGTTGCTGAAACGAAGACTTGTCCTGTGCCCATTTATATTTTCTGGTACTTAATATATGCACCTTGTGTGAGAGCAATTTATTATTTCTACAAGCACATGATGTAACATGGTTTATGTCATTGCTTGATTTATTTTCATCAGGAGCTCAGTGAGCAAAGTTCAGTATTGTTGAACAACCCAGCTGATTTAAACATGTCGGAACTGATTAACCAAAGTATTATAATACCACGTTTATTAAAATGTCGACATGCCCCCCAGAAGTGAATGAGTAGCTGTTTTGTTTGTTGTTTAACGTCGCACTCAGCAATTTTCCAGCTATGCGAAGGTGGTCTGTAAATAATCAAATCTGGACCAGACAATCCAGGGATTGACATCATGAGCATTGATCCATGCAATTGGGATACAATGTCATGCATCAACCAAGTCATTGAGCCTGACCAACCGATCCCATCAGTCGCCTCATATGACAAGCATTGTCGCCTCTTACGACAAGCATGGGTTGCTAAAGACCTATTCTTCCCCATAACGTCACGGGTCGAATGGGTCGCTGATTGGATGACATGTTAAGGTGATGTAAACCTTCTCATGAGGCTGATTGGGGTGTATACTTCCAAGGAAGCTGAGATTAAAAAATGTGTGTACGCTGATCTAATCACTGGTGTACCAATTATTATAGTACCATGCATATTCATTTGGTGAATGGAATGGCACATTATAAACAATGATAAATGGACTTCCTATTATTAAGTTATTACTTATCTTTATTTCTATTTAAATTCTAAGACATTTTCTTTTCATTGCAGGATACTGTGTAATGTTCCATTGATTCGAGAGCCAGCCATGTCTCTTGTAGCAGGTAGGTAATATAGATAATGTGGTTGTCAACTGAAACACTTTAAAAAACACATATTGAAATTTTTGTTGTATTTGGCAAGATGGTCACAAGAATCAAATCAAGTTGTTCTGTGTTTTGAGGCCCGAGGTAATGAAACGCAACAATGTCATCGTGTGGGTTCGAATCTCATTCGATGTGTTTTGAGATGGACATGTGTCTGTTGCTTGTAACCATGCTTATGTGTTTTCATTGTATGTCAGTATCGTTTTAAAAACAAATTTGTGAGGAAAAGAAGAAAACTTGCTGTTTGGGTGATATGAACTACCGTATTTGACGTAATAAGGGTGTCTAGCCGGGAGAGCCACATTTCAGAAATGGCTATTGCCGGTAGAGCCACATTTTCAGCTGAAGCTGAAGACCCATGGGTACAATGTGTGAAGCCCATTTCTGGTGTCCCCTGTTGTAATATTGCTGGAAAATTGCTAAAACCATACTCACTCTTCTTCTTCTTCTACATGGAGCTTTGTTGTGTATGTCATTGTTTCAAACATGTGCAGTGAACCTGATGATGGCAGTAGACTCCAGTCCATATAGTAATGTGTCATTTTTTTTAATGCGAGCAAGAATGGCAAGGGACACACATTAATTTCGTGCCTACAATTTCAGTATGGGTTTGTTCATTGTTAACACATGCTAAAATCTATGAACTTTGTCTTCATAATCCTAAAAAAAAGTTTTCTCCAATTTTAAAAACAAATTTATACCCTAGGAAATGAAGCTGACTTATTCCATTTGCTGTGTGCATCTGAGGGAAATATAGACAATACCAGTGTTATGGACATCTTTACTGATCATCACCAGAGAGTGTCAACAACTTCTTTGTGCTGTTGAAATCTGACCATGTACTCTGTCCTCATACAATCCTTCTCTGTTTGCAGACAGTGAACATGCTGTTGATTGCCTTGACCGGCTCCAGGCCAGGTTGTGGGAAAGGGGAGATCACTCCCAGGACCATGACATGGCATCCATCATGGTGATGTTGGACACGCCCCTCTTCAAGCAGCTCCTCACCCTGCAAGACTCGCTGCAGGTAGGTTTATTAGAATGTCATGTGTGGACTATTGCCTCAATTTGCCAAGTTGTACAGATCATGCTTTGGAGAATTTGAGGACACACAGCTCGTTGAGCATGTGCAAGCTGTTGCAGTGTTTGTGGGTCAGGATGCTGCTTTTGTTTCATAGGTACATTAGGTATGTTGAGTTCGATAGATGCCCCAAATAATAGGTCACTAATTATATTATATCAGTTATATCACGGCGTGTCAGCTTAATGTGGGAGGAAAGCCTGAACAGCGGTAGAAACTAACATTTTTAGTCCACTGGTCCTTATAATGATAACATATAGCAAAACCCTTAAAAATGACAAACTTCTACTAGTCCTTATGATACCTTAACTATTGGGCAGTTTGGCAAGGACTACAGGACTAGTGCCAATTTCTAACACCGCTGAATTAATGTCTTAGCAAGGCCGTAGTTAACTTATTTTGACAGGGGGGACAAATATTTGTACAAGTATCACTTGTCCCAAACTTGATTCAAATAAAACTGTTTTCTATAAAAAATCTAAGGGCCCCCCCCCCGTCTGCCTACGGCATTGCTTAGATGTTTACCACTTTGATGAAACCCATGAGCATGGGTATGGTGCTAACAAACCTAGAAACACGATCAGGGCAAACTGGAATTTGAACCCCTGATCATGGGTTTCTAAGATGTCCAAGTGATGCAACTTCACAGTGAATTGCAGCATCTCAGACAACTTGGTCATCATCAGAACCTTCATGCACTGATGTGGTATGGGTTGTGAATGCGTTCAGAATTTTGTGAGTTGATCATTCTTGAACAGGTAAAGGTAAAGGGGTATACATTAATCCTTAATCATTACTCATTAGATCATCTTGCTATCTTTTGCTGTTTATGTGAAAACTACCAAAATACTTATAAGTTTATAATGGCATGATATAATTTTCATGTCTATTTTTGCCATCGACGCCAATGAGTCTGTTTGTGCAGATGAACGAAACTAATGTTTTTTTATCTTTTGGTCAATCATTGTGGTGCCCTCATTGAATGTACAGGCCGAGAAGGTAGTGACTTGATCATGTTGATAGATCAGATTGAAAGGTTTTATGATAAGTAAAGATTATTTTTCCTGCACCTGAATGAGATGTTTTGAGTTTCAGGAGTTGAAGCAGGTGTCTGAGATCCATCCTCTGACAGAGGAGAACTTCATGTTTGGGCCTTCGGGAGAGCTGGTGCTCCCCACTGGAGAGGAGAATGGCTACCCAAGCCAAGAACTCAGCGAGAGTGGAACTCTTAACCTCCGGCAGGTCAGATACCTTTGTGTGTTTCACAGTCCTCTACCCCTGAGAAGATCTGGGTTAGAATTGGTCTTCAGCAACCCATGCTTGCCGTAACAGGCAACTTGCCGTAAGAGGCTACTAATTGGATCGGGTGATCAGCATAGCCAGGCTCACTTACTTGGTTGATGCATGTCATGGTGTCCCAATTGCACAGATTGATGCTCCTGATGCTAATCACTGGATTGTCTGGTGCAGGCTTGAATATTTACAGGTCACAGTCATACATTAAACAAAACAGTGATGACCTAATTGTCCAAGAGTTGCAGAGATGCATCTCTTTGGTTTGCGACTTGGCTGACATTGTGTCATCGTATCCAGAATGTGGCCCAGTCGTCTAAGGTGTTTCAGTTTGCTGTGCAGATTTGCGTCCCTTGGGCATGCCAGGAACCCATGATTGTGGATTCCAATCCCGGTTCGCCCTGATTATGTTTCTAGGTTTGTCAGCACTATACCTGTGCTTGTGGGTTTCACTGAAGTGGTAAACGTGTGAGACCTGAATCACTTTGGGCTTTCCATCCACATCAAGCTGACACGCTGTGACATAACTGGAATACTGTTAAAAGCAGCGTTTGACCTAACTCATGCACTCACCCAGATACTGTGGATGGTTGTTTCTTTCTATCAAACTTCTAGCTTACCAAGCTAACCTGGCCCAGACTGGATTATTTACAAGCAGACATGATACAGCTCGAATATTGCTGACTGAGGCTTGCATCTATTGTGTACTTCCTGTTGGGTTAAGATTATAAGAATTACCTCCCTTAGTTTGATGCTGGTATGTGACTTCACCTTGTCCAAACCAATTGATACAGCAGAGTTTTATGTGGACATGCTCAAAGGGGTATACAGCCAGGTTATTCTCCAGGTGTACACTAATCTCGTTACTCTGCAGGTGTACACTAATCTCCTGTTACTCTCCAGGTGTACACTAATCCCCTGTTATTCTCCATGTGTACATTGGTCCCGTTATTCTCCATGTGTGCACTGGTCATGTTATTTTCCACGTGTACACTGGTCCTGTTATTTTCCATGTGTACATTGGTCCCGTTATTCTCCATGTGTGCACTGGTCATGTTATTTTCCATGTGTACACTGGTCCCTGTTATTCTCCATGTGTACACTGGTCCTGTTATTTTCCATGTGTACATTGGTCCCGTTATTCTCCATGTGTACACTGGTCATGTTATTTTCCATGTGTACACTAGTCCCTGTTATTCTCCATGTGTACACTGGTCCCTGTTATTTTCCATGTGTACACTGGTCCCTGTTATTCTCCATGTGTACACTATTCCCTGTTGTTCTCAATGTTTACACTATTCCCTGTTATTTTCCATGTGTATATGGTCCCGTTATTCTCCATGTGTACACTGGTCATGTTATTTTCCATGTGTACACTGGTCATGTTATTTTCCATGTGTACACTAGTCCCTGTTATTTTGCATGTGTACACTGGTCCTGTTATTCTCCATGTGTACACTGGTCCCTGTTATTCTCCATGTGTACACTAGTCCCTGTTATTCTCTAGGTGTACACTATTCCCCTGTTATTCTCCATGTGTACACTGGTCCTGTTATTCTCCATGTGTACACTGTTATTCTCTAGGTGTACAATGGTCCCCTGTTATTCTCCAGGTGTACACTGGTCCCGGAAGTGCTATTTCCACATACAGCTACAACATAGAGTTCCAGCGGGCCATCGACAAGGCTGCGACAGGCCGCGAGGTGGATACGATCAAGCTGTTCAAGCCAGAGAACAGCTCCCTTGGGTTCAGTGTTGTGGGGCTGAAGAGGGAGGAGCTGGGCGAACTTGGCATCTATGTCCAGGACATCAACCCAGGGGGCATTGCAGCAAAGTAAGTGGACTTACAAAGTTATTCATGGCTGTGGCAGCATTTCATGGAATGTGGCAGCAGTTCATATGTATTCTCCCTAGGGAGCTGAGAATGAAAATTGTGTGCACACTGATCTGTTGACCAGGGTAATAATGGTAGACGCTTTGAGCATACAGGAGTATGGAGTTCAGCGTTATAAAAGAAGCCTCGTTATTAATGTCTCAAAATGTTTTATGATGTGCACATTTTTAGGACAAATTTGATGCATGCTGCCAGTGGGGCTCTATTCGGTTATGTACATTTTTCATATATATATGTTAATTGTATTAAGACAGTATGATGTGATTTATTTTTTGTGAATTGCTCTAATACCTAATGCTGGACCTGTAAGATTGGGGATGACAGTGTTTGTTGAGTATGGATCAGTGGATGGACATGAAGACCATGGCAAACTGTCTGTCATTAATCTTGCACAGAAACCCAAATACACTGGATTGTTTGTTGTTTACTCCTGTTTAAACATGTTGAAGAGCAGACTGCCATTGCTTTGTCAACTGTAATGGGTATCACATTGGGGACTTCATTGATCAGCCTTGTCATTGTGTGAAAGTACATGACTTCGTCGACCAGATGATGCCTTATGTCATCGTGTGAAAGTACATGACTTCGTCGACCAGATGATGCTTTATGTCATCTTGCGAAAGTACATGACTTCATCGACCAGATGATGCCTTATGTCATCGTGTGAAAGTACATGACTTCATGGACCAGATGATGCCTTATGTCATCCTGTGAAAGTACATGACTTTGTGGACCAGACGATGCCTTATGTCATCATGTGAAAGTACATGACTTCATGGACCAGATGATGCCTTATGTCATCCTGTGAAAGTACATGACTTCATGGACCAGATGATGCCTTATGTCATCGTGTGAAAGTACATGACTTCATGGACCAGATGATGCCCTATGTCATCGTGTGAAAGTACATGACTTCATCGACCAGATGATGCCTTATGTCATCATATGAAAGTACATGACTTCATGGACCAGATGATGTCCTATGTCATCATATGAAAGTACATGACTTCATCGACCAGATGATGCCTTATGTCATCATATGAAAGTACATGACTTCATGGACCAGATGATGCCCTATGTCATCGTGTGAAAGTACATGACTTCATGGACCAGATGATGCCTTGTGTCATCGTGTGAAAGTACATGACTTCATCGACCAGATGATGCCTTATGTCATCATATGAAAGTACATGACTTCATGGACCAGATGATGCCTTTTGCATCGTGTGAAAGTACATGACTTCATCGACCAGATGATGCCTTATGTCATCGTGTGAAAGTACATGACTTCGTCGACCAGATGATGCCTTATGTCATCGTGTGAAAGTACATGACTTCATTGACCAGATGATGCCTTATGTCATCGTGTGAAAGTACATGAGTTCATTGAACAGATGATGCCTTATGTCATCGTGTTAAAATACATGACTTCATCGACCAGATGATGCCTTATGTCATCATGTGAAAGTACATGACTTCATCGACCAGATGATGCCTTATGTCATCGTGTGAAAGTACATGACTTCATCGACCAGATGATGCCTTATGTCATCATATGAAAGTACATGACTTCATGGACCAGATGATGCCTTATGTCATCCTGTGAAAGTACATGACTTCATTGACCAGATGATGCCTTGTGTCATCGTGTGAAAGTACATGAATTCATCGACCAGATGATGCCTTATGTCATCTTGTGAAAGTACATGACTTCATCGACCAGATGATGCCTTATGTCATCGTGTTAAAGTACATGACTTCATCGACCAGATGATGCCTTATGTCATCATATGAAAGTACATGAATTCATCGACCAGATGATGCCTTAATATGTCATCATATGAAAGTACATGACTTCATTGACCATGTCAACAAGCATGATAAGATGACTTCATCGACAAGATGATGCTCTGTGTCATCATGGGAAGGCAGATGCTTTCATCGAAAAGAAAATGTTCTTTGTCACCATGTGAATCACATGATCTCATTGATCAGATGTTGCCTTTTGTCACAATGTGAATAAGATGACTTCATCGACAAGATGATGCTCTCTGTTGTCATGGCGGAGCAGGTACTACATCGACAAAACTTTGTTCTCTGTCATCATGTGTCAGAAGCAAAGTAAACCTCCTTCCGTCATCCATGTAGTGAGTTGTTACAGCAGATTTGCTGTTTGTTACTAACAGACCCCAACAACTGATGAACTGTCTGTTGCCAAATCGGAACCATTTTAACAATGGTGCTGGCTTTCGTGGTTACGAGGTCCATCAGACAACAGTTTTATTTTAACATATGTTTAAAGTTCAATTTGACTTCACAAATAATCTCTTAGCTTAGATGTCAATTAGATATAAAAATTGTTGAAATGTGGAAAGATTTATTAATTGGAATTTGACCCACTCGCTGGCATCAATAAGACCAGTGCCTTACTGTTTTTCATATACCGGCTATCGGCACAGCTTACCTCTTTCTGTAACCTGCAAGATGGCATTTCATGGAACACAATGGCATTTTGAGGAAAAAAAGGAAACATAAAATGGGCATGGACTCTTCTTACTTGTCTTACTTGAAGAGATGAATGAAGCTCTAATTGTTAATTTATAGTAACCTTTCAAAGCTGATTGTATTTCAGGGATTTGAAATCTCACACCAAGGCTGTTTTAAGTGAAGAACGGCAGTGTGCTCTAATCTGAAATTGAAACTGTCAAATGTTTCAAATCCATTATGTTTCGAAATGAGTTCTTGCATGTTAGAATCAATCACCCCGGTAACACTGTGGTACTCTGAGGGAGATAGATTCTTAAAGGGAGATAACCCTGCTTTTCTTGGTAATGTGTGCCCTGGACATACTGGAGTGTATTGATCGGTTGGAGCTCGTTTCTGCAGAGATGTGATGTGCTGTTTTCTGTACAACTTACTTCGATTGATTGAAATGTTTTGTGTTGCGTGTTGGAGATGTGTATTTAGATTCCACACAATGCAACCATGGTGTTTGGGGTCATGTCTGATTGCCACACTTTCCTCCAACTGGCTTTCAGGATGATTTCTGGGGATTTAGCATTTTGAGGTGATACAGTGTGTGTCTCAGCAGGTCAGATTTGTCAAAACTCAGCATTTGTAATGTGAAGGGGTCATACTCCATTATCAAAGGCAATGACTAGAGGACCAAGTAATATTGACTAAGCAGCATTCCATGTTTGTGACAGGAACCTGTTCAGGGTTCCAGTCTGCACCTGGCAATCCAGTGATTAATATTATGAGCAACAATTCATACAATCACATTAAAATCAGATCTTAGTTCTTGCTACCGCTCAAAAAAGATCTGAGGATATCCTACTACAGGTCACGTCAGACCTACCTTTCACGAACTTTGACCGACCAATGGAATGACTAACAAGAAATCAACATTAGCCAGTCAGAAAGCAGCTTCTTCTTTTTAATGGAACTAACATTCTGGGATGGCTAATTGGTGGCCTAAATTGTTTGTATTCAGTCCTAAAGCTAAAACTGTTGTTCAGAATTACCTGTGTTAAATTTTTCCAGGCTGCATGATATAAAACACATTCCGACTATCACTTTTCTTATCTGGTAAGCATCACTCCGATTGGTTGGATGAAAGGTTGTTCTGACATGACCTGTAAAGGTATGTCCTCAGATCTTTGTTTTGCAGTAGCGAGACCTAAGATCTGATTTTAATGGGATTGCGATCCATATGGATGCACACGCACACGCACACGCACACGCACACACACACACACACACACAGAGTTGGTGAGTTAAATATGCCATTCATGATACCAACTAATTTTTCAAATGCCATTTGAAAGTGTCAGTAGACTTCTAGAGCTTCAAGTTGGCATTCCTTTTAGATCTGAACATTTTCTTGTCATTTTGAATTAATTTGGATGGGTTCTGACAGATCTTTTAGTTTTAAGTTTCACCTCAAATTTCAATTTAATGCTGTCCCTAAGGTTGCCCTTCATTGACAACACTGTGTTTATCTCCTGCATGAAAGGGAAGAACATGACTGAAGGCTATGGAAAGAGCAGTTCTTTTTATGATTCTACACATGAAAGATAAATCTTAAATTTCTTTTTCAAAGTGGTTTGAGTTCACTTGTGTTAGTGAGAACTCGGTCATCCTTGAGCACACCACATAGTATACAAGGCAATAGACCTTAATCATACATTACCCTAATGCTGTACCCTGTCGCCTGAGACAGGATCCTGATACCTTGATATAGTTCCTCAATACTGTATCCTGATCCCTTCTACTTTTCCCTGATTCCTGATACCGTTCCCTGTTACTGTACCCTGATACTGTACCCTGCTACTGTACCTCACTGTACCCTGATACTGTTCCCTGCTACTGTACCTCACTGTACCCTGATACTGTTCCCTGCTACTGTACCTCACTGTACCCTGATACGGTACCCTGATACTGTACCTCACTGTACCCTGATACTGTATCTCACTGTACCCTGATACGGTACCCTGATACTGTACCTCACTGTACCCTGATACTGTATCTCACTGTAACCTGCTACTGTATCTCACTGTACCCTGATACTGTACCTCACTGTACCCTGATACTGTACCTCACTGTACCCTGATACTGTACCTCACTGTACCCCGATACTGTATCTCACTGTACCCTGATACGGTACCCTGATACTGTACCTCACTGTACCCTGATACTGTACCTAACTTTACCCTGCTACTGTACCCTGATACTGTAACTCGCTGTACCCTGATACTGTACCTCACTGTACCCTGCTACTGTACCCTGATACAGTACTTCGATACAGTACCTCACTGTACCCTGATACTGTACCTCACTGTACCCTGATACTGTACCATGAAACTGTACCCTGATACAGTACTTTGGTACAGTACCTCATTGTACCCTGATACTGTACCTCTCTGTATCCTGATATTGTA